AACTGCCCTAGAGTTTAGTCCAATGGTAGGCACAGAAAAAGGGCCAATTAGTAATTTCTGGATTGACTGAATTACATAGTCAAAATGTATTCACAATATTAATCCAGACATTTATTTTCATGTGGGTTTTTTTTTTTTTTTGAGCAATAAAAATGTAGTCATTTAGAAACCATAAGAACTCATTAAGCTATCCTAATGTCTATGTAATGAAAGGCATTGAATCACTGAATGTTAGCACTAAAAGACACAAAATGTGTGTAATCTAAAAGTCTTATTTTAAGTAAGAGAAACAGGGCCAGAATGTGACTTACTCCAAGTGACAAATCAATTCCCACAGAGCTGGTCACATATTCTGTCAGCCTGTCCAGCACTCTTCTCAATATACCACATTGGCTGCTGGGTAAATAGCATAAAAGCACAATATGTGTATATATGTGAACATTTAGATATGGAAATTCTAGTAATGGCCTAAAAAGAAGAAATAAGATTGTGGTTTGGAATTCAGATTAACAATATAAAAAAGTACAGCCACAGAAGTAAGTAGTATTGTTTCCATCATAGGAACAGTCTGTGGTTGGACTCCTATTTCCAAACACCATTAACAAAAAGATCTACATAGTTGTTACAGGCTTGTGTGCAATAATGTCCATTTTATCCAAATGAAATTAAAGGGGAGAGATGCCATAAAAACACATAAGCCTTGCCCAGTCAGTGTGGCTCAGTTGTTGAGTATTCACCCATGAACCAAGAGTTCACCAGTTCAATCCAGTAGGGGTACATGTCCATGTTGCAGGTTTGATCCCCAGTAGGGGACATGCAAGGGCAGCGTATAGATATTTCTGTTTCATAGATGTTTCTATCTCTATCACTCTCCCTTCCCCCCACCTCAAATCAATAAAAACATTTAACAATCTATACTAATAATAGATGAATATGCAAATTGTCCAGGATGCTATCACAGTAACAGTAACAACCAGCAGGCTGCCTGGGGTGACAAGGCCAACAGGAGCATTAGTGAAGGATTACCAAATGACTGAACAGCAGGCTGCGTGGGGCGACCAGGCTGGAAGGGGGAGCAGTTGGAGGCAACCAGGCCAGCAGAGGGGGGCAATTAGGGGCAAGCAAGCTGGCGGGGAAGGGGGGAAGTTAGGGGCAATCAGGCAAGGCAGGTAGGTGAGCAATTAGGAGCCAGCGATCCGAGATTGTGAGAGGGATGTCCGACTGCTGGTTTAGGCCTGATCTGGATTGGACCTAAACCTAAAGTCAGACACCCCCCGAAGGGTCCCCGGTTGGAGAAGGCACAGGCTGGGCTGAGGGGACCCTCCATGCACAAAATTCGTGCACTGGGCCATATATATATATATATATATATATATATATATATATATATATATATATATATATATATATATATATATATATATATATTCCTTAATTCATTTAAGCATGAATACTTCGGGAGGATTTTTTTTTTTAATGAAAAGCCTATCAAAACATATTATACACTAAGTATAAAGAACATAAAATGTTCTCTGGTGCCCTAGTCATTTTGGCTCAGTGAATAGAGCATCAGTTTGTGGACTGAAGGGTCCCAGGTTTGATTCTGGTCAAAGGCACATGCCCAGGTTGTAGGCTCAATCCCTAGTGAGGGGTGTGCAGGAGGCAGCCAATCAATGATTTTTCTCTCACCACTGGTATTTCTATCTTTCACTCCCTCTCCTTTTCTCTCTGAAATATATATATATATATATATACATATATATATATATATATATATATATATATATAGATATAGAGATATAGATATATAGATATAGATATAGATATAGATATAGATATAGATATAGATATAGATATATAGATATATAGATATATAGATATATAGATATATAGATATATTAATATATATATATTATTATTATTATTTTTTTTTTAATGTGCTCTGGTGAATCACTATGAACCTGGGTAAAAATGCTGCCCTGTGATGCAGTGACCCAATAAAGCATAGAAGGCTGTCAGCAGGGCTTGGTAGCTCTGCCTTTTAAGCTGTTAAATATGTTTATTATTGATTTTTAGGTCCCCTTTCTCTTCAAAGATTCAGAGTCAAATTCTTACTCTCTCCCTGTTTGCTGTTCTACAGCACACTTTCTCATCCTCTTTCTAATTTTTTTTTCTAACCTACTTAAGGTTGAGGAAAAATTTAACTGAACTTATTGGATGTAAACATGAAGTAAGAGTAGCCAGGCTCTCTGGGGAGGTTCGAGGGCTCTCCAAGGAGAAAAGCATATGAACTTTCATGTTCTAGCTTTGTAACATTTTGTCAACTGTCCATAAACATTTCTTGTTCACTTCCCAGATGTTTGCTGTTTGAAATGGATGAACTAGTGATGTAAGAATGTGGGAAAGGAAATTCTATTATAATATCATAATGCTGAAATATCTGGAAGAACTAGGGGTCATTCTTTAGGAAGATTTGAAAAGATGTCCAAAATCTATTTTAAGAACTTAGTCTTGCACCCCTATGTTCACTGCAGTGCAATTTACAATAGCCAAGACCTGGAAGCAGCCCAAGCATAATCAGTAGATGAGTGGATAAAAAAGCTGTGGTACATTTACATATGGAATATTACTCAGCTGTATAAAAGAGTGAAATCTTACACTTTGTGACACCATGGATGGACCTGGAGAGTATATAAGCAAGTGAAATAAACAAGTCGGAGAAAAACAAATATCATATGATTTCACTTATATGTGGAATCTAATGATCAAAATAAAATATCAAACAAAATAGAAACAGATTAGATAGTAAACAGACTGACAGCTATCAGAGGGAAGGGAGGTTGTGGGGCTAAAAAAGGTAAAAGGATTAAGGAAAAAAAAACCCTCATAGACGCAGACAACAAGGGGGAGAAGGGGTAGGGGAGGTAGAAAAGGGTAAAGGGAAGGTAAATAGTGATGGAAGGAGACTTGACTTGGGGTAATGAACACACAGTACAACATACAGATGATATATTATAGAACTGTACACCTAAAACCTATATAATTTTATTAATGTCACCAAAAAAAAGTAAATAAAAAATTTTAAAAAAAACTTAGACAAATTTTATACAAATAATCTAAAAACTGGTTTTACCTCGTTCTTTCACAATGTTTCCATTGTAGAACTGATCTCTCCATACTTCATCATCACTTACAACTAGACTGGAACATAAGATAATCAAATAATTAAAGTTATACTTTAACTACAAGCAAGCTATCAAGAAGCACCTAAAGCCCTAGCTGGTTTTTCTCAATGGTTAGAGCATCAGCCCATAGACTGAAGGGCAGCAGGTTCTATTGTGGACAAGGGCACATACCTCGGTTGCAAGTTCAATGGCTCCATACCCAGCCCTAATCAGGGTGCATGCGGGAGGCAACTAGTCAATGTGTCTCTCTCTCACATCTATGTTTCTCTCTCTCTGTCTCTCCCCCTCCCTTCCACTCTCTCTAAAAATAAATGGATACTAGCACAATAACAGGCAGATAAATCAATGGAACAGAACAGAGAACCCAGAAATTTACTCAAGCCACTATGCTCAATTAATATTTGACAAAGGAAACAAGAGCACACAATGGAGTCAAGACAGCTTCTTCAATACATGGTGTTGGGAAAACTGGACAGATATATGCAAAAAAATGAAACTAGACCACCAACTTACACCATACACAGGAATAAACTCAAAATGGATAAAATACTTAAATGCAAGACGTGAAACCATAAAAGTCCTAGAAGAAACTATAAGCACCAAAATCTCAGACATCTCTCATAGCAATATGTTTACTAATATACATCCTAAGACAGTGGAAACTATGGAGAAAATAAACAAATGGAACTACATTAAAATAAAAAGCTTCTGCACTGCATAAGGAACCATCAACAAAATAACAAGAAAGCCCACTATATGGGAGAATATATTTGCCAATGATACATCCGAAAAGGGAACTCATACGAATTAACAAAAGGAAGACAAATGGGCAAAAGACCTAAATAGACACTTTTTGAAAATGGACATACATATGGCACAGAGGCATATGAAAACACGCTCCACGTCACTAATCATCCGAGATATGCAAATCAAAACGACAATGTGACCTCTCCCTGGTCACAATGGCTATCATCAACAAATCAATAAATGACAAATGTTGGTGATATTGTGAAGAAAAGGGAACCCTAGAACAATGCTGGGAATGTAGACTGGTGCAGCCATTATGTAAAACAGAATAGAGTTTTCTCAAAAAATTAAAAACGGAACTCCCATTTGACCCAGTAATCCCCCTTCTAGGAATTCACCCTAGGAAACCCAAAACACTCATCAGAAAGAATACCTGCATCCCTAGGTTCATAGCAGTGCAATTTACAATAGCTAAGATTTGGAAATAGCCTAAGTGTCCATCAGCAGATGAGTGGATTATAAAAAGCTGTGGTACGCCTTAGCTGGCTCAGTGGCTAGAACGTAGGACTGCAGACTGAAGGGCCCTGGGTTTGACTCCAGTCAAGGACACATACCTGGGTTGTGGGCTTGATCCCGAGTAGGGGGCATGCAGGAGGCAGCCAATCAATGATTCTCTCTCATCATTAATGTTTCTATCTCTCTCTCCCTCTCCCTTCCTCTCTGAAATATATATAAAATAAAATAAAAATATGTATTTTTTTAAAAAGCTGTGGTACATTTAACCATTTAACCATCAATAAAAAAGAATGAACCCTTTGAGACAGCATGAAGGGACCTGGAGAGCATTATGCTAAGCAAAATAAGCCAGTCGGAGAAAGGTAAGTATCACATGATCTCACTCATATGTGGACTCTAATAAATCAAATAAGCTGATGATCAAAAATAGCCCCAGAGACAGAGAAGCATGAACAGACTGTTGAACTTTAGAGGGAAGGAAGGGGAGGGTGAGTGGGAAGAGATCAACCAATGAACTTGTATGCATATATGCATAATTGGGGACACAGACAAGGGGATGGTGAGGGGCTGGGGAAGAAGAAGTTGGGATGGGAACGGGCTGGAAGAGATTAATGGGGGAATAAGGAGGACCTATGTAATATCTTCAACAATAAAGATTTTAAATATAAATAAAATAAAATACATAAGTTGAAAAAAATCAATGGGAAAAAAAATATCCTGGGGTGAGGATTAATAGCAAACAAACAAACAAACAAACACCTAAAACTGCACTGGCTGGTGTTCCTCAGCCCACACAGCAAAGGGTCTAGGGTTTGATTTTGAGTCAAGGGAATGTACCTGGATTTCAGGTTTGATCCCCACCCCATCAGGGCACACTCACATCGATGTTTCTTTGTTTTTCTCTCTTTCTCTTCCCTCCCTCCTTCCTTTCCCCTCTCTCTAAAAATCAATGGGGAAAATATCCTTGGGTGAGGATTAATAAAAAAAACCACCACCACCTAAAACTTCAAGAAACTTATCTGCTCAATTTATTAAGATCTTTCTGGAAATAAAATGATCCAGTCCTGAAAGTTAGCTTCAGAGAAAGAGGAGTTACCTTGCAGCTCTGCTGGTTGGAATTCCAAGATAGTACATAGCCTCACTACACAAAAACTCTCTCACTGAGGAACGCAGTACAGCTCTGCCATCACCATTTCTACGGGGAATAGATTAAAAGATTTTCAGTGATAAAGACAACATCAGTTTTAATTTAGATAAGTAAACACACACACACACACACACACACACACACACACACACACACAAACACACAAACAAAACAAAACAAAACAAAACCTGTACCGGGAGTATGGGGTCTTTCCTGAGCCTTTTAATTGAAGTTCCCACTTTTCACCCAGCCTTCAAAAAATATATAAGAATTAGAAAATTCATGTAAATATTTAACAGAAAAGCTATTCAAGAAAATATGTGGTACCTGTTCATGTAAATTCCAATAAGATGGGCTCTTCCATCCCCAAGCTGATCTGCCCATATTCCAAACTAAAAGGGAAATAGGAAAATCAGTTATGTTTATTAATCCCTATTAGCTTTTATAATAATTTTATAGCCAAGGCTATTTCATCAAAATTGAGAATGAGCTCTCGGGCTGACATCTTGTGAGGCAGCAGTGGTGCCCTGCTCTCCGAGTCTCCCAAGGACGACGAGAAGAAAGATACTGGGAAATCACCAAGAGAGACCAAAGACCACGTAAAGAAGTTGAGAGGCAAGGCCAACTAGAAGAGGTGGTCCAAAGGCAAAGTTTGGGACAAGCTCAATAACCGGTCTTGAGAGACAAAGCACATATGACAAACTCGGTAATTACCCCAGCTGAGGTCTTGGAGAGACGGAAGATTCATGGTTCTTTGACCAGGGCAGCCCTTCAGGAGCTCCTTAGTATAGGACTTATTAAACTAGCCTCAAAACACAAAGCTCAAGCAATTTCACCAGAAACACCAGAGGTGGGGATGCCCCCACTGCTGGAACAGATACATGAGCAATAGGTGTGACAGTTCATTTTGAAAAATAAAACTTTATTAAATAAAAAAAATTTCTGAGAATGATGTATTGTATTTTGGAGATTACAATAGTCAACAACTCTAATAAAAGTGAAACTAAAATTCAATCAATAAAACATAAATGAAATTTATTTTTAAAATATAAATTTAAGACATAAAATCAATTTATTTTCATCTTATAGCTGAGTTTAAATTTGTTAGATACAGAAAACTTAGAACTGATCTATTTAATTCCATAATACGAACGAGGAACAATTTCTTAGTAGAAAAATGTCCTATACTGTACTTTTGCAATATAAAATAAGGAACACCCTTGTACCTGAAAAATTGTTTTTGAACTTGCATGATAAGTTATTTCCAAACTCCTAGCTATGCCACAACTGATTGTGGAATTGGCTTGAGTTACTTAATCTCACTGGGACTAACCTTTCATCTCTTTAAAATGGGATAACCCTCGTTGTAAGAATTATCATTAATACAGGGATGGGCAAAAGTATGTTTACAATTGTTTGTATGGAAAATAATACAACAATTAAATAATAATACAAGAATAAACTCTGTGGAGGAGGGCAAAAGGGGAGAAATACTTTAATCAATAAAGAAAATTTAAAATAAAAACAAAAAAAACAAAAAAAAAAACTCTGTTTCACATACAATTGTAAACTTTTACCTATTCCTGTATGTGCAAATGCTATGTACTATGTCCGACATTCTCAAGTGTTCGAAAAATGTTAATTATTATTATTGCCAACAATTTTTGCTAATTCAGATGTCACTCCATTCTCCACATAGAAGTTATTTCCACCAAAAAACTTTTTCTAAATGCTGGGACTAGGAGGGAGGTCCTATAAATTGCCATAACTCATACTTACCTATATCACAACTTAATGTTATTGGAATTTGTTTAGTTCTACCCTTTCCCCCCAAATATTAGCAATTTGAGCAAAGGGAACAGGTTTTATTCAGCATCATAGCAACTGGCATTTAAAAGAAGTTATATAAACAGCTGTGGAATATTTAAACAATATTTACAGTTCTGGAAGAGAAATATGAAATTGAGAAGAAAAAAGGTATTCAATAATTTAATTTTTTACCTTAACTAGGAATGGGCCACCATTTATCAATTTTAGCTGTGGAATATGTCTATAAGCACAAGTCTGAGAGGTGCTGTTAGCATATTCTGGAAAGTTCTAACGTTGCCAATATGTTAGATATTAATACATCTCACACCATGAAAGGTAAGCAGAAAGAATGGTGAACCCAAAGCTGGGAGTGAAATTGGGAAACAGGAATTATTAATAAAAGAGAAAGCACTACCCTGGCTGACATAGTTCAGTGGGTTGGACACCATTACATGCACAGAAAAGTTGCTGGATTCGATTCCAGGTCAGGGTACGTGCAAGGATTTCGGGCTTGATCCCCAGTGGGAGGCATGTAGGAGGCAGCTGGCTGATGCTTCATTCTCATATTGATGCCTCTCTCTCTCTCTCTCTCTCTCTCTCTCTCTCTCTCTCTCTCTCTCTCTCTTTCTCTCAATCAATCAATAAAAATACTTTTTTTAAAAAAAGAGAGAAAGCATTTACTGGACTTTAAGTTCAAAATGGCAAAGCCATACTTAAAAATAAATATTTATAATTTCAAATCAGGGAGGAGTAGCAAGAGGAGAAATATGAAATTGATAAAAGTATAATCTAATTTACAACCCCCAAAAAGTACCAAAAAAGTATAGCTTAACAACACTCTCCAGGGCTTAAGGTTTGTATTTGTACTTAAAACTGTAAGGGTCATCTAGTCCAGAAGATTCTACAGTGAGAAGCATAGTTCAGCAAAATGTTGATAGTTATTTCTTAAAAACAAAGCAATCACAGACTCCTGCAGTCAAATATGTTTGGAAAAGGGTGGGTCAAATAAAATTAAGCAGATTTCTTTCCCATGGCACTTCTCACAACTGCTGCGATGATCCTGGTCAACCCTGGCACATTACTGATCAGGACACTGAGGCTCATGTTTGCTCTAGATGACCCACTGTGTCCTTTTCAATTCTAATGGTCATGCCACTTTGCTTCCTAGCTTCTCTGTTAATTTTGCTTCTGAAGTAGAAAACATGGAAACAATAAAAATCTGAAAGGAATTAACTACAACAAACAGAGCTTGATACTAATTATAAAAATAGGTATCATGAAAACCCTTTTCAAATATCTCCTAAACTTAATCCTTACTGCAACCCTATTATACTTTGCTATTTGTCCTAAAAACTGTTCCTGAGTAAACCAGCCACAAAACAAAAGTGTTAAGTTAATCTTCTCGAGCTTAAAGGAAAGTCACAGCAATTTCAACAATTGGTTCTGTGTTCTTTCTCTTTTCTTTTTTTAATGTGTTTTTATTGATTTCAGAGAGAGAAAGGAAGAGGGAGACAGGGATAGAAACATCAATAAGAGAGAATCATTGATCGGCTGTCTTCTGCATGCCCTTCACTGGGGATCGAGCCTGCAACCCAGGCATATGCCTTGACAGAGAATGGAACTGTGACCTTCCTAGTTCATGGGTTGACTCTCAACCACCAAGCCACACCGGCTGAGCTTCTTCTTTTAAAAAAAAAGATTATTAGAGACCATACCTGAACTTGGTTCAACAATTTGCTTCATTTCTAGAAGGTACCTTCTTAATTGCTTCTGCATCTATAATATCTACAATTAACCCTAATATCATTTCTAGCAGTTCTAAAACTTCGCTCTACAGCTATCTCAAGAAAATTAAAATATATTTGTCCTTCTGAAGCTACAATATTATACTGACATACTGTGCTACCTGACTTTGCCTGAATCTCTTGCCACAACTTCACTGAATGAGTCCTGTAGCAATAACTCACAAAATTCTATATTTGTGCTGGCCCAGTTTTCTCAATTTCATTAAAGAAATTTAGGCTCTAGCTTTATCACAGTAAGAAATCACATCAGCTAATCTATAAACATCTTATGATGACAATTCTTTTAGAAACATTTTGTTAATATGCTAATATTGGAGAAATTAATGCAAAATAACTTCTTTAAAAATACATATCCACCAACTGTTTATGTTTGCATAAGGGAAGCAGTGCATCTGATGCTACTCTTACCTGATGGCCACCATATCTGTGAGCCAATGGAATGGATCCAAATACTATCTTTTTGCCACTTACAAGCTGGATAAAATCATCTGTTTCTGAGACGGATAAATCAAGGTCCAAAATATCTTCTAGAACTTCCTAAGAAATGAAAAAACAAAACAAAAACTCCTTACCAACTTAAGTAATCCTTTACTAATTTTTAAGAAAAGAGACTTGAGGGAAGAAAGAAAATTAAAAGACTAGACCTCTTCCAAAAATACATTAATATTTTTTCATAAGAGATGTACCATATGTTCTGATTATTTATTTGAGAAAATTTGTTCCATTATAGTTCTACAAGTTTTATACATTTCTTATGACATTGTTAAATAACATTTTTCCTAGCATATATTTTTTAAAGAAACTAGAAAAAGTAAATGTCATTTATATCATGAGAGAACAATTTAGAATTTGTTATTAAAACCCATTTCTAAGAACTTAACTCATTTAATTGTACCTTGTAAGATAATTTGAAGATGAACCTGAGTATTAGGCTCTAGGAATAAGTATAAAAAACTGGTTTCTAAGAATGACATTCTCCAAGTGTCTGAATTTTAAACACAAAGACTAACAATTTAACTCTGAAAAAAACAGTAATATCTTTTTAGACAAAAGTTGTAGTGAGTTAAGTATTTGTGTTGTGAAAAAATAAAACCTAACCTTTGAAACTGCCACAAGATGTACTCTTGATTTAAAAGGAGTAGGGAAAGCAATTGAAAAAACGCAGTTTTTCACTTTACGAACATAGTTTTCTTTAACAGGATCAACTGGCAACACAGCTGATAAAACAAAACAAAACAAAACAAAATCTTCTTAATGTTCTCATTTGTTGCATTTATATCATTAATATTCCTTAAAAAGGCTATGGTCTTCAAGAAAATCAACTTAAAACACTGTTTTCTTTATACTTTATTATTTAAAGGTGCTTTTATAATTTTCAACTATTATCTAGCCAAAATTCATCCTAATAAAAGAGTAATATGCAAATTTACCATACCCCTGCTACATACCAAGCCATGCCCACCAGCCACGCCCACCAGCCAATCAGAGCGAGTATGCAAATAAACCCAATCAAGAAGGCTACAGCCACAGAGAGGAGGAGGGAGGCTTAGATTTCCCAGGCAATGGAGGAAGCCAAGCTTTTTGCCTGCCTTGTGGCCTAAGCCTCCACTCAAGGCTACAAAGTTTCAATTATAGAAGGAAAACAAATCCAAACAGAAATGGCGGCAGCTACAGAGCTGGAAAGAATAGGTGGCAAGGGTTACCCCCAGCAATGGAAGAAGCAAAGCTTTCTGAATACCCTGGACAGCCTAGGCCTCTGCTTAAGGCTACAAAGTTTCAATTATAAATTATACATAAAGTACAACAGAAATGGTTGCTGGCCATGGAGCGAGCAGGAGGCTTGGCTCCACTCCAGGCGACAAAGTTTCAATTGTAGAAGGTAAATAAATTCCAGATACCAGGGCCTCCGCTTGGGTTTCCAGGGGGCATGGCCAGCCTGAAAACCACCACAGCCCCCTCCCCCAGGCCACTCCACGCCCCAAGGCAACCCCCACCCTGATCCGGGACACCCTTCAGGGCAAACCAGCTGGCCCCCACCCATGCACCAGGCCTCTATCCTATCTAATAAAAGAGTAATATGCAGTTTGACCATCACTCCAACACACAAGATGGCTGTCCTCATGTGGTCAAAGATCCTGCCCCCATGTGGACACAAGTTGGCCACCACAAGATGGCCAGCAGGGGAGGGCATTTGAGAGGGACCAGGCCTGCAAGGGTGGGCAGTTGGAGGCAATCAGGTATGCAGGGGAGGGCAGTTAGGGATGACCAGGCTAGCAGAGGAGGGAAGTTGGGGGCAAACAGGCTGGCAGGGGAGCAGTTAGACATCAATCAGGCTGGCAGGGGAGTGGTTACGGGTGGTCAGGCTAGCAGGCAGAAGCGGTTAGGGGCAATCAGGAAGGCAGGCAGGTGAGCAGTTGGGAGCCAGCAGTCCTGATTGTGAGAGGGATGTCCAACTGCCCATTTAGGCCCGATCCCACATGGGCAGTCGGACACCCCTTTAGGGGTCCCAGATTGGAGAAGGCTGGGCTAAAGGACACTCCCTCCCCCTGTGCCCCTGTGCACGAATTTTGTGCACCAGGCCTCTAATATAGTATAATAGTATGTGGAACTGTCCAAAAAGATAGGAGATGAAAAAAAGTTTAAAACAAGACATATACTTGTCCTCAAAGATTTTCACTCATAGTAAACCAATAGGATGTACAATATTTAAAAATAAAAAATATATAAATAAAATGGAGGTAAGATGCATTACAGTATTAGAATATAATATTAAGCAATTCACTGGCATCCAATAAAAACATATTAGGCATTTAATCACATTCTTTCTGCCTTTCAGAGAAATCATAATTAAAGTCTGTGGATACTTTACTAAAGGTACAAAACCACTTCCAATTCCACCAGAAAATTCAAAACTTTTGATAGCATGCCTATTCACAAGGCTGGAAGTTTAAATTGCCTCTGAGATAAAGAATGTTTCATAGAGTCCAGGCACTAAAGCACATATATGTTATTTTAAAAAAACTGCAAAGGAGAGAGCTTTGCACAGGCTTTAGATCTATTGAACATACTTTTAAGTAAAATTCTTTAAAATCTTAATTATAAATCTTAATTCCAATATTTTCCTAATCAAAAACAATTTTTTTAAAAAAGGTAGATGTATTACTAAAACTATAAGACAAAGGGAAACAAAAGCCTATGTCACTGATTATAAGTTATGTTGTCAAGATGTCAATGTCATAAATTATTTAATAATCCTGGGTTGTGTTGTTAAGTGGTTAGTGTCAGCCCGAGCACCAAAGGGTCTTAGGTTCAATTCCTGGTCAAGAGCACATACCTGGTTTACAGGTTGGATTCCAGCCCTAGTCAAGGCACTTTGGGGAAGTAACCAATTGATATGTCTCTCTGATTGAAGTCTCTTTCTCTCCTCTCTCTTCCACTCTCTCTAAAAATCAATGGGAAAACTTAACAGTATATTTTCTTCTCTTTTAGGAAAGCCTCTGTGTGGAAATAGGTTGTTAAATAACATTTTAGTAGAGCATTGGCAGTATATAATTTCCATTAGTACTTACGATTTTGTACTGATTCACGTTTGGCAAGGTAGCTGATGATTGATACCTAGTGATTATTGGCCATGGAACAAAAAAGGAGAACTGCCAGGCCCTCAAAGATGGCAGCACCCACAGTCACAAGATGGTGGCACCCAGTCCCCTCAGCCCCGCCGGTGTGGCAGGTGCAGGGCAAGGCCAGGGCCGCTCCCAGGCAGGTCCACTGCTCCACGCACCTGCCTCCATAGCCTCACAGTCTCTTCAACCCTCCAGCCATCCAGGGTTGGCCCAAGGCGCAAGCAAGCCTCGGTAACCAGGCTTGGTAACCAGGCTCAGGTAACCAGGGCCGGCCGAGACTTCAGCTGTTGGCAGTGGCAGTAGCAGAGATGTGATGGGAGCATCGCCTTCCCTGATCGCAGGGTCACCTCCCGCCCCTGAGAGATCGTGCACTGTGAGAGGGGGCAGGCCAGGCTGAGGGACCTCCCCTTCAGGGCATTAATTTTCATGCACCAGGCCTCTAGTCTAAATAATAAAATTGTTGCAAGTACAAATATGTATAACTATACTTACTTTGGCAAATTCTACCTGTTGGATATTTAATACATAAAGCTTTATGAAGATACTAGTAAGCCACAGATGTGTATTAACAACCTTCATTTGTAAAGCACCTGAGACCTTTTCTAAAAATAATATTCTTCACGATTGGGGGGTGGGAAGGGCTCATAAAATTGGATTGAGAAATTTCTTTACTCTATAATTTTATTCAGTAAAAAATACATTACAAGATAAATAAGTGCTCAGCTACAAAGATACTTACCCTGTGATGCAAAAAAACTGGTTCAGAAGAACAAGGAAAAATGTCAGAGAATTGTAGTTGCCTCTTGAGTCCTGGCTGGTCTGTTTCTCAAAGTGAATTTTTTGACGACAGACTAAGTTTCTTCCCTAAACCTTACACTTTCTCTCATTGGCTCTATGTGTTTGTATACATGTGTTGAATGATTAATTCTATCTTGAATTTATGTTATAAATACACTCTCTCATGACCACGAGAAAAGAGCTGGCAATGGAATTGGAAAGGTCTTTCTAACCCAGCGATTTTCAACTTTTTTCATCTCATAGCACACTTAAACTAATTCTGTGGCATATACGTGTGAGTGTGTGTGTGTGTGTGTGTGTGTGTGTGTGTGTATTTCTGGTCTGACAAAAAAATGACATAATTTTGATTTGGCTATTAGCTTGGTTGTTGCCATTTTTTTATTTGACAATCTAAGGGAAAAGAGATCAGTGCTTTTGTTAACGTGAAAAAACATTGAAATCTGTAAATAATTTCTGTGAGTTTATTTGAGCCAAACTGTCAACATATGTTGGGAAGCCAAACTGTCAACATATGTCAGCGAATTGGGATAATGCTCCAGAGAATGGCAGGTTACATTTGTATTTATACATTGCCATCAAAGGATGGACATAGGTGGGTTGCATTAAATTCATTGGTGATAGATTAAGGAGGTGGGATGAAGCAAAGGGTGGGGGGAACATCTGGGATTGGATAAACAGTGAAATGAGGGACACATACTTAGGTGGGTGCAGGAACAATTAACATGATAATAAAGGAATTTGTGATATCTGTCCTGGCGCCCACCACACTTGGTTGTGCCCCATGGGCTCCAAAAGGAAAATTACAAGTTATCCACACATTTCAAGGGTATGTGATCATAGATGTAAAAAGACAGATAGGCTCAGATGAGGTAAAGGTTGACCTTGTCAGGGAAGATACCAGCCTAGCATGTAACTGCCCATCATAACTGCTTTTAGTTAAAGTTTAATTTTAGACCATCCTTTGTGGTGACTTTAGGTCTCCGAGTTTGCAAGACTGCCATGCAGGCCTCCCCTGAGCTTGTCAGGTCGGCATGTGGCCCTTTTCGTCCACACTTCTGACTAGTCAGGAATTGCATGTTTTAAAAATCCTTGCAGCACACCAGATGAAAATCACTATTCTAACCCATATCGGGTACTAATCTCGTACATTCTCCAGTATCCCCAGAGCTGGCTACAAGCAGGTTCAACATTACTACAATAGATATTAAACAATCTCCCACAGCTCAGTGCACCCACAAAGAGCGCTCATACATCCAGACGTGAGCAAGACAGCTCAACTAAGCCACCACATACCTATGAGGTTTTCAGAGGAGAGAGTCCAAAAGTCTAGAGACGAAGCTAATCTAGCTTCTGCTTCACAATAGCCCTGCTCCCGGTTTGACTTGTTACTGAAATGATGCCAAAGCCTGGCGTTTCCTTCAAGGCCAGGTTGTAATAAGGTGCCGACGGCAATGGCGAGGCAGGTCACCCACGCAAGCAGCAGCCGCGGAATCTGTAGCCTCCGGCTGAAGCAGCAAAACGGGAGGAGGCTTGGTGCCATTCTTCAGCCTGAATATGCAGAGAAGTTAGTGACTGGAGGGCTGGCGCACGGTGGCATTTCTGCTAACAGCTGGTCACCCCAATGAACTGTTTGCTCTGTTGGAGCTACCGACTCCCCGTGAACCCCAGGGAGCGTCCGGGAAAGACGGCTGGCCAGGGAGAGGGTCACGACTAGCTCCTCCCGGACCCTCAGCCGTTTGGGGGGCGAAGGAGCCCAGCCCCCGCGCACCCCTTCTCCCGTGGCCTCCCCCAAGGCCCAGCGGTCCCGGCGGGAAGACGCCCAAGACCGCGCGGCTGCCGCTAGGGGTCGCTGGCGGCCCCGCCGGGTGGGGCAGGGAGGAGGAAAGCGGGGAGGGCGAGAGAAGGGGCTGAAGCTCTTCCTGTGCCGGGCTTCCGGCTCCGGGTCCCGGAGGAGGACCCTCGGGCCGAGGGCGGAGCCGCCGCCCGCCGCGACTTTCAGACTCGAACCATGGCCTCGAGCTGGTGGCGGTGGCGGCACGGCTGCTCCTGGAGGCCGGCGGCGCGGACCCCCGCGCCCGGAGCGCCTGGCCGCCAGGGCCCTCAGGGGCCGCCGCCCGCCGCCGCCGTCCGGGCGCAGGTGAGCCGCGGGGCGCGCCGGGAGGGGGGCGCGCAGAGGTCACGGCGCAATGACAGCCGCGCGGAATGAATGGGCGCGGGCGGCTTGTGCGCCTACGGGCCGCGCGGGGAGGCCGGGCCCGGGGCGCCTGGCTGGGCCGGGCCGCCGGGTGGGCCGCGGAGGGGGCTCCCAGCATCTGTCTGCCCAAAGTAGGGGCGCGCCGGGTCGAACTACAGAGCGGTTCCCGGAGACGGAGAGGATTTGCGGGCTGGGGAGGGAGCAGTGAGGAGCCAGGGGAAAGGCCGAAGGAGGGGTCATATAGTCAGTCTCCTAACGTACGGTCTAAGTCCAGGCTGGAGATCGTCTGCAGCTGTTTCCTTTTGAGTTACACAGCCGCGGCTCCGGGAGAGCAGATCTTCACCGGGATGTTAGAGCCAAAGGCACTCTGAACCCTCTGAGATACGGAGGAGGGTCCAACTGGCCTCGCTAGGGCCTAAAGGTCTTGTGGAGGAAATAGGTCTGATCCGAGGGTGGACAGGTTTTCAGCCGAACGTAGTTGTTTCGGAGGGAGAGCTCACCTGGACCGGGTACAAAGAGAAAAGCCCTGAGGATGTCAAGTAGAGAAACCTTGGGTTCATCTTTAATTTGACCTATGACTTCTTGAGGTTGAGTCACAATCTCAGCACTAACCATGGTTTTGACTCTACCCTTTTGCCTGTAGACCCAGACTCTTTTTTCTCCCTTTTCAGGCAGTGTAGCTCTTGTAATATGACACGTTTCAATGGCTCTGAGTCCTTTCTGCACTTTTTAGTGATTGATTTTCAACCTGCCATAGGCCCATGCTATTGAGCATAACTGCCCAGAATCTATGGGCTCACTCCTTTTTACAGGCTCTCTAGTCACATAGTATTGTAGTTGTATGTGTTCACCTCTCATTCCTCGAGGGTTTTTTGTGTGTGTGTGTGTGTGTGTGTGTATGTAGGATTCTTCTGTTTCAGTCCGATTTGGTACATTTCATATTCCCATGTACCCATCAAACTCAGTTTACCAATATGAAATAGTGCCAAAGTGGGTACATATCATGTCTTATGCATTTGGTGAGAGAATGGCAGCTGGGCCAGTAGATATCTATACTAATAAAAGGGTAATATGTTAATTAGACTGGATGTCTTTCAGATGTCCTTTCAGACAAAGCCATGGTGGTGGGGCCAAGGCAGAGGTGGTTAGAGGCAATCAGGCAAGCAGGGGCAAGCAGTTAGGGTGATAAGGCCAGCAGGGGAGAGCAGTTAGGGGGATCAGAACTTCAGGCAGGTGAGCAGTTAGGAACCAGCGGTCCTGGATTGCGAGAGCGATTAGGCCTGTGGAATAGGGCCTAAACCAGCAGTCAGACATCCCCTGAGGGGTCCCTGATTGAAGAGGGTGTGGGTCGGGCTGAAAACCCCTCCCCCAACCCCACCCCCCGCCTGTGCACAGATTGCGTACCAGGCCTCTAGTCTATAATAAAGGGAGAATATGGGAAAAGAGCCTTAGGACTTGCTGGCATCCATTTTAGTGCTGTCCTGGCCAGGTTACAGATGATTCCGGTACCACAAATGAGGACATCATTTGGAGAGATGGATACACCTATCTATGCCACTGCATAAGATACTTATTTTCTTTGATGCTCCCTTTTTTTTAATTCCTCCCCTCCCCAGCAACTTTCATAGCAATGGAAAGGGTGCTTTCCTGGAGAGGATATGTCTTAGTGATCACAAGGAGGGACTTCCCTGAGAATGCCAATGCCCTGTATTCCTGATTTGTGTGTCCGTGGTCTATTTCACTGTTAATTAATACATTAGCTTTTGGTATCTGCCTCAAGCTTTTGTTTGGTAAGTTCAAGTCTCTTAGGGCCTGATAGTCCTTGGGGACAAAGAGCAACAATAATAAAGCCACCTCCAGCTCTCCACCACAGCTCTGCTACTTCCTGGTGTCTGTACATTCTCCCGATCTTTCCATTGGTAATGTGAACAAGTCTTGTAATCAGGTAAAACCAGTGTGCATTAGATCAAGCCAAATCACTTGTTGTTAATATGTCTTTGATTCTTATTCAGCTTTTTCTCTTTTTTAAAAAGGTAAGTTTTGCTTTAACCGTTTTTGGCTCAGTGGATAGAGCATTGTCGGCCTGTGGACTGAAGGGTCCCAGGTTCGATTCTGGTCAAGGGCATGTACTTTGGTTGTGGGTACATCCCCAGTAGGGGGTGTGCAGGAAGCAGCTGATCGATGTTTCTCTCTCATGGATGTTTCTAACTCTCTATTCCTCTCCTGTCCTCTCTGTAAAAAAGTCAATAAAATACAAAGTAAGTTTATAGAAGGCAAGATTGACTTTGAGGGAGAGTATTTGATGGAATGAGGGGACAAAACCAGAATTGGACAATTGATTGTTGCAAATGCTAGTATTAGTACACCTAAGTGACAACAGTTCTAGTTTCACAACTCCCTTTCAATACTTTACAGTATTCACCCTTATCCATGGTTTTGCATTCCAGTTTCAGTTACCTGTGGTCAACCGTGGTCCAAAAATATTAAACAGAAAATTCCAGAAATAAATAATTCATAAGTTTTAAACTGTACTCTGTTCTAAGCAGTTGGATGAATTCTCACCCATTCCTGCTTTTTCCTACCCAGATATGAACCATCCCTTTGAGTAGTGTCTCCAGGCTGTATACACCACCCTATCCCTTTGTCACTGAGCAGACCTCTCAGTTATCAGACTGTCATGGTATCAAAATGATTGTGTTCAACTAACCCTTATTTTACTTAATAATTATTCCCATATATAAGAGTAGTGATGCTGGCAATTCATATATGCCAAAGGGAAGCTGTAAAGTGCTTCTTTTATGTAAAAAGGTGCACAAAATTTGTGCACAGTGATAGGGGGTCCCTCAGCCCAACCTGCACTCTCTCCAATCTGAGACCCCTTAGGACAGATTGCTAATGCTGCATCCCTTTAATACAGTTTCTCATGTTGTGGTGACCCCCAATCATAAAATTATTTTCATTGCTACTTCATAACTGTGTTGCTACTTCATTTATTTTATATATATGTATATATTTTATTGATTTTTTACAAAGAGGAAGAGAGAGGGATAGAGAGTTAGAAACATCGATGAGAGAGAATCACCGATCAGCTGCCTCTTGCACACCCCCTACTGGAGATGTGCCCGCAACCAAGGTATGTACCCTTGACCAGAATCGAACCCGGGACCCTGCAGTCCACAGGCTGACACTCTATCCTCTGAGCCAAACTGGTTTCGGCTGTGTTATTACTTCATAATATTTGCTTCGACCCGCAGGTTGCGAACCGCTAGCAGGGTCACCTAAGAGTAAGACCATCAGAAAACACAGATATTTACATTACAATTAATAACAGTAGTAAAATTACAGTTATGAAGTAGCATCGAAAATAATTTCATGGTTGGGGGTCACCACACATGAGGAACTGTATTAAAGGGTCCCGGCATTAGGAAGGTTGAGAATCACTGCCTTAGGGGATGTCCAACTGCCAGTAAGACATGCCTCTTGCAATCCGAGACCGCTGGCTCCTAACCACTCCACCTGCCTGCCTGCCTGCCTGCCTGATTGCCCCTAACTGCTCACCTACCGGCCTGATCACCCTTAACCTCCTCTGCTTTGGCCCCATACCCGGGACCCAGGATTCCCTCCTCCAGCTCGCCACAGGCACCCAGGACCCGGGCTTCCCTTCCTCTAGCCAGCTGCAGGCACCCAGGACTGAGGCCGGCTTTGCCTGGGCCAGCTGCACCTGCGGGGGACCATGGATGGGCGGCTTCGCCCAGGCCACATCCAGGACCATGGGGCAGGCAGCTTGTCCCTCCCCCAGACCACACGGCTTGTCCCTGTCCCCGGCAGCCACCGCAGGCACTGGCACCCAGGGCAGGTGGCTTGTCCCGGCTTTGTCAGGAGGAATGTCCAGAGGTTGTCTGGAAGACGCCTGGTCTAATTAGCATATTATCCTTTTATTAGTACATACTTATATTAGAGGCCCGATGCATGAATTTGTGCATGGGTGAGGTCCAGCCAGCCTGGCCAGGGGGAGGGGACATGGGTGGTTGGCCAGCCTACCTGCTGGTCGAACTCCTGGCTGAGGGGACAATTGCATATTAGCCTTTATTATGTAGGATATATACTGAGTGGCCAGATTATTATACATTCAAAGATTATAATAATCTGGCCACTCAGTGTGTGTGTGTGTGTGTGTGTGTGTGTGTTTTAATGAAAAACATGACATATCTGTGGTTTCAGGTACCCACTAGGGGTCTTGGATGTATCCCCCACAGATAAGGAGGGGCTACTGTAATGCTGTTCTGAGTATCTCTAATCCTACTTTGGAAACATTGCCCTAAGATAGTCTTAAATAATTCCTAAGTTTTAAACTGTACTCTGTTCTGAAAAAGCTTGATTGAATAGGTACTATGTTAGATGTATACAGTGTAATATGCTCAGAGCTTTACTCTCTAAATTTTGAACCAAGATCCATCTTCCAAAGACCATGCTTTTAACAACTGTCACACTGCCTAGTAGTTAAAGCACTCTGTATTAGGTATGTCATTTTAACTCTTCATCCCAGGTTAAAGGTTAGATCTCATACTGAATAAATATAATAATAAATATAAATACGAATTCATGCACCTTGAAAGGAGCAGTGGGCACAGAGGCGGGTCTCAGCCCACCCTCCACACCCCTGTTCAGCCCCTCCTACCACAGCCCCTGGTCCCCTGTCTTCTGACAACCCCGCTCCCGCCTCTGATCCCACATGTTGACGGCAGAGCTATTGGAGCCAGCCGTCAGCAGTGAGTGAGTGGTGGCTGCTGCCCCAATCACAGGGGGAGGTAGAAAAGCTCTTAGGGGCAATCGGGGCCAGCAGTGGGTGCAGGCACCCGGCAGGACTGCAGACACAGGAGCAAAGACTTTTTAGTAACCACCAAAGGCTCGCCTCGATGACAGCACCTGGCACCCCACCTTGGTCTGGTGCCCTCGCTCACCTGCTCAGCTGATGCCCACCATGTTATGCGCTCTGCCACCTGCTGCCAATGCCTGCCATGTTCCACATGCACCCCTGGTAGTCAGCACACGACATAGCAATTGGTTGTTTGTTTGTTCTGCTGTTTGGTCTATTTGCATATTAGGGTTTTATTATAGACTAGAGGCCCAGTGCACGAAATTTGTGCGTGGAAGGGGGGTGTCCCTTATCCTAGACTGCATCCTCTCCAATATAGGACCCCTTGAGGGATGTCCACATACCTGTTTAGCCCCAATTCTTGTGGGCTCCCCACTGCTCGCCTGCCTGCCTTCCTGATTGCCCATAACCACTTCTGCCTGCCAATCTGATCACCCCCCTAACCACTCTGCTGCCAGCCTTATTGATGCCTAACTGCTCCCCTGCCAGCCCGTTTGCCCCTATCTGCCCTCCCCTTCATGCCTGGTCACCTCCAACTGCCCTGCCCTGCAGGCCTGGTCACCTCTAACTATCCTCCCCTGCAGGTCTGGTCCCCCCCAACTGCTCTCCCCTGAAGGCCTGGTTCCCACCCAATTACCCTTTCCTTCAGGCCTGGTCACCCTCAACTTCCCTCCTCTGCCTGTCTGGTAACCTAACTGCCCTCCCCTGCATGCTTGATCACCCACAACTGCCCTCCCTTGTAGGCCTGGTCCCTCTCAACTGCCCTCCCCTGCTGGCCATCTTGTAGTGGCCATCTTGTGTCCACATGGAGGCAGAATCTTTGACCACATGGGGGCAGCCATCTTGTGTGTTGGAGTGATGGTCAATCTGCATATTATTCTTTTATTAGATAGGATAGAGGCTGAAACTGGTTTGGCTCAGTGGATAGAGCGTCAGCCTGCGGTCTGAAAGGTCCCGGGTTCGATTCCAGTCAAGGGCATGTACCTTGGTTGCAGGCACATCCCCAGTAGGCAGCTGATTGATGATTCTCTCTCATCAATGTTTCTAACTCTCTATCCCTCTTTCTTCCTCTCTGTAAAAAAAAATCAATAAAATATATTTTAAAAAAAAAAAAGTAGGATAGAGGTCTGGTGCATGGGTGGGGGCCAGCTGGTTTGCCCTGAAGGGTGTCCTGGATTAGGGTGAGGTTTCCCTTGGGGCGTAGGGTGGCCTGGGCAAGGGGCCTGTGGTCATTTGCAGGCTGGCCACACCCTTTCGGTGACCCATGTGGAGGCCCTGGTATCTGGGAATTATATACCTTCTACAGTTGAAACTTTGTAGCCTGGAGCAGAGCCAAGCTTTCTGCTTGCTTTGTGGCGGCAGCCATTTCTATTGGGATTTATTTATCTTCTATAATTGAAACTTTGTAGCTTTAAGTGGCGGTCTAGGCCGGCCAGGGTATGTGGAAAGCTAGGCTTTCTCCATTGCCGGGTGCAACCCAAGCCTCCCTCCTGCTCTCTCTGTGGCCATAGCCATCTTGGTTGGCTTAATTTGCATACTTGCTCCTGACTGGCTGATGGGTGTGGTTTGTGGTGTGGTGAAGGTATAGTCAATTTGCATATTACTCTTTTATTAGATAGTATTAGGTGTATAGCATTGTGATTTGACAATCATATACTTTACAAAGTGTTCCTCCCCATATTTTCAGGACCCACCTGGCAACATACATAGTTATTACAACAATATTAACTATATTCCCTTTGTTTTATTTTACATCCCCCATTGCTTCTCAGCCTTTTGGCTAAGGTCAAATATACTTTACATCCCTGTGATTATTTTGTAACTACCAATTTGTACTTCTCAATCCTTTCACTTTTTCACCCAGTTCCCCAATGCCATGCCCCTCTGGCAACCATCAGTCTATCCTATGAGAGTTTTTATTTATCTAATATAATAAAAAAGTTTCTTATGAATATTCTTACAAGTTTCTTCATATTTTTATTTTATAGATGTCCTGTTTTTATCTTGTGAAGAGTTTAACATCTGCCTGTCTAAATATGTACAGTATATCACGGTAAGTTTATCATTTGTATTGCAACTACTGAAATTATTAGCCATATTGTCAGTAAATTTCTATTCTAAATTTGTTGGTCTAGTCCAACAAAATGAATTTGTTGTTTGGATAACTGCTATAATATGTGCTTTGTGTGATCTCTTCCTTTAAAAAAATATCCTATTGTATAAAAACCCAGGGTTCATAACGCCCAAAACAACTGAAGGGTGGACTGACCGGAAGTCAGTGTTGGGCCAGTCGGTACTGCCACGCAGCACTGACTGCTGAGGGGGCTGCAGACCAGGCCCAAAGAGAGGCCTGGGGGGGATGCAGGGTCTGATCCATAGCCTCCGAGGCTGCTGTTGATCAGCCCTTGCCTCTCTCTTTCTCTTGGGACCTGGCCAGCAGCCACACCTCTCTTTCTCTCTGGCCTCTGCTGGGTCTGCTGATCAGTTTTGCCTCTCTGATCAAGCCCGTTGATAGGCCTGGGATCACTGACTGGCATAGAAACTGACCAATCAGAACCAAATTTGGGTGAAGTGCAAGGAGTCAATGGCTGCCTACTAGGCGGAACTTTTGACACTGACTAGCATAGAAACTGACCAGTCAGAATCAAATCTAGGTGAAGTGCGAGGAGTCAATGGCTGCCTAGGAGGCAGAGCTTTTGACGCTGTCTGGCATAGAAACCAACCAATTAGAACCAAATCCAGGTGAAGTGCAAGGAGCCAATGGTTGCCTAGGAGGCGGAGCATTTGACACCGAGTGGCATAGAAACTGATCAATCATAACCTAATCTGGGTGAATTGCAAAGGCAGAACCTAAGGTGGAGGCTGAGGAGGGGGTTTAAGGGCAACAGCTGTTTGGTGTAAGGTGTAAGAAAGTGGTTCAATTTTTTAATGACCAGTTTCGCAGTATAATACATATGGCTGGCTATCAGTCCAGATATAGGGATTATGTATTTTTGCTGCCAAGAGCCTCTTCTGATGAAAAAGGCTTATCCCCCCCTTTTAAGCAATCCTATCCTATATAACCTATCTATACCACTAAAAGGGTAATATGCTAATTAGACCAGATAAACTGGACATCGATTTCTTTCCAAACAAAGCCATGGTGGTGGGGGCCATGGCAGAGGCCTTTAGGGGTGATCAGGCTGGCAGGGGAGGACAGTTTGGGGCGAGATCAGGCTGGCAGGGGAAGGCAGTTGGGGGCGAGATCAGGCTGGCAGGGGAGGGCACTTGGGGGCGAAATCAGGCCTGCAAGGGAGGGCAGTTAGGGTTGAGCAGGCAGGCAGGGGAGGGCAATGAGGGGCAGGCAGGCAGAGGCAGTTAGGGGCAATTAGGCAGGCAGGCAGAGAAGTTATGGGGCAATCAGACAGGCAGGCAGAAGGGTTGGGATAATCAGGCAGGTAGGCAGAGGCAGTTAGGGGCAATCAGGCAGGTGAATGGTTAGGAGCCAGTGGTCTCAGATTGTGAGAGGGATGTCCAATTGGAGAGGGAGCAGGCTGGGCTGACACCCCCCTCCCCTCCATGCATGAATTTTGTGCATCAGGCCACTAGTGGGCATATAATAAAACAACTCAGAATACAAGAAACATGGTTTAGTCTTTGATTTTGTGAGTTCTTGAGGTCCTGGTTATAAAAATAAACAGTACTATTATTTAGCAAGAATAAAATTCTGTATGTTTTCCTAATTTATAATGATCCTTTTAGATTAATGCTTAATTTCCAGCAAGTATCTGAGCTTAAGTTTTCTGTCATCTGAATATTTTATATATATTTGCAAATGTGTGTATAATTCTTATAAAATTACACTCAGACTTACATTTTGTGCATTTGTGCTTGTCCCAGGCTCCATCACACAACATCGGCCGTGTTCTGTTACAGTAAACCTCAGAGTGGTGAGAAATACACCGATCCCTTTCAGCTTGGTAGGAGATATTTGAAAGGTCTGTATGAGGACATTAGGAAGGTAAGGAAGTTTTGAAGATGCTATGAAGTATGTTGAACTTTTAGAGAGAGATAAGTATGTTGAACTTTTAGAATTATGAAAACAGGACGCTGGTTTCAGATATGTACAGAGCCATTGCAGACTTCGTAAGTCAGATTTCAGAAATATCTTGAGCAACGGCAGTGGGGCATATGCAGGACAGAACACATTATGTCCAGAAAGTGGGTGTTGCAGAGGTTGGTACCTGAAGGAAATGGTACAGGTAGCACTTACCTGACAAGTGGGCTGTCTGACATTTTCTCTCCAATTCCTTCCCCTGTTCCACAACTATTGAAGCACCGCAGCCTTGTGGCTCCTGCTGTCGTCTCCCTTATCTGGTCCTGAGTGTCAGCTGCCGGGCTGTGTTCATCATTAAGTGCTCTCCTCCCAAACAGTTCCAGTGGTTCCCAACCTCACTGTATTCCCAAATGCTGCTAGAAATGTCCACATGCCCCTCCTCAGCCTCCTTCCCCTTTCGATCCTTATCAAGCTCCCCACTGGGCAGTTTTCACAGCAACACCACTTCCTACTTGACAGACCAAGTAGAGCCCGTGAAGGAGGCTCTCCCTCAGTGCCTGCTCTATCCGTGTGTAAGCTCCTTTGTGCCATCTACTGACGTGAACGTCCCTTCCTTTCCGGGAAAGTCCCTGTACCTCTAGTTAAGCTTCATCCCCGCACCTTGGGCACTGCCTTTACAGTGGCCTGTTCTCCTTGGCCTGCAGACTCTTGCTCTTTGTGTCTCTTTCCTATGCCTTTTAGGGTCTCCAGTTTGTTCGTGGTTAGGTTTTTTTTTGTTTTGTTTTGTTTTATATTTTTATTGATATCAAAGAAGAAGGAAGCAGGAGAGAAAGAAACATCAATGATGAAAATCATTGCTCAACTGCCTCCTGCACTCCCCATACTGGGGATTGAACCCGTAGCTCCGGCATGTGCCCTTGACTGGAATCGAACTGGGGATCTTTCAGTCCATAGATCGACGTTCCATCCACTGAATCAAACCAGCTAGGGCTGTCTTTTTTGTTGTTGACTTCAGAGAGGAAGGGTGGTGAGGTGGAGTGAGATAGAAACATCAATGATGAGAATCATTGATCAGCTGCCTTATGCACACCCCCTACTGGAGATCAAGCCTGCAACCTAGGCACATGCCCTTTACTAGAATCAAACCTGGGACTCTTCCGTCCACAGACCGACACTCTGTCCACTGAGCACAAGCAGCTAGGGCTCATGTTTATCTTTTAAAGGACCATTCCTTGTCCTGGTGTCCTACCTCTTCCTTTCCATCACAGTATGCTCTTTCTCTGTCTTTATTTTTGCTCCTTCACATTCACTCTACCATCACACTAGGCCTTTCTTTCCAGCCTCTTAGAACCTGCCTTTGCCTAGGTCTTCAATAGCTTTCTTTTAATAAACCCAGTGGACACTTCAGTTTTTATCTTCCTTGACTTTTTTGAACATTGATCACTGTGGACCACTCCCACTCCATGAAACTTTTCTCCTGGTCTTGTTCTGATTCTTAGACCATTCTTCAGCCTGCTTCCTGAGTTTTTGTCCATCCCTTCCACCCTTCCCATTTAATGTTGCCATTCCTGGGGTTCTGTTGGCCCCTCTGTGTCCTCAGTATACCTGTTCCCATGCTTACAACTCCCCAAAAATATCTCTATTCCAGATTAAATCATTGGTTTGAAAACCATACATCTAACTGCTCACTGGCAGCTCCATGTAGTGTCCATGACTATCTCAAATTTAACATATATGAATCTCTACTTCCCCCTCCTGTCTTTTCTCCTATTTTTTCCAGGATCCCCAGTAGGATCCTCCACTCTTCCATCTCTTTCCCCCTCCACATATCCTGGTCCAACCATGTCAAACTCAAAGGCTAACACGGGCCAAATAAACAAGATTTAAGTTTATGTGGGCCACAAAAACAAAAGCTTCAGTTTTCATAGAAACGTAGGTTTATTTCTATAGAGACATGCTGAATACAAAGGGCTGAAATAAATGAATAATTGTTAACATAAAATAATAGGACATTTTAATAAAAATTAATATTTTTTCTTGAACATTAACTTACTAGACACTGAATAACTGTACAAATTAGTAAGTGTAATGCAAATAAACCTATTTTTCTTGTTCTCCAAAAACAAAATATTCTTGTTGTGCACACCAAACAAGTCAGTACAAGACTAATGATGTGGCTGTTGGCTGCTAAAGTATTTGCTGCTAGTATTAGAGGAGAGAAAAGGTGCGCGTGCCCACAAGGTGTGTAAGAGAAATATATGAATGCAACACGATTATAGTAACCAGTCATCAGCGAACGTTGTAGTTTGTTTTTTTGTTTTTTTTAATTAGCTTTTAAATATATTTTATTGATTTTTGTACAGAGAGGAAGGGAGAGAGATAGAGAGTTAGAAACATCCATGAGAGAGAGTCATCGATCAGCCTCTTGCACACCCCCTACTGGGGATATGCCCGCAACCAAGGTACATGCCTTTGACCGGAATCGAACCTGGGACCTTTCAGTCCCCAAGCCGACGCTCTATCCATTGAGCCAAACCGGTTTTGGCTGTAGTTTGTTATTAATAATTATGTGTAACAGGATACTGTAACAATTAAGTTACAACATTTTTATTAAAACATTTCTTACATACTTTTATATTGGTTGGGCCACAAAAATGTTCATTGTGGGCCACACGTGGCCCGCGGGCCAAGAGTTTGACATGCTTGCCCTAGTCTGTTCCTGCCTCCAGTCCTACTGCCATAGGTTAGGCACCCCCATTTCTGTTGCTATCATCCTTGCTGTCCTCCTCCCTCTTTCACTCAGAGCCTGCTCATATCTCCACCTACTCATATTTTCACCTGAACTACTCATATCTCCAGTAGAATTTAAATGTGAGAATATTACTTTGATGGAAAAGGAAAAGCCTTTTGGACAACGATCATCATACTAATTAATGGCCCAAGCATGTAAAAATGGCCAGAGGTGCCTCCTATGTGATCCCAGAGCAATTGCTCTTCTCTCAGGGACAGCACCTGTCATGCTATTGTGTCTTATTGCAGTTACTGTTTTATTACTTCTCCGCACTAGACTGAGCTCCTGGAGGCAAGGGGCCATCTTATCCCTGTAACCTCTACCTTGGCACTCAGTCTATGGCTCAGTAATGACTGACCTGCTGTGTGGTACCTCCTGTGCCTAGGAGGGTCCATTCTTTTGTGTGTGTGTGTCTTATTTTGTTTTTGTTAGTTCTCACCTGAGGATATTTTTTCCATTGATTTTTAGAGAGAGTACATGGGAGAGAAAGAGAGAGGGAAATATTGATGTGAGACACATTGTTTGGTTGCCTCCTGCACTTCCCCTGACTAGGGATGGAATCTACAACTGAGGTACATGCACTTGACCCCAAATCAAACCCTCAACCCTTTGGTGCGCAAGCCAACGGCCAGGACTCTGGGTCCATTTTTAGCTCCAACTGCTTCTGAGGGATCAGCTGTGATTAATTCCAGCAAGTCCTTGTTCAGCAGGTAAAACACAAACGCCTCCATCACTTGGAAGGATCTCTCCTCTTCACAAATCAAAGCCTACTTATCCTTAATCCCAGGTCAAAGCTGATCTCCTCCGGGAAAAGTTTAGTTTTTTAGCCTACACTGCTCTCTTCTACTTAGAACTTACGGTGTATTTAATGTACAGCATTATTCAAGATATGACTGCGTTCTTTACTGAATATTTCTTTTTAAAAATAGTTGGATAGCCCTAGCCAGTTGCTCAGTGGTTAGAGAGTTGACCCGTGGAGAAGGGTCATGGGTTCAATTCTGGTCAAGGGCATGTACCTTGGTTGCAGGCTCGATTCCCAACAGGTTTGGGGAGCATGGGGCACGTGCAGGAAGCAACCAATCCAAGTGTGTTTCTCACATTGATATTTCTCTCTCTGACTCTCCCCCTCCTTTCCACTCAATGGAAAAATATACTCAAGTGAGGGTTAACAAAAGCAAACAACAAAAAACGGTTGGTTAGAATGTTGTCCCAATACACCAAGGTTACGGGTTCCATCCCAGGTCAGGGCACATACAAGAATCAACCAATGAATGCATAAGTAATTGGAACAACTAATCAATGTTCTCTCTCTCCAAGATCAGTTTTAAAAAAGAAAAAAAAAAGTTTTGTCTCCCAACTCATTTGTAAGCTCCTCTCATCAGACAAACCACATGTTACACTTCCCTTTTGAATTTGCCGCTGCTTCTTCTCCCCGGCCACCATCTTACCTTCCTGCCGAATTCTGCACAGCTTCTCCCTCCCGGAACAGCCACTGGCTCCCAAACCCCCGTCTTTGTCCCCGCCCCTCCTCTTCCCCACTGCTGCCAGCCGGTGGCCTGGGTAACCCCGAGCTTTCCCTCGCTTCCTGCTGCTCTTTGCATTGCCGGGGCAGCACCCGCTCTCGCACTTATGCTACATGGAGCCAAGCCAGGCATGGCGTGTGGCCCCGGCATGGGGCAGCCAGGGCTTTGGCCATACCATTGAGGAACCTTTTCCAACTGAGGGTTGAATTTCTCAATTAAGATGAAATCACAGAAATCAAACCCATGTTGTGTAAAAAAAATTCTGGTGACTATGCAATTATGATGCCATATTGACACAGACTCTTTATTTCAGGAATTGCTCATATCTCCAATAGAACTTAAGGAAATGTCTGAGTACTACTTTGATGGAAAAGGAAAAGCCTTTCGACCAGTTATCGTGGTGCTTATGGCCCGAGCATGTAATAGCCATTATAACAACTCCCGGTGAGTCATCTACTTCTGCTGCACTGTCACCTTATATTGGCAGGTCTTCCTTCTCAAGGTCACCGTGTAGCTTCCTGTTTAAGGTGTACCCTGTGCCTAAGAATTTGCTTTATGTGTGATGACTGGATTCTGAGTAGGAGCCACTGAGTCACTCTGGAATCTGGTCTGGGCACCTTCCTTTTCCACCTTTTTCATGACTATGGAAGAATGACTTAGCTGTAATAAGCATTTTAGAAAGAAGTCTGAAAGTCAGATTTAGTTTTCTTGTTCAGAAGTAGAGACTACCAGGATGTATGCATACATGTGATCACTGTCCACACGGGCCAGCTAGTCCAAAGGTTGATGGGTATGACGTGATAAGCTTTGCCATGATTCTGGGCACCACACCCCCTGCAGCGCCTGCCTGTCTGGGGCTTACCAAAGGCATTTTGACTGTGGATCCTTAGCTTTTGTAGATTTTAAAATATTAACACAGCAACTTTTAGTATTAAAGGAAGTCTTAAAAGGAAAGAGGATGTAACCATATTACCAAATGCAGCTGTCTTTACCATTTCCTCTGCCCCACCCTCTTCCAATCAGTCTCACAGTATGCAAATAATTTTGAGTTCTGCTTTGTTTCCTTACCATTGTTTTTTAGTCTTCATCATGGTGCCGCAGAGTTTTCATAGTTGTTATTTTCACATCATGTATTCTATTGATGGAAATTCCTGTAGACCATAATGTACTTATACATTTCCCTAGGGTCGAACATGTGTAGTATACTCCCTTTCCTCAACATATTTTTTTTTCACATTTTTTATTGTGGTAAAATACATAGAATATAAAATTTACCATCTTCAACCATTTTTTATTTGTTTGAATGCTTATGGTGCGTTTATTAATCAAATAGATGGCAATCTGAGAGAGCAGCAGATGTTAAGACTGAAAATGCCACTCTTGACATTAAATTGCAGATAAGCTCTTACATAGGTTGTGGTGGGGGATCTAATGTTAGTGAGTTGCCAGGATCTGCCTTTTTTTTTTTTTTTTAATCTTTATTGTTGAAAGTATTACATAGATCCTCCTCCCCCCCCCCCCCCCCATTAACTTAACCTCTTCCAGCCCGCTCACATCCTTCCTTCCCAGGTCTGTGTCCACAGGTTATGCATATGTGCATACAAGTTCATTGGTTCAACATATATTTTAAAGAATGCCTTTGTCAGCACTAAATTTAAGGATGTGGTCAGAGTGAGCATCAGATGTTGCTCCTTAGCGGGTGCTCCCCTCTGCCCACCGCAGCGTGGTGCCTGCTGCTGCACCATTGCAGCTCCAGCACGGCACTCGGTGCTCAGGGTGCCTCCCAGTCACCCTGAGATTTTTGGTGAGCTCCCAGATGGTTTGAACAAGCAGTGAGATAAATCTCTGGCAGCGACCTTTTAACCATCATTCGGCCCAGTTCCAATTCACTTAGAAAGCAGAGCCGCAGGAGTGCTCCCTCCGAGCCAGACTCGAAGTGCATGGCATGTGGTCTAGACTCTGAGCAGGTTTCTCAGCATTGGCCCAGCTGGGGTTTGGGGCCACCTTATTTGTGGGGGGAGGGGTTGTCAATGTGCATTGACCTAAGATAATATCATATAATGGCACCCCTGGCCTCTATCCACACCTGTGGATAGAGGCCAGGGGTGCCATTATATGATATTATATGATATCCCCGAGCTGGGGACAGCCCACAGAGTCTCCAGGCATTGCCAAATGTTCCCTGGGGAACAAAACCATCCCTGGTTGAAAACAACTCATCGAGGGAAAATGTGTGTTTATATATATATATATTTTTTTTTAATATATATTTTATTTTTTTACAGGGAGGAAGAGAGAGGGATAGAGAGTTAGAAACATCGATGAGAGAGAATCATTGATCAGCTGCCTCTTACACACCTTCTACTGGGGATGTGCTCACAACCTAGGTACATGCCCTTGACCAGAATCGAACCCAGGACCCTTTAGTCCGCATAGGATGCTCTATCCACTGAGCCAAACCAGTTTTGGCTGTTTATATTTTTTATTTCTCAGATTAATACTCAACACAGTTCATTACCCTCAGAGATAACACGAACAGGAAAATAGTCTGTACTGCTCTACCTCCTGTCAGCTGTTAGCCTCGTAGGTGAAAGATTTCTCAGCTTGCTTGACTAAACTATATAAACCGTTGGTTGCAGAAAACATGGGAGAACATAGCACAGAGAAGGCATTGCTAGTTTACAAAGGAAGTTCAAGACTGCCCTCTCCAGGAACATCTTAGCTGCAGTGTCATTCTCCCCTTAGGTGATCGGAGCAGGGCTTGCTGGAGGCACAAGGCAGAGGCCCACGTCTGGCGCTAGGCTGTGCGCCATGCAGAGAGGCATGCATTTGGATAGTAGTTTCCCAGCTACATTATTCTCCAAGCCCCAATTCCTTGAGAATAAGGACCCTTCCTAAATTCACCCCCTCACCCCGCCCCGCAGAACTCTTGTAGATGAGGCTCTTACTGAACTAAATATCCAGCTGTTCCATGACACTTAAAGCAGAGAAGGGTTTGGGAGAAATGGAGAGCTGGACCTGGTGTGGTTTTGCTTGCTAAGAAAGATGGATGTGACAGAACGGACCAGAGGGTAAAGAGCACGTTCCACAGTCTCAGTAGTACAAGGATGCAGACTTGGAGCAAGTCAATTCAGTGGCAGATAAAGGTAGTCTGTATGGATATATGATTAGCATACTGAAGACTTGAACATATGTGTAACTTTATCAAGGATTCAGGAAATGGAGTTCACATCCTGCGAGTTGCGTAAAGACAGACTTCATTTGCATTTTAAATAGTGAGTTTGCTGAAAGCCAAACTGATGAGATTCTAATCATATCTTTAAAACCCCTAGTGACGCGGAGACTGAGAAGAAAGTAGGGCCTCCCTACCATGATTGTTTTCCAGAGCAGCAGCCTCTCTGCGCTCCAGCTGTGAAGAGACTTGGGAGGTCCTTAGCACGGGACCTCTGAGCTGATGCCCAAGGTCCAGGTCACCCATGGGGACAGGACAGACCCTCATTCCACTTTCCCACAAATCATAGGTGGTGCTGCAGTGGGTCAGCAAAGGTTGAGCCTGTGCCAAAACCTTTAAGAAAAGCTTCCATTTTGCTTACAGAAAATTAAATTATTACTCCTATTATACTCGAAAGAGTTATGTTCCCTAAACTGTGCATCAGAATCACATGGCATGCTTTTGAAAAATGCAGTTCCTGTGCCCCACCATTAGAGATTGTGATTCAGTGTCTGAGGTCTTCGCCTGCATTTTAGAGTATTGATTCCCATATGGTGGACATGGGATAGATATTTAAGAAACAGTGAGCTTGCCAAAGTTCTAAAAAGCCAAATGAAACACTAATTTTTAGAACTGTCGGGAGAGACAGAGAGAAGAACATTTTAAAATAGAACTAGAGCCTTTTGAATGCCACTTGAGAACTCAGTGTGTACAACCTCTAGATTTGGGAATAGGAGCTCTCTATCTCTATTGTTAAAGTGAAACCAGATTTACTATTTTAATTTATTTGCTTCACTACTTTACTCCAAACCAACATAATACATTGCCAAGGTTTAATATTTCTTTTTATAGACAATTTTTCCTCTTTGCGGGTTCACTTGTAGTTTGTTTCAGACTTCACATTATATATTAGTCTGAATAGGGGAAAACAGGTTATTTTTAATCACATGGAAGCTGGATGGAATGTGTGGGGGAGTCATTATATCTATTTTTGTCTGTGCTTAAAATTATTCATTATAAAATTTTTGTTTGTTTTAATGAAGGAAAAACAAGTGTCCTAAAGGTATGAATCACACACACTCTTGCAGGTGTGATGTACAGAGGACATAGCCAGCTTTCAGACTCGGGCCTCCTCTCTCCTGCTGTTGGGCTTTCTTAGATCCTCTCCGAGAGGCTGGGAGGGCGTGGCAGCTGTTTCACAGCAGGAAGTAGACATGGTGCCAGCTTTTTAAAGGCATGGCTCAGTGTTGCACTTTGGAAATTTCATCTTAAAGATAGTGTGAGACTTTGCTATAGTCTATACGTTTTCGGTGTCTGCCCCACCATTATGCTGTGCTATGCATAAGCAGTGGCAGTATTTTCCAGATAGAAGCTGACACACATTAAAACCTAATTGTATAGGGGAAAATGCATGAGATAAAATTATAAAGCATTTAAAATATGCCAAATAACATTCTAAGCAAGAATCTTGATTTCATCTGTTGAGAAATAAACCATGCAAAATGCCATTTTCATATAGTCATTTTGTCTATGAAATTAGAAATTATTTTAAGAAATCTTTATTGTTTTAATATCTTCACAAAAACTCTAGTGTCAGTGAGCACTGCCGTTGTAGTGCAGTTTCCAGGAGGAACCCCTCTCTGTTGGCATGGTTTATGGGAACAAATGTGGTACCCAACTCATAAATTTATGAGAAAGGCTAGAGGCCTTACCAGTTTTGTTTGTTTGTTTGTTTGTTTGTTTGTTTGTTTTGAGGTAGTTCCACTACTAACCAGTAGGAAGTATATATTTTATTAGAAATCCAGCTGATAAAATATTCTAAAAACTAGCCTTTTGTGTTTTGTATATTAAAAAAAACAACTGTAAAAGTCTATATAATTTCCTATGCATTAAACTCAAATAAGATAGGGCTCAATAAATTTACCTGAAGAATACATAAGGTCTTACTATGGCCTCTGTGAGTGTCTCACTAAGGGATTCAGAACAGCTCGTAGGAGCTATCTGAACTGCCATTTTTGTATTTTAAGAAAGTGGTTTTACAGGATGACTTCTCCCTGCCTTCTGTTGCTTTACTTTTTCCCTCTTGAAAGAATGTGTTGTGATCTGGAAGTATTTAGAACTGTTCTAATTGTGACAAATTAATAAATAATCAGCAATTGATTTCATGGCTAAAAGCAGTTGAAAGGTTCTGAGGTTTAGTTCTAACATCTTACTTCAGAGGAGCCAGTGAAGTATCACAATATAAATTGTATTTAAAGCAAAATCAAGAGATATCCCCTTGTAGTTAAGTTCCAGCATCTTTAATGTACGTACATTTCATTTTTCATTGTTTTTCTGCCAGGTTTGGGAATCAGAATGAGCACTATCTTTTACAGATGTTCAAGATTAGGTTTTTCAAGAAAAAGTCATGTTTTATTATCCCTTTCACTTTTTTCTCCCCTAAGAGTTAACTTGATAGTAGTTGAAAAGTAAGCTGTTAGGATAAGTGAAACATTTGGTTAACATGTGCTTAAGACAGGCGTATGTTTCAGATTATGAAAATTTAGTTGACTATTTCCCCAGTCTGATTTTCTTTAAAATCAGTTTTTTAAAATTCTCATAGATGGTGATGGTGATAATGATTATTAAAAAGAAACTGGGCCGGGACCGGTTTGGCTCAGTGGATGGAGTGTCGGCCTGAGGACTGAAAGGTCCCGGGTTCAATTCCGGTCAAGGGCATGTACCTTGGTTGTGGGCACATCCCCAGTAGGGGGTGTGCAAGAGGCAGCTGATCGATGATTCTCTCTCATCGATGTTTCTAACTCTCTATCTCTCTCTTCCTCTCTGTGAAAAATCAATAAAATATATTAAAAAAAAAAAAAAAAAGAAACTGGGGTGCATTCCCTTTTAACTGTAAAACTCAACATCTGTGTATCTTCTTGAGAGGTTTATCCTATAGTTAGTGTTAAATCTGGAAAACAAAAGTAGAAATTTCTAATGTAAAGTTTAAATATAAGTTGGAAGAACATTTTTACAAAAGTTCTATTTTGGTTATTGATGGGCCTTCTTACTAAGCACTTAAGACAGTATTAAAGGCTTTGAACATCTTGACTGTTGGTTCTCTGATACACTTTTTTAGAATTCTCCTCATCTATCTCCCCCTTCCGCCTCTAAAATTTAATTGTAAACTTGATCAGCTGACCAAGATCACTATATAAGACAGAAAGATGATTCTTCAGCCTGATGGCAAGATTTCTGCAATGTTTAGTCCTCTTTTTGTTAATCATACACATTCTACTTCTTAATGCAGTACCCATCTATATATATAAAAGCCTAATATGCAAAGTGTTTCTATGGGAATTCTGCCAGGAGTTCTGTTGCTTGCTGTGATGTGTGCTGACCACCAGGAGGCGGCACAGAACAAAGGAAGGCTCCAGCCAGCAGCTGGCAGCCAGGGAAGGGAGTCCCCAGCCAGCAGCTGGAAGGCTCTGATTGGTCCTGATCGCCAGCCAGACCTAGGGACCCTACCCATGCATGAATTTCGGGCCTCTAGTAAAACATAATCTTGTTGTAAAACAAACATTCTCCAAGAAATGTCTGTTTTCTACAGTTTCTCTTAGAGAAATAAAATTCTTTGTCCTAGATCTGATCTCCAGTTTTCACAAGATGAATGCTGAGAAGGTTATAGGCAGTATCTGTTAAAAAGCATTACTTTCTGTTAACTAGAGATGTGCAAGCCAGCCAGCGTTCCATAGCCTTAATTGCAGAGATGATCCACACTGCTAGTCTCGTTCACGACGATGTCATTGACGATGCCAGTTCTCGGAGAGGAAAGCACACAGTTAATAAGATCTGGGGTGAAAAGAAGGTATGGCTTTTTATTTGTTTTTTAATGTTCTTTGGATTACATTTATTTTTCATATTTGTCTCACTAAAAAATTAAGCTTCTTCAAATGTGGTCTACCAACTTTTAGAATAGTATTCATGTCTTCTTTTTTTTTTTTTTTTTTTTAATTTTTTTTATTGATACCTTACAGAGAGGAAGGGAGATAGAGAGCTAGAAACGTCGATGAGAGAGAAACATCGACCAGCTGCCTCTTGCACACCCCCTACTGGGGATGTGCCCACAACCTTGACCGGAATTGAACCCGGGACCTTTCAGTCCGCAGACTGACACTCTACCACTGAGCTAAACTGGCTTTGGCTATATCTTCTTTTTTGTTTTGTTTTGTTAATCCTCACTGGAGGATATTTTTTCCAATGATTTCTATTGAGGGTGTAAGGGAAGCTTGGGGAGAGAGAAAGGAAGGGAGGAAGGGAGGGAGGGAGACATTATTGGTTGCCTCCTGCAAGCATTGTGATGGGGCAGGAATCAAGCCTATGGTGCACAGGCCAACACACTTAACCACTGAGCAATACTGATCAAGGCCATGACTTATATAGGTATTTTATAATAGACTAGGCACCTTTTGCAGGAATATTCCTGCAAGACTTCTGGTGGGCTTCCCTCCTACCACCCCCACCTCTCCCACTGCGGCGGGCAGGGCAGGGCAGGGTGGGCAGGCGGGGCCACCTTCGTCACTGTCTCCAAGGCCGAGTGCACTGCCACCACGCCTGACTCGCCGTGCTTGCCACTGCCACACAGCCCCGCCCCGCAACATGCTGCCAGTGCTTTCCCACCAGCAGTCACAGCCGCCTTGCTTTCCACTTTCCCTTCCTCTTCCTTCTATGCTGTCTTCAGTTTTTATTCCTCCCTCCCTCCATGTATGCAAATTAACCACCATCTTTGTTGGGTTACTTTGCATATTCACTCTGATTGGCTGGTGGGTGTAGCTTGTGTAGTGGAGTGGCGGTTAATTTGCATATTACTCTATTATTAAGTTAGATGAATACCACAGAAAAATAAATATTTCTGGTTATTCTCAGTTTTCTATAGAATTTCATATGATTATAAGGGAAGTGGTTTCTGAGGGTATCCAAAACACTTATTTCATGAGGAATCATATATTTTCCTTTTGGGCTGATTCCCACATTATGAGTGTCATAAAACTTTAAAGATAAGTAAATAAAATTTTTAAAATAAAATTTTAAAAAAGTTAAAGGTACTTTTTTTTTTTAAGTTCTGCTTAGGCTGCAGGTTTTTTGTTTTTGTTTTTTTAATATATTTTATTAATTTGTACAGAGAGAAAGGGAGAGAGATAGAGAGCTAGAAACATCGATGAGAGAATCATCGATCAGCTGCCTCTTGCACACCCCCTACTGGGGATATGCCCGCAACCAAGGTACATGCCTTGACCGGAATCGAACCCGGTTCCCTTCAGTCCTCAAGCCAACGCTCTATCCATTGAGCCAAACTGGTCTCAGCCAAAGGTACTTTTTTACAATGATAATTTTACCTTTTGAAATAGAGACTCTATAATTAGGGTTGGTTCATATATTTAAAACGTATTTCTGTATTATTTTATTAGCATTTTTTGAAGGAGCTATGCAAAACGGAGTGTTGTTGGAGATGCTTCAGGCATGGGTTCAAAGGATGGGGATGTAGTTGAACAAATAAAAGTACAATGTGCAGGCCTCTGGGAGCCATCTCCCCCACACACTCCTCCATGCTGCCCGCCTGTGACAGACCTAACACTAATGGGAAAGGTTTCCTCTCACCTTCCCCTCGCTCACGCATGCATGGTACTTGGCGCCTGCTGTGCTCTTCGCCCTTATTAAGAGAAGAAATGTGTGTTCATTGTTATCTTCACATGCTAGTTTTGCTTTAATGTCCTTCACTTTGTTGTATAATCGAGTCCTGCAATTCCATTTGTAAGATTTTTTTTTTAAATATATTTTTTAATTGATTTCAGAGAGGAAGGGAGAGGGAGAAAGAGATAGAAACATCAATGATGAGAGAGAATCATTGACCGGCTGCCTCCTGCACACCCCCTACTGGGGATCGAGCCCACAACCCAGGCATGTGCCCTGATTGGGAATTGAACCTGGGACCCTTCAGTAGACTCTATCCACTGAGCCAAACTGGCTAGGGCTGTGAGGTTTTTATTTCAAATTGTAGATTAAAGATTTTGCATCTCATTAACAGAATTCCATTCATCAGAACATTGGTAAAGAGAGGGTACAGTTTTATTTTGAAAAGGTTGTGGGTAACTATGATATGTCCTGGTGGTCAGCTGTCAGTCAGTGCTCTTAAAGCCTAATTTGGCTCTTGGTCAGGGAAGAAGATTAAGAGAACAAATGAAGGTCTTCTCCTTGACCAGTCCCCTCTATAACAGCCTCCGTTGTTGGGGCCTTTTTCTAAGTGTGGGTGAAGGAAGGTTCCCGCTGCCATCTGCCTCCTTGAGCTGTGAGTCTGGTCTGCCCCGCACAAAGCCACCTGCCAATCTCCCCTTTCCTGTCCCTCAATCCAAACTACTCTGATAGTGATAAAATAAAATGTAAAAACTCACACAGTGCCACCTCTATGAGCCCCCATTTCCCTGCCTGAGTCCCAGACCTGCCTGCCTTTAACCCCTCACCCCAGGAAGCCCAGGCTAGCAGCTTCAGTTCCATATGCTAGAACTTTTGCCTCCAGGAACCCTAGGGCCCGGAGAGGAAAGAGGTAAAGGCTTAGAGATCTGCTAATGATGTAGTATAGATGGATGGACCTGTGTGTGCACATATGTCTCATGATTATAAGATGGCTTCTCAAGATATGTCATATAAAATGACAGTTCATTGGTAAACATAGTGAACATCATTAATTTTAGATATTAGAGAAGCAGTAGACAATAAAACCTTAAAATGTGGTTTGTTGAAGTCTATAAATTAAAATTTCTATGAACTCTAGCATTTATAACTAGTTACTCTATAACATAACACTTGGGCATACCTTTTGGTATGAAAGTTAGTGTATTTGATTATAGCATGTAATTCAGTTATGTCTAATTTATAGTTAGTTGCAAATACTATATGACATCTCCTCACAAATGAGTGCTGGAGGAAGAAGGGGAAGGACTTGGCAGAGGAAGCAGTAAGTGCAAAGGCACAACGAGGCGGTTTGAGGAAGTGGTCCAGCATCACCAATGGAAAGCAGCTGCTCTTGGAGGGGCTGGGGGATGGAGCTGGAGGGTAAGATGCCTTCCATCTCCCGGCATCATTTCTTTAGGTCAGAAGCGGGGAGCTAGACTGGTAAGCTCTGAGAGCCAGTCCAGTCCAAACAATGTCCCAAATCTGGAACTGTTTTCACAAAATGCCATTGAGCAAGAGGAAGGAGAAAACTCACATCTAAGATGGCCCCTTCCTCTCACTCCGTAGCTTCTGAGAAGTCGGCTTCATTGTTGACTAACACCCTTGCCCTGACACTTTCTCTGAAAGGTTTTTCTTTTCTAGGCTGTTCTTGCTGGAGATTTGATTCTTTCTGCAGCATCTATAGCTCTGGCACGAATTGGAAACACAACTGTTATATCTATTTTAACCCAAGTTATTGAAGATCTGGTGCGTGGTAGGTTAATTCCAACTTCTCTTTTTTTATTCCATCTTAGTATGTAGTTGGGCAGTAAAACCATGTCTCAAATAATCCCTTTCTTTCTTTTTAGGTGAATTTCTTCAGCTAGGGTCAAAAGAGAATGAGAATGAGAGATTTGCACACTACCTTGAAAAGACCTTCAAGAAGACTGCAAGTCTGATAGCCAACAGTTGTAAAGCAGTATGTACGTTCTGTCTTCTTTCAAGTTAAAAAAAAAAAAAAAAAAAAAAAAAAAAAGCCTCTTTCTTGAGAGTTAATTCTCCTAGAAAAAAATTCACTAAAGAACCTTAAAATAGTTCCACAAACCCCAGAGGTCATTGAGAAAAGAACCCCAAACAGTGGAGAACTTCTGCTGTTTTCATATTTCTGTCTTCTTTTGCTATGCAGATATTCACTTTTTATTCTCTTCCCCCTCCACCCCTGGCAAGTGTTTAATCCAAATAAGCTTTAGTCACTAAATCTAATTTCCAAACTATGTTATCTTTTGGACAGCTTATGAGTAATTCTTTTCATGATTGCTGTCCCATAAAAAGTGTGCCTTTAAAAAGTTATGAAGTGCTGTGTTACCCAGGAAAAAATGTCTAACAATAATACTAGATTGTACTAGTGTTTTGTGTTTTTTTATGAGTAGTAGATCCTCCTATTATTTTTACATGAAATATAAACAAGCCATTTTTCTTCAGAATATAAATTGTGAGCCATAACTTTTTCTTTACTTAGCCTTCTCCCTGGCCTTCCCTCCGCTGTCCATACTTTTCTTTTTAAAAACTCCGTTAGCATTGTCCTTAATCTATAGACTAAAAATGTGTGGTGTCCAGTGCTAGCCCATAAAAAATGTAAGTTTGCTCCATAGAATTATATGTCTCAGCCTAACATGTAACAGATGAAACCTGGGCAAGTAATAGTCCCTTGTAATTAAAGCAACAAGAAAGAAAACCAGTAAGGGGCAAATGTCAATTGCTGTCATGATACTCTTAACATAATTACAGCTAAAGAGCTTTTCCTCAGGCCGCGGGTAAAAAAAAGTCCCGTGCCAGTTGTGTGTCTATTTTGAAAAGTGTCGAGAAATGGATAATTGTGAGCCAGAAAAGAACAAGGACATTTTCTTCCTAAAAAAAAGATCTAATTGAAACCCAAAGGAATGTAAATTATGTAGAACATGTTGGCAATGATTTCAGCCACTTTTGTCTTTATTAAAGGGGCTATTTTTATTTCCAAGAAATTGAAAGTTTTTTAAAAAAGAGAGACAGATGTGTCCTGGCCTGTTTGCTCAGGGGCAGGCGTCCTCAAACTTTTTAAAGTGGGGGCCAGATCACGGTCCCTCAGAGAGCTGGAGGGCCGGACTATATGAACTACTAATTCCTACTGTAACATCTCGGCTGCGCTCACTGCCCAAAAAACCTGGCGGGCCGGATCAGACTCCTCTGCGGGCCGCAGTTTGAAGACGCCTGGATTAGAGCATTGGCCCATGGACCAAAGGGTCTTTAATTCGATTCCTGGTCTAAGGCATGTACCTCATTACAGGATTGATCTCATGCCCTGGTTGGGGTGCGTGTGGGAGGCCATCATTGGATGTGTCTCTTACATTGATGTTTCTCTCCTCCCTCTCTCACTCTTTCTCCCCCCCCCCCCCCCCCCCCCCCCCCGTTTCCTCCTCTCCACTCTAAAAATATTCTTTGTAAGGATTAAAAAGGAGAGAGATGGATGAAAATATGGTAGACATGCCGAGACCGGTTTGGCTCAATGGATAGAGCATCGGCTTGGGGACTGAAGGGTTCCGGGTTCGATTCCGGTCAAAGGCATGTGCCTTGGTTGTGGGCATGTCCCCAGTAGGTGGTGTGCAAGAGGCAGCTGATCGATGACTCTCTCTCATCGATGTTTCTAACTCTCTATCTCTCTCCCTTCCTCTCTGTACAAAATCAATAAAATATATTTAAAAAAAGAAAATATGGTAGACACGAATGCCAACTAAAAAGAATGACCTACTTAAAAGGGTCCATAAAGCTGTTCCATTAATTGATCATACCCTTGATCACCAAAGTTTCTGTGAAGATCAAGATCCATCCTAACGAGGCCCCTGGTGTGTTCAGTGAAGCTTGCTGGTGGTTTCACCAACTTGAGCCTGCAGTTATTAATAGAAGCACTAGCAGGTAGAGGGACTGTTAGAACTAGAAACACTGAGAATCATTTGTCCACACAGTAGACATCCCATTGGCACGTGGCAGTAGCATCACTTGGAGCCAGCACAGGAACCAGTACCCTCAGTGATTAAATCCTATGAAGGGGCCAAAGAGATAGGCCCAACTCATCCAAGAAAGGCTTAATTGTGGTCACAGACCTCTCTTAGGAAGCCAAGACATTATAGCACATGTAATGTTTATAAAGAGCACCTTGTTCTTCACAGATTAGCAAGTGAACAGTGGATGCGAATATTAACATGGCTCACCCTATTAAATATGAAGTGTGTTATTCTGTCCACTAGGAGGCATGCTGGCATCATCCCAGAACTACCCACTTTCATGGGATGTATTTCTAAATTCCAGCCTATTAGAATAACAAAGCAAAATCAGTGTGGGCTCTCTGGATAAAAGTTTCTATATGTTATATGTAAGTGTATATGGGTAGATATATTCCAAAGGTGTTATGTTTTCAAAATTGCTATTTTTATATAGCCCTGGTATTTAAAATGCAAGTATATGTGGACTCCAGAAGAATGCTTGCAAAGCAAATTACAGATGTCAAAAGGAGGAGATAAAGAGAATTTAAACATCAGGATTATTAGAGAACTAATAGAATTCCATGATGTTATAGAACTTGAAGGAAATTTAGCAGTTTATAATTCACTAGAAGCCCGGTGCATAAAATTCATGCAAGGAGGGGTGGTGTCCCTCAGCCCAGCCTGCACCCTCTCCAATCTGGGAGATTGCCCATATAGGCCCCATCCCAGTAGGATCAGGCCTAACGGGCAGTTGGATATCCCTCTCACAATCCAGGACTGCTGGCTCCCAACTGCTCGCCTGACTGCCTTCCTGATTGCCCCTAACCGCTTCTGCCTGCCAGCCTGATCATTCCCTAAACACTCCCTGCCAGCCTGATTGATGCATAACTGTTTCCCTGACAGCCTGATTGCCCCTAACTGCCCTCCCCTTCAGACCTGGTCACTCCTATCTGCCCTCCCTGAAGGCCTGGTCGACCCCAACTTCCCTATCCTCCAGGCCTGATTCCTCCTAACTGCCCTCCCCTGCAGGCTTGGGTCCCTCCCAACTGCTCTCTCCTGCAGGCCTGGGTCCCTCCCAACTGCCCTTCCCTACAGGCCCAGTCACCCCCAACTTCTCTCCTCTGCCGGTCTGGTCACCCCTAACTGCCTTCCCCTGCTGGCCTGATCATCCACAACTGCCCTCCCTTGTTGGCCTGGTCGCTCCAAACTGCTCTCCCCTGCTGGCCATCTTGTGATGGCCATCATTGATCACATAGGGGCAGCCATCTTGTGTATTGGAGTGATGGTCAATCTGCATACTACTCTTATTAAATAGGATAGAGGCTTGGTGCATGGGTGGGGGCCATCTGGTTTCCCCTGAAGGGTGTCCTGGATCAGGGTGGGGGTTCCCTTGGGGTGTGGGCGGCCTGGGCCAGGGGCCTGAGGTGGTTTGCAGGCTGGCCACGCCCCCTAGCAACCTAAGCGAATGCCCTGGAATCTGGGGTTTATTTATCTTCTGTAATTGAAACTTTGTAGCCTTGAGCAGAGGCCTAGGCAGGTAGGAAGCTTGGCTTCCTCCATCACGGGGGCAACCAAAGCCTCACTGGCTCCAGCTCCATGATCACTGCCATATTTGCTGAGTTAATTTGTATACTCACTCCTGACTGGCTCGTGGGCATGGCTTTGGGGCATAGTGGAGGTATAGTCAATTTGCATGTTTCTCTTAGGATTCTACTAAGGACACCATTACTTCACTCTGTTTTTAACCACTCACAGTATTTTAGTGGAAATAGTAATGAAATCTAAGAGAGGACTATCTAGGATTGTTTTGTGGCACTGGTTGGATATGAATGTAGAAGTAATTTTAATTGGCTATTTATTTATATACAGTCATGCCAAGTACATCCTGTAGCTTTCCAGTGAAGGTATGACTTGTCCTCCAGAAAATCTGATGGGAATGAGACTGAGCGGTCTGGTTGCCATCCAGTATTATTCAGTACAACTGACAGTGGCTGAGCTGGGATTTGAACCAAGAACTGGATATGGTATTCCTACGTTCAGTTTTCCTCTTTTCTGAATTTATGTGGGTGCATGTGGCTGGAATCAATAAGCTATCTTTCTATTATTTAGTTTTCAATGATACAGAGTGCCACCACAGAACTTTATGTGGGTCATATTTATAGAATACTGTTTTTGGTTATGTTTTTATTATCTAACCTTATTCAGATTTTGCCAGTTGTCATAATACTGTTATAACAAATGGAAACAATTTTTTCTGGTACAAGATCCAATCCACACTCGCATGTTGCATTTAATTGTCGTGTATCTGTAGTCTCTTTTGTTCTGGAACAGCTCTTATTTTACTACTACTGTGGTTCACTTGGTCACCTGACTAGGGTGGTGCCTGCCAGATTTCTTCACTTTCAAATTCAAACTCCCCATCTCTGGTTTTCGAATCTATTTATAATCCTTTCCTGAGACAGTTATTACTGTGCTGGTTGCCAAATGAATGTAGAGAGATCCTATTATATCTCTACATCACATTTCTACACTGAGTTGGTATTTTATTCTAAGGAAGTTTTTTTTAATTGTCACCTGAGAATATTTTTGCATGGATTTTTCTTTTTTTCTTTTCTTTTTTTTTTTTAAGAGAGAGTGGAGGGGAGGGACAAAGCAGAGAACTAACCACTTTCATGGGATTTATTCCTAAATTCCAGCACTATTAGAATAATAAAAACAAAATTAGAATTAGAATGGACTCTCTGAATAAAAGTTTCTATATGTAGAAATATATGGGTAGAAATATTCCAAATATTGAGAGAGAGATCGGTGTGAAACACATTGATTGGTTGCCTCCACATGTACAGAGAGAGAGAAAGAGAGAGAGAGAGAGAGAGAGAATGAGAGAGAAACATCAATGTGAGACACTGATTGGTTGCCTCCACATGCAACCTGACTGAGGGGCTAGAGATCAAGCCTGCTACCCAGGTATTTGTTTTTGACCTGGAATCAAACCTATGGACCAATGTTCTAATTACTGAGCCGAATCAGCCAGGGCTATTTTAAGGAAGATTTTTGTCTATGAACTCGTGGTTTCTTATTTTATTCTTTGGATTATAATCCTTTATTGTTATTTATTTTAATGCCCACTTGCCCCAAATATAACCAGTGGGGAAGGCCTTTTAACCTTGCTCCTGTGTCCAATGAACATATCCCTAGTATTTGTAACTGAACTATTGGACACCTAAATGCCTGATGGCTGAGGAAACCATGGTATGCTCACACAATGGGATACGATTCTTTCAGCACTTCCTTTGTTTCTGGGAGCTCTGTCTGGCTTTCTTGTGGGGGATAAATGTAGACCCTTTCTTTGCCCTTCTCCGTTTTGGTTTTTGCTGTCTTTGTTCCCTAAAACTGGGCCTGGGCCTGCTCAGCAGAGCAGTAGGAACTGCATCCAGGTGGCTGGTGCCAGCTACTTTTTTGAGAGTTTTAAGAAAGACTTAGCTAAAAGTCTTACTTCTCCTCACTGTAAAGAAAAACAAACAAATATGGAGGAGACCGCAGGACCAACGAAGATCCTTTGATAATAAAAGAACAATATTTATGTCTGAAATATGAGGCTTTAGGCAATTACAAACATTTCAGAAATAAGTGGAATCACTAAAAATGGTCTACTAATGGGGAAATATGTATGGCATCTTTGTGTGTATGATTATATTAGGATACCATATCCCTAAAAATAAGGACTAGAAAGATAACAAAGAAAACCAACAATTGGAACAACTGTTAAGTGCTAGAAGCCAGAATTTCACATATTGAAGTTTATTTCGCATTTCAAAATTAGTCTAGTGTAGCATCATTTTCCTAAGCAGTGAGAAAAAGGGTTTATCCTGTGAAAAAAGGGAGAGAAAGGATAGTTTTCTTAGAATTTAAGGAAATTAACTGAGACTAAAATCCTTCCATTAAGATCACAGGTATAGCCGAAACCGGTTTGGCTCAGTGGATAGAGTGTCAGTATGCAGACTGAAAGGTCCCAGGTTCAATTCCGGTCAAGGGCAAGTACCTTGGTTGCAGGCACATCCCCAGTATGGGGTGTGCAGGAGTCAGCAGATCGATGTTTCTCATCAGTGTTTCTAACTCTCTATCCTTCTCCCTTCCTCTCTGTGAAAAATCAATAAAATATATATATTTTTAAAAATCACAGGTATAGTTGACTCTTATTCAACACAGGTTTAGACTGTGCAGTTCACTCACATGCAGGTTTTTATCCAGTAAATACTGTAAATGTATTTTCCTTATGATTTTCTTCACACCTTTCTCTAACTTGATTATAATACAGTATAGAGTATATATGTAATATTCATAACATGCAAAATATGTATTAATCAACTGTTATTTCTAAGGTTTCAGTCAACAGTAGACTATTAGTAGGTAAGTTTTGGGGGGAGTTAAAAGTTATATATGACCCTGGCCGGGGTTGTTCAGTGGAGAGTCAAGCCATGAACCAAAAGGTCACAGGTTCGATTCCCGGTCAAGGGCACGTACCTGGGTTACAGGTTCAATGCCTTGCCCAGTTGGGTTGCGTGCAGGAGGCAATCAATCGATGTTTCTCTCTTTCTCCTCCCTCCCTTCCACTCTCTAAAAATTAATAGAAAAATATCCTCCAGTGAATATTAATTGAACAAAAACAAGTTATATGTGGATTTTTACTCCCTGGGGATCAGCGCCCATAACTCCACATTGTTCAAGGGTTAGCTGTGCTTGCACATGTTTGGTCTCCTGATAGCAATATTTCCTGGTTGTACACCATCTAGCCTCATTGCCTCTCAAGGGAACGGGTGTCTGACTCCCGCCATGCAGTGTTTGGCTGCCTTGCTCTTGCCTGCCAGCCACTTAACTCGGAATTCTTTTTCTGTTCCAGGTCTCTGTCCTAGGATGCCCTGACCCAGTGGTGCATGAGATTGCCTATCAATATGGGAAAAATTTGGGAATAGCCTTTCAGGTTGGTCCGCTATGTAAGACTATCCTGCCAGTATGGTGGGAAGCATGGCTGTGAAGTTGGGATGGTGGTGTCTATGACATTCTTTTTGTCCTTTCACTAGCTGATAGATGATGTACTGGACTTCACCTCATGTTCTGAGCAGATGGGCAAGCCAACGTCAGCTGATCTGAAGCTCGGATTAGCCACTGGCCCTGTCTTATTTGCTTGTCAGCAGGTAGGTTTTGGACAAGTCCCTTGGACACACTGCTGTGCAGCCCTACAGAACCAGTATCCTCCAGGCACAGCGAATGGGAAGTTTAGATAATATTTAGGAAAGCATCTAGGTCAGAGACCTCTATCTAGATTTGATCCGGGCTCTATGACTGAGATGTTGGGTACAATCATTGCACCTGTAAGCTTTATTTCCTTTTGTAAAACTGAGATGGCTACAGCCTTCATGCTAGGATTGTTGTGAGGATTAACAGATAAGTTTCATGGAGATACTTTGTAAATTAAGTGCTGTATGCATTTAAGATAGTATTATGATTATTTCCATGTATTTGGAGCACTGACAAGGTGGTTTCCACATCTTGATTATAGGGCTGGACTTTGGGTGTGCCTCAGAATCCCTTACAAAGGCACAGGAAGGGCCTCCAAGCTTAAGAAATTCTGAGAAATTCTCCAGTTTTAGAAGTTTAATGGGACTGTTTGCTGCTCTCAGAGAGCCTCGGGCACTGCCTCAAAATGTCAAGAAGTCAGTGGAATGCACTGCTAGAACATAGTTGCTTCTTTCTCCAGTTTGAGGGGCTGTCAATTAAGGAAGTAAGTAAAGCTGCCTTCATATTCTTAATGTAGTTGAAAAGCTTAGGAGGCTTTAAAGATTCTGCAGTGACGTGCAGGCCAGACGTCCCATAGCCTGCACAGCCAAATGTCATGTGGAAGAAGTGGGACATTGGCTTGTATTTGGACATCATCTTAATAGATTTAATCTTAGTAGTATTTAATTCATTATTTTACAAAGCTGTAAGATGTTCATCACTATGCCGTGAAATTAAAAATTAGTTCTTTGGAAAAAAAAAAAATTAGTTCTTTGGTCTGAAATTTTAGTAACTTTTGGCATTTTAGAAATTTTGCCTCTTTACTTCCCCAAAATTCACAAAGATAAATCATGCCTTCCGTAGAACTCAGTGATTCTATTTGAATATTATAGAAACCAGTGACCTTACTTTTGATCTGTTTCTGACCAAAAAAATATATATATATATATATATATATATATATATATATATATATAGAGAGAGAGAGAGAGAGAGAGAGAGAGAGAGAGAGAGAGAGATAATCTTTTTCCCACAATCTAGGACAGCCATAGCCAGGACAATTCTTCTCAGAAGAGGTTATTGGCTTGGGGGACTGGGCCAGGTTACCTTGGGTAACGTACTAGTAGACAACAGTCAGTTGAGGAATGATGGCTGTGCAATGAGACCACTTTGTGGAAGGCTCTGTCCGCATTACTGGGCTCCACCCTCAGAATTTTGAGGCAGAGAAGTGAAAGATGTGCTATAAAAGGGTCTTTTCTCCTATTGAGATTAACTCGCCAGCCCAAAACTCAAGAATGTTAATACATTGCCAAGTTCTGAAAAAACTTATAAAATCCCCTTGAGTGAGGGATAAGCATGAGTGAGGAACATTTTCTTTATCATTAGCCACAAAAGTAGAGTATTCATGAGCCATGTAAAGGTATGCCTGAGACTAGAAAGATCAGTCACTGGTTACCATCTACACAATTTAAAAAAATCAATCTCCTCCTCAGAGCCTGGGAGCAAATGTGAATGAAGAATAAGATGGACTAATTGCACCGAGATTCAACCAACTTGGTCCATATCCCTTTAGTTAGGCTCTGAGGTTATCTAGAGCAGTGTTTCCCAACCTTCTCTCATGATGAGAATCACCTGGTGGAGTTGTTAAAACACAGACTCCCAAATCCCAACTAAGAAGTGCTAAACTAGAATTTTTGAGAACATATAGGTAAAATTGCATACCTAACTTAGTGCTCTGTATATAAAATCTGTCTTAGAGCACTAGTTAAGTATACAATTTTACCTATATGTTCCCAAAAATTCTAGTTTAGCACTTCTTAGTTGGGATCCGGGAATCTGTGTTTTAACAACTCCACCAGGTGATTCTCATCATGAGAGAAGGTTGGGAAACACTGATCTAGAGGACTAAGGGATAGGCCTCTCCCCGAAGCACCTCACAGTCTACTAAAAAGCAGTCTTAATCCTTCCTATATAATAAAGAGGTGATATGCAAATTAACCCTCACAAGATGGCTGCCTACAGCAGGTGGGGGGGTAAGAGAGGGACAACCAAACAACTGAACAAGCAGGCTGCGTGGGGCGACCAGGCCTGCAGGGGGGTTAGTGAGGGACGACCAAATGACGGGTCTCTTGTGCGTTTATAAATAACTTTCAAATAAGCTTACACTCTACTAAAGATTATACTGTCAAAAAAAGGATTCTTGGCCAGAATTTTGGGGTAAAACAAGTTCCAAAAATAACATAGAACATGCAGTATCTTCCTTTAACGAAAATACATTGTTTTCATAGTTTGCAAAGGATTCTTTGACATTATCTCTAACAAATCCTTTTTTTGGTATTATATCCATCCTACAAATAAGAAAGTGATGCTCAAACTTGACCAAAATTAAGTGTTTAGTAGAGAGCACAGCAGGCAGTTAACGCTCCAAGTCTTCTGAGACTACTGTTCATGTTACTGCCCAGTACAGCGGTGCTGCCCGTGTTGTGAAAGCTAGTGCCTGTGAGCTGGTCCCCGTAGGTCTCCCACAGGGTAGGCATGGCTCTGGAATGCACTGACAGCACTCACAGAAGGGCCTGTGCGTCAGCTTTCACGGCTTGTGATTAACCTAGCCATTTAGTGGAGAAGTTAGCTCTAAGATGTTTGTGCTCTTTGTCCATATGCAGGTGAGCTTTGTTTGCATATTAGAAAAATCTATGTTTGAACTTTTCCATTTGTGACACTGAGTCTCACTTGGACCAAGACAATCACCCTTGGGAAGTGGCCTTTCCTTTTTAACTTAGTACGGGGAACTTTGCGTTTGTTGGATCCAGCAATTTGATAGAAACTTTCTCTCTGGAATTCACTATTTGACATCTCTCTGAAGGGATTTCTTTTTTTTAATCTTTATTTTTTTAATCATTACGTATATCCCCTTCTTCACCCTACTGACATCTTCTAGCCCATTCCCACTCCCCACTCCAGCCTTCATCACCCTGTCTCTGTGTCCATATATACATGCAAGTTCTTTGGTTGATCTCTTCCCACTCACCCAGCCTCCCCTGCCTTCCCTCTAAGATTCCATAGTCTCTAAAGGTGTCTCTCTCTCTCTCTCTCTCTCTCTCTCTCTCTCTCTCTCTTTCATATATATATATATATATATATATATATATATATATATATAATTTTCTACAGAGAGAAAGGGAGAGGGATAGAGAGTCAGAAACATCAATGGGAGAGAAACATCAATCAGCTGCCTCCTGCACACCTCTTCTGGGGATGTGCCCACAACCAAGGTACATGCCGTTGACCAGAATCTAACCTGGGACCTTTCTGTCCACAGGCCAACACTCTATCCACTGAGCCAAAATGGTTAGGGCCAAATGGGTTTCTTGATAACAGTTGATACAAGGGGTTTAAGAGATTTCTAGAGAGATGCCAGTGATGACAGTGTTCTTTCATGAGGAAGTGTTGTACATATTTTAAGAACAAAAACCTCAGGTTAAATTTTTTATGTGTTTTGTTTCTTATCCTCATGCAAGGATATTTTCCCATTGATTTTAAGAGAGAGTAGAAAATAGAGGGAAAGACAGAAAGAAATACCGATGTGACAATTGGCTGCCTCCTGCAACACCTTGACTAGGGCTTAGGCTGGGGAGGAGCCTGCAATTGAGGTCCATGCCCTTGACCGGCATCAAATCCATCTACAGGCCAACGCTCTAACCAGTAAGCCAAACTGGGTTGAGCCTAAATCTTTAAAAAGGATATAGGTCTCAGATTTTGAAATCTTCAGAAACAAAATGGAAGTGGTGTGTGTGTGTGTGTGTGGTGTGTGTGTGTTTGTGTGAGACTACATTAGTGAGTTCTCAAATGTCCTTTTCCATTCTTCCTCTGCTTCTCTTACTTACTAAGTCTCCAGTCCTAAATGTCAGACCATAGCTGTACTTCCAGCTGCCATCACCATCACCAGCCCCTGCACCGGCTGCACAGGCTTCTGCTATTGTGACTAGTTGGTGCCTTAAGTTTTTTTTAGCTCTAGTTTATTTATCCTTTGTAGTTTATGGTATAGCTTAGATTTCAGAGTTAGAATGTGAATTTCCACATTTTAAAAAAAGACACTGGGCCAACAAAGTTTCTCTTATTTCTCAGTAAATCTGCAGGCAGGCAACTGTCCTTCCCGTTATGTTTCTCATTTCTTCTCCAATACACATGAAGGGGACAGAGGAGTGTCTGGGGAAGAGTTTGGTATTTGCATAGTAAAACTGCACACAATACATGTTCCAAAGAAAGGACATTTAATGCAATTTTTTTTTTCAAATTTTGCTTTATCAGTGCTTTTTATAGTAAAAGGAATTAAAAAGCCATGTAGTCAGCACATTTTTACCACACTTGTTTGTATTGCAGGAAAAACTCATAACCATAAACAAGGTGATTTTTATTAGATGCCCAGGATAGTAGTGCATCAGCTTTGAAAAATATAAGCTTCTAAAAAGCCATTTTTGGAAGGTGGTATTGTTTAAATGCTTTTCTACCATGGAATACTATGTAGCAGTACACAAGAGGGATCTCTTAGCCTTTGAGGCAGCAGGGAGGGACCCAGAGAATATTTTGCTAAGTGAAATAAGCCAGTCAGGGAAAGACAAGTATCAAATGCTATCACTCATATGTGGAATCTAAAGAACAAAAATAAGCTGATGAACAAAATAGACCCAGGGGCATAGAAGCATGGAGCAAACTGGAATCTCAGGGAAAGAGGGGAGCGTGGGGGGGGGGGGGGGGGAGAGATTAACCAGTGAATTTATGATTACATGCATAACCAATGGACACAAACAATAGTGTGGTAAAGGTGTGGGCTAGAAGGGGTCAATGGGGAAATGGGAGGAGGATATCTGTGATACTTTCAATAAGATAATTTTTTTAAGTGCCTTTTAGCCTGCTGGTATAGCTCAGTGGTTGTGTTGACCCATGCCCCATGACCCATGCCCCAAGAAGTCTCCGGTTCAGTCCCTAGCAGGGGGCAGCCAATCGATGCATCTGTATGATGTTCTATCTCTCCATCTCCCTTCCTCTCTGAAATCAATAAAAATGCTTTTTAAAATGCCTTTTAACAACTGTTAAAGTCTGTGTCTAAAATTTTAACTGCAAAATAGACTGCTTTGAGCTTTCTTGATTTGTTTCCTGTGAAGCTTAAATTATTTTATTCTTAAAAGACCAGTAACTAAAGCAAATTACTGGTTTTCATTTAATAACTAACCAGCTGCTGGCTCTTTAAATATTATGAGTAACTTAGCAGCCTATTACCTGTTTAGAACTTCATTCTGACACATACTTAGCTCTGAAAGGAACACTCTCACTTCCTCATCTGTCATCTGTTTGAGGTTTTCTCTGTCCTATTTTTGTTTCTAGGATTACTAACGCAGTGGTGGTGATTTCAGTGTAACAACTTATTTCACCCTTCAGGCTCACTGCCAGGGAAAAACTATGGCAACTGCTGTAAGCACTGACATATCCAAGTCCAAACACCATTTGACTTCTTACTTTGTGGAGTCATAAGCTGTTACAGCTACTGGATTTCGGATCATGTAGTTCAGCTCCTCCATGACATAGATGAGGAGGCTAGGACCCAAGACACTGAGGAACCCACTCGACTGTGGCAGCACTTACACAAGAGGTGGATCTGGAAAGCGGTGCCCTGGCTTCCTAGTTCTCCTATTGGTGACAGTTCTCTTAAATTGTTGCTAAGTGTCCTATTAGATAGGCTTTTCTTTAATGCATTTTGTGCCTGTTTTCTCTTTTCCTCTTATTACCAACAGCTTAACACTGGTCTTTATAATTTACTACAGTAACCTGACTGGTATTTCTACCCCTCTCTCCTCTAAGCAATGGTTTTTCAACCTTGACTGCACAATAAAAACACCTGGAGAGTTTTCAACATCCTCATGCCAGGGCCAGACCCAAGCCAATGTAGTCAGTCTTTGGGAGCAGGTCCAGGAAAGTGTTATAAATCCCCAAAGTGATTCCAGTGTGCAGTCAGCAGTGAGTACCGCTGTACTGATCTAGTCCACTCCACAAGCTAAGGCAGAGCTCCACTTGCAATACCCGCTGCTCAGAAACCCCAGTATCTTTTAAGTGTCACTCAATTTATTGATTTTTTATTTATTTATTTATTTATTTTGAGAGAGCGTGAGCAAGCGAGCATGGAAGAAAAAAGGATAGAAAGATGGAAACATCAATGAGAGAGTGACAGTGATTGGCTGCTTCCTGCATGCCACCTACTGGGGACCAAGCCCACAACCTGGGCATGTGCCTCCACCAGGAATCGAACTGTTGATCTCTTGGTTCATGGTTGGACACTAAACCACTGAACCACAACATCTGGGTCAAATGTCACTCAATTTAATACTAAAAGTACAATGCCTAATTCCCACCCTCATCCTAACCCGGTGATTCTGAAAATGTTGGCAGACACTAGAACCCGAGAGAAATGCATGTTCCCCCACCCCAACAGAATTAAAAACTTAGGGTGATTCTGGTACAATGAAAAGTTCGAGAACCATAAAAGAAGTCAGGAGATTTTTCTGCTTAGCACTGGGCCACAGACAGAACAGAACATCAGAATGAATACTGTGCCCCCGCCCTATCTGTGGGCATGGAAAATAGGTATCTTTCTTAGCTCTGCTGCTTTAGTTGCTACAATGTACTGCTCCCCAACATGAACTAGTCACCTTTTTGTTTTTCCCTACCGTTTCAAACTAGTATTAGAACATTTGATTCTGCCAGGAGCAATAAATAGATTTTTCTTTCTTTATGGTTAGTTTCCAGAAATGAATGCTTTGATAATGAGACGGTTCAGTTTGCCAGGAGATGTGGACAGAGCTCGACAATATGTACTCCAGGTAAGATCATTAAAAAAGAAAAAAGGCATCAACAGATACATGTGGGAAAGTTTTTTTAACCAAACAAATAACAATAACATTACATTTCAGATACAAGACCAAGTTTAGTCCATTCTTGATTTGACAAAATCTCTTCAGTAGGAAAAACTTGTATAATTCATTTTCTTCCAGAATTCTTTCCAGTGTTGCTAGTTTAATTGGCCTTGGGTAGGGATTGGACATTCACAGTTTTTGAAAGCTACCCAAGTGATTCTAATGTGTTAAGATCCATTAGTTTGCGACCAGTCTCCCCACATCCATCAGCAGCATGAAGATTCTCCAAGTCACCAGATGTGCCTCCAACCTAGTCCAGGCCCTCAGTAGTATTGCAATCTACTCAAAATTGGCTTTTTCCTACTCTATCCTATGTAACTGCCATAAAGGTGTGATTAAAGATATGTCAACTTAAATTAAACCAACGTAGGCACACAACTATTTCACCGTAGGAGCTATAAGCTTATTTCTAATATATTGCCACATATCCTGAGCTTTTTGTTGAAGCCAGATCTTTCTGAATATTTTAAGTTTTGATGATTATCTTTTAAAAATGAGCTCTTTTTTCCCCCCAAAGTATATGAGATGCTTTAATGTGATTTGAAGATCTTTTCCATTTGTATCATTAGCCAAGTACAGCAGCTACTTTTATATTGTCATGACTTCAGATTTCAAAATCTGAAAATATATAAAGGTAGGCCAAAGTAAAAAAATCAAAGGTATTCCCTACTAACCAAACTTTTTTAATGCAGTAAGATGCTAAGGTAAATTAAAAAAAAAAAAAAGATGCTATGGAGCTCTTACACATAAAAAGGCAATTGTCCTAGGCACCAGGCAGTAGAAAGAGATAACAAATGCCCCAATCATGAAGGAGCTGATTATCGTGGGGGGACAATTTACTAGTGAGTAAGAGGTGAATGCTATAGTCTAGGGGTGTCGAACTCAATCAGAGAAGGGGCCAAAATCTAAAATCCAGCCTAAATCGCGGGCCGAATGGTTTACTGAACAGTCATAAACTGTCATTGTGATGGAAACGCAGCGGAGTGCAGTGATGACAGCGCGGTGCGGGCCACATTGCAAGGCCTGCTGGGACGGATTTGGCCCGCGGGCCTTGTATTTGACACATGTGCAGAGTCAGATGATAATACAAGTTAACATTTATTGCATAGGTTTGAAGTATGCTGCATGTAGCATCTCATCCAAATCTAAAATCACTTGGAACTAGTAGATCTAGTTAATGAGATGAATCCAGCAGTTTTTAGTAAGCAAATGTGGTCTGAGAGCTATAATTAGTACAATACTTGGAAGAATTCCAAATAATTACCTTAATTTCCAAAAAGCAAAATTCCTCCAAAAGAGTATATTTCTCTTTTAACTCCCCATACTGTTAAGCATCATAATTTGCTATGGATTACCACCCTTTTGGAGGGTAGTTTGGCAGTACAAATTCAATATGAGAGGGGGCTGTAGCTGATAAAGTTGCTGTGCCTGGGAGAGGATCTGGCTTCAGAAATAACAGTATTACCGAAGGCTCGGGAGAAGTGGGACTAATGACAAATTAATTGTAGCTCTTATTGTAAAACAAGCCTATGCATCAAAGCACCAAGAGAAAAATTCACAACAAATTATCCAATTCTAGCTACCTTTCCACCCAGAGCTCCTAACCACTATTCCCTCATTAAATATGAATGGACAACTACCCTGTTTCCCCGAAAATAAGACAGTGTCTTATATTAATTTTTCCCCCCCAAAGATGCGCTAGATCACATGTGTCAAACACAAGGCCCGCGGGCCAAATCCGTCCCAGCAGGCCTTGCAATGTGGCCCGCACCGCGCTGTCATCACTGCACTCCGCTGCGTTTCCATCACAATGACAGTTTATGACTGTTCAGTAAACCATTCGGCCCGCGATTTAGGCTGGATTTTAGATTTTGGCCCCTTCTCTGATTGAGTTCGACACTCCTACGCTAGATCTTATTTTCAGGGGATGTCTTATTTTTCCATGCGCTAGGTCTTATTTTCGGAGGATGCCTTATTTTCAGGAAAACACGGTAGTATTTAGTAGGATTACTAAATAACTGGTTAAAGTTTGCTGAATGAAAGAGGACTAAGATAAACGAAGAAGAAAAGTATAATTAAGGGGATTCAAAAAATAACTGCACTCATAAAACAAGAACAGAATATTTTTAAACAATGAAAAAGAATGAGCTCTGAGAATTTTTAAATGGCTGAAAACCAACTCCTAAGAAAAGTAGGAACATGGAATTGAGAAAATCATCCAGTGTGTAAAACAGCAAAGGAAGAAAATGAGGAAAGCTCTTAAGAGCATCAGCACAATCCTGTAACAAATACTAGCAGACTGTGAACACAGCCTTCCAAATAAATGGTAATGAAACATTTTAAACCTACAATTCTATAGTCCAATGACTGAATGCAAGTCATTATCACACTTAAGGACTAAACAGCTTGCTTCTAATATCCATTTTCTGGGTATTTGTGGATGTATTTTAGCAAAAGTGTGAAAATCCCAAGAGGAAGAAATTAATTAAAACGATGAACCCAAGAGTTCAATAAAAAGTCATCCTGCAATGGAAATTGTGCAAGAGCTATATATACACACACACACACACACACACACAAACAGAATGATTAAGGAATTAGAAATATGAGGAATTTGAGCTCCATTGCCAAAGAGGAAGAAAAGGAGGCAGTTACATTTGCAAATGTGTTCTTTATAGTGCAGTAAGGCACAGCCAATTAAAAAGTGTCACTTTGTGTCAGTGGTAGAATATAGAAAACCAGAGACCTTTAACATGTGAGGAATATTCTACTCAGTGACAGAGGCATCATGAACTGGGAACCATGGAGAAGGGAACAAAATTGCTGACCTGATCATACTATACCCATTTTTATATTACGGAAATGTAAGCTTTCGATAATGTAAACTGTGTGCAACTTTTAGGGAAAAAAAACAACACATGGTTACAAAATAGACTGCAAACCTGTATGTAGTGTTAAGGTACAGTTCAAAGTGGAAAGAATGGGCCTGGCCACTGTGGTTCACTGGTTTAGCACCAACCTATGAACCAGGAGGTCATGGTTTGATTCCTGGTCAAGGTACCATGCCTGAGTTGTGGGCTCAATCCCAAATGGGGAGGGAGTGTGCAGGAGACAGCTGATCAGTGATTCTGTCTCATCACTGATGTTTCTACTCTCCCTTCATCTCTGAAATAATGGAAAAAATGGGAGCACTGGTTTCCTCACCTACACTAATAAAGTTTCATCTACTCACTACTGTAAACCTTCTTTTGCCCCACCCTACCCTGTATAATCAAATTTGGATCATAGGATGTGTAGATTAAATCCTCATCTTAGCATATAGGCAATAGATAACAACTAATATTGATAATTAAATTTTAAAAATAACGATAAAAAAGCTGGTGTCTTTAGAAGAGAACTCAGCTCTTGTGTACATTTTTATTATGTACATTTTTTAACTTCCACTTAAGATTTTTTTTCATTTAAAAATGTAGATATTTTATAACTTTTTAAAAAGTTCTAGTACTTAAAAATAGATGGCTAAGAGACTGGGAGGAAGGGGGTGGAAATGGGAGATAACTAGTACTATCAATCAACAATAAAAATATCCTATCTAATATAAGGGTGATATGCAAATTAACTGTCACTCCACCCATAGCCCCAAGATGGCAGCACCCAGTCTTCTCAGCACCAGCACCCCTCCCCCCCCCCCAGAGTCCCCCACGGGAAGCCGCTGAGAGAGGACAGTGTGAGCAGCCTGGCAGAATGTTTTCTTTACCATGGCGACAAGGCAAGCGTTCCACCTCAGCCTCCGAGGGCCTCTGGGCAGCAAGCGCAGAGCGGCCAGGTTCCACAGAGAGCTACTGGTGCACAGATTCGTGTGCAGGGCTACTAGTATTTAAAAAAGGAAAAGGATGTGCAAGAGGCAGCTGATCGATGACTCTCTCTCATTGATGTTTCTAACTATCTCTCTCCCTTCCTCTCTGTACAAAATCAATAAAATATATATTTTAAAAAATAAAATAAAATAAAAAAGAAAAAGGAAAATAGATGGCTACTTGATATTAATGAATTACTTTGTATGCTAATAGAGTAAAAATTTGCTTTAATCAGAGAAAAGGGCCTAAAAGAATTAGGCAGGGAAAGCTAGAACAGTGAGTTCAAACACAGAAACATAGTTTGGCTATTAACTAATCTCAAAATAGTTTTTAATTCATTATAATGAACTTAAGAGCTGATCCAGGAGGTAACACACATCTGTTGTTTCTTCCTGTTTTTCGTAGAGTGATGGTGTGCAGCAAACAACCTACCTCGCCCAGCGCTACTGCCACGAAGCAGTGAGAGAGATCAGTAAACTTCGACCATCCCCAGAAAGAGATGCCCTCATACAACTCTCAGAAACTGTACTCACAAGAGATAAATGACAAGTCTTTCTGTTATTTCTGGCAGCTATTTTACCAGACTGTGCCTAAAGAATTTTGTGGAATATACTTTGCTTCATGTGCACATAACCAAAAATCATTTTAAAAAGTCATTTCAACCTTAATGATGGGCAATTATTTTATTAGCAAAGTTTTTCAGAAAAGTTTTAAAATAAATCATTTGAAACTGTTATTCTAGCCCTGTAAATTCTAATTGAGGCATCTTAATGGTTATATGTGGTATTGTTTACACTGTTAATAGTCACATGTAAAGCCATTAAACAAATAAATAATGTTAAAATTCAAATGTTTATCTTGTTTCACCATAGGAGTAAATGTCAGAGAACTGTGAAGTCTACATTTCAATCAGCATCCAAAATTTCATATGAGAGAATGGTTTATTATAAAAGACCGCATAAAATTTAGATGAGTTATATACAAAATTAAGAGAACATTCCACTTGGAAAAAATGAAATGAAAAATGTAGCTATCTGATCACTAGTGATACTGAAATCATGTTTAAAATTATCAAGGCAAAATGCATATGCAACAGTCACACTGATTTGGTAGCAATGGCCTTTAACTCTCAGAAATAAAATGTTTTGCACTAGTCTTACCATTTACTATGCTATTAGTCTTAACACTCAGTACATAAACTGCAATTTGAAATTCCTCAGTACACAGAAACCCATATCTGAGCACTCTATTTTAATATCCAAGGCAATACAGAATTGTACACAAGATAAAACATCCCTCTATACCTCTCTTAAATTAAGAGGAGACACACAAAGTGCACGTGTTGCAGTTCAGTTACGTAAAAAAAAAAAAATCTGTTGGTCAGGTATATCCCTATTCACTGATTAATATATGACCCAGTTTTTCTCAAATTACTTTAAAAATCTTTATATTTCTAGTACCAGTTAACGAATTAAATAGTGCCTATTCAAAAATCAATTGCGTCCACTTATACAAAACAGTATTAAAAGATACTTGTAATTTCCTTTCATTGAACAACAGTCCACTGGAAAACTGAAGGACTAATAACAGCAATCCTTAAGAATTTTACCCACAGAAGTGAATACTTTTACACATTTTCTTAGTTCTGAAAAAAAATTACTTTAGAAAAGCAACTTAAGTAGATTGACTTGTAAATAACTTTCAGATTTTAAATCTTCAAAAATTAGTCACATTTGATATTGGGACAAGTTGAGATAAGGCTGAAGCTTATATGCTAAGAAAATAGAACAATAATTCTGCAATAAATCAGTATCTTTTATTTTTTTTAAAAACAAATCAGTGAAGGAAAGGACAAAAACCTTTGGTTCACTTATGTATCTGTGAGTGGAAAAAATTTATAATGCAAATTCACTCATTAAAAAACTTAGTTACAAATTACAACATTACAGATAACCTTTTTTTGTTTGTTTTGTTTCACATGGAAACCTTAGAGACTCGAATCATTTCAAGAGACCTAAGTACGAGTACTCCAAGAAAATATCACACAAATTGGAAGCATCTTGGATTTTTAAGAAGTATATTTCAATAATTAATTTGTATGCATGCTTTAAACAAATAGTTATAGTTCAAGAATGAGTCTAAACAAAAGGTATGACCAGCACCCAGCATTTAAGTTTCTGATTTTAATATTAATCTGACATAGCATTAGTAACCATGCTGCACTGAAACAATGGTACAATCTGAATCATGATTTGTTAAATATTATACCCCAGAATCCCAGAACATTTAAGCTGGTCATAAAGTTAACATTGTGTAAGTATATAAGCATAAATAGTTATGGACAGCCTTTTGTATAAATTGCTGTTTAGCAATATACAAACTGCCTCAAAGATTTATGCTTACAAGGTAGACATTCAATTATATCAATAAAACAGCATGTCCTGAAAATATGGGCACATTTTAAGACAGTTTTGTTAACCATTAATTAGTCCCACAGTATGACTGAATAATAAGAACCTACTTTAAAAGCAAAAAATTTTAATCAGTATAGTGCATGATTGATTCAACATAGTTCCCAGGGAACAGACCAGTCACTCGATTGCAGACTCCTTCATACCAGCCATCGTCATTCTTCTTTATTACATAAATGATTGCACCCTCCATAAATGACAGCTCATCATCCTTGTCTTTTGTATAATCATATATTGCCACAACTACGGAAAAAAGAGTTGAAATAAGTGAATGCACTATATCCAACATAATGTGAATTTTAAAATGCAATGCTAATTAAATCTATAGTATAGCAAAACCAACTCTTTATGCACACTTTTTTCCCCCTCTAATATTTTATTGATTTTTTACAGAGAGGAAGGGAGAGGGATAGAGAGTCAGAAACATCGATGAGAGAGAAACATCAATCAGCTGCCTCCTGCATACCCCCTACTGGGGATGTGCCCGAAACCAAGGTACATGCCCTTGACTGGAATGGAACATGGGACCCTTCAGTCCACAGGCCCATGCTCTATTCACTGAGCCAAACCAGTCAGGGCATTATTCTTAACTCTTACATTTATAAATATAGGTATACCAGTGGTTAACCATGTACCTAAATCAATAACTTGATCTTAGGGCCAAACTGACTATTTGATTAGTCTAGACAAAACAATAGTTTCTACCAATCTATTTAGGGAAGAACTCTGAATTTTAAGGATTTATTAGATATTTCAGTTCATTTGTTCAAATATCTACTAAGTGCCAACAGTATGCAAAACAATTTTTCACAATAACGACTAGGCAGTAAAGCTGCTTAACCAATCATTAAACCAGATATCTAATTTGAAAATACACATACCTGGAAATAAATCTCATCCTACCCATCCAAGGAAAATATTCATATAATTTATGGGGCTATATTTAGAATAGTTTTACACAGCACTTTAAAGATCAGGATTTTTTTAAGGGGAAATAACTGAGTAAAGATGCATTAATTAAGACTGAGAAAACTATTTGTAATTCTATAGTATTTGTGATTACTTTGAGTTCTAAATATTCACTTTCTTTGCATAGTATCATAGGGAAAAAAGGCATAAAAATTATGCTAGTTTCCTAAACTACTGGTTCATAAGTTTAATTATTCCTTCATTCTGCCTTCATAGCATAATGATGCTGAAATTATATGTACTTTTCTAGTAAATGTGAAATGAATTTTTTTCATTGATTTCCCTTGTGTAGTTTTTCTTAAAATGCAGAGTTCTTAAAACATTTAAGATTTTCTAGAACTTATTTTTCCACCAAAAAAGATGGTTAGTCCCCACAGTTATTTTGAATTAGGGAATTACAATAAGAGACTTGATGTACTAATCGATACACCGTTTCCCCGAAAATAAGACAGTGTCTTATATTAATTTTTTCTCCCAAAGTTACGCTAGGTCTTATTTTTCAGGGAATATCTTATCTTTCCATGTGCTAGGTCTTATTTTCGAAGGATGTCTTATTTTCGGGGCAACATGGTATCATCATTTGCTAAATTAAAATAGGCAATCTTCTCTCCTCTTTACAAAAACACTGTATTAAGTAACTCAACAAGTCTATTTTAATCCTGTAGCAGAATCATAGTATTGTGATTACAAGCTCACTGACATATAAAGTTGATTTTAAAACTCCCCAAACATAAAGGATAAATAATATTAAATTATTATCCTGGTATTATTTTTGTCTTAACCCTCCCCCCCAAAGGAATTGATTGACTGCTAGCTATAGTAAAGAAAATAATGTAATAATTTAAAAGTAAACTATTAATTAGTCCATTAATATTTATTATTTATGGTTTACCTTTGGTAACATTAATTTCTTTGTATTAATGAATTAATTTTTAAAAAAATATATTTTATTGAGTTTTTATAGAGAGGAAGAGAGAGGGACAGAAAGCCAGAAACATCGATGGGAGAGAAACATCGATCAGCTGCCTCTCGCACAGCACACCCCCCAGTGGGGTATGCCGGCAACCAAAGCACATGCCCCTGACCGGAATCGAACCTGGGATCCCTCAGTCCGCAGGCCAACGCTCTATCTAATTTCATTGATACTTAAGAGTTAAATTTGCTTTCCAACCCAGAAATATGAGTAAAAACATAACTCAAGACTACTCAAGTTTATCACTCTCATAATAACCACAACTTATTTCTTGTTTGTTTGTTTGTTAATCCTTACCTGAAGATATTTTTCCATTGATTTTTAGAGAGTGGAAGAGAGAGGGAAAGAGAGAAAGAAACATCCCTGTGAGAGAAACACATCGATTGGTTGCCTCCTGCACAAGCCCTGACCAGGGCCTCGGCCAATGAGAAGCCTGAAACTGAGGTACATGCCCTGACTGGAATCGAACCGGGACCCTTCAGTCCAAAGGCCAACGCTCTATCCACTGAGCCAAACCAGCCAGGGCAGACCACAACTTATGTCTACTTGAACGTACATAAAAATCTTAGTGGAAAGTAGAATATTCAAGACTTCCTGAACTACATGCAGAATATTTACTCTTAAAAAATATAAAAAAAGGAAAATAGGAAATTTACTTTTAGCTATGTATTTAAAACTTGGGCAGGGAGAATGGAACAGGTCTCAAGAACTACAGCTACTTGCTTAAGATCAGTTAATCCAATATAAGCAATGGAAGGAAATACATTTCAAATGTAATCAAATGTGATCAACTAAATTACAAGTATTTTTCGAACACTATACAAGTTCAGAATTTTAAACAACACGTAATTGGATTAAAAAAAAAAAAGCAAAATCTCTAAAAACAGGATTTGTTTTCCCTACACACTGTTTCTTAAAAGATAATTAAGGTGACTGTAAGGTAAATTAGGTAAATTTGGACATTGAAACTATACATAATTTCATGATATAAAATTCTAGTGATTATCTTCTCTTTTATAAGATCAACTAATGAAACTTAATTGAAAGCTTGTTCTCATAATAATCCCAGATTTTAAAGTATTTAGATATAAAAGATTTCTATTTTTATGGTAAGTACTTAGAAATTTGGTTTTAAATATTTACTAATTATATGACTAGAACTAGTAAATCATTTCATTTCTTTTTTGTGTGTGTGATTTAATTGCTTCATCTATACAATGCAGACAGACAAGTTAATCTCCGGCTAGAAGAATTATGTCATTTGAAAAAGTATAGCTAACATTATAACATACTTTTAATTTAAAATATAAAGAATCCTCTCTTCAAATTGGAAATGTATAGGAAATAAGGTTTAACTATATTATCTTGACTAGTAAAGTTATCCAAAAGGTTGTGAAACACTGGATTAAATGTTCTTCATAGCTCTAAATTATATAATTAAGTTGTTTTCCTTTACTCTAATAGATGATTCTACCTTACCTTTCTCAATATAATTCTTAGGGGCCCAAGCAGGATCCCCATCTGCATATGGGTCATTATACTGAACTACTGCAGCCTCCTCATCTTCGTAATCCACTGGAGGTGGTGGTGGCGGAGGTGGAGAGTCATCAAACATAGGAATGTCATCTGGTGGAGGTGGTGGTGGTGGAGTTGGACTATCAGCAACTAGAAAAAATTCAGATAACTTGAATTAAAAAATGAGGCTAAATGGAAATTCATAAATTAAAAGAATTTAAGAAAGCTTTAACTCAAAGCATGCAATATAGTAAAACATGCAAGATTAGAAATAAAAGCTTGGTGTGTTAAAGCGTCCACTATTCAAGAATAATTTTGCTATAATAAAATGAGCTAAAAATAAAGGTGTTAGGAAGTACTACAAATTAATGGATACAGGTTAGGAGACTATCTCTTCATAAAAGATTACAGGAGTAAAGAAGTTTCCTTATTCCAAGGCTCAGGTCAAAACAACTGTCACTCTTTAGTTAGTTTAACTCCTTAAATAAACCTACTGTCACTTTGTCATTTGGACTACAGTAAACATTATGAATAACATTACATTAACGGTCTGATGGCTATTCATTGTGAATATCCATGACCCTGATTTTAGCTTAAATATCTTTAGTTGCCCAGAAATAAGTTCCCAGTGGATATTTATTTTGTTTGTCTTAAGGGAGAAAGAAAAGTTGGTAGTATTAGGTCTGCTCTATGTATAGGTTTTTTATTCTTTCATGTAAATTTTAACAAGAAAAAAATTAAATTAAAAATTAAATAATTCTCAACTAATAGAAAACACCTTAAAGTGTTTTTTTTAAATGTTTGTTCTCATAATCAACTTTTTAAATGTAGAAATCAAGCTAAGATTTTTGCCTTATTGCTAGTAAAATATAAACACAGATAAGGGGAGGTCAAAATCCTAAGATCTATTCTAAGAATACATCCACAACAAAGATTTTAAAAGTAAAGTTTTGTGGTAATAAGGTAATTAAAACAAACAAATACACAGAAAGTAACATATCATGCAAAACAATACAACCAACTCATACCTCCAATTCTAGATGGTTGTGGTATGTGTGTGTAATTTAAATAATCAAAAGTGTAAATGGTAAAATGTAGAGGCTAGAACTATGTTCACTGAACTATTATGAAACCAAGTAACAAATGCTCCCAACATTGAGGAATTCAAAACTGGAACACAACTAACTCTTAATTTAAATTTTTTATCCACACATTTCTTTAAAAGTTAAAGACATATGAAAGTGTTCTGATACAAATTAACACAGGAATTACATAATATCTGCAGGAAAGAAATTCAGAATACCAGTATACTAATCTAAATACCAATTTCTAAGGCTATTTTTATTTTATTAAAAAAAGGAGTCATAATCTATCTGTAATACAGGTTTTAAAGTTTACTCCACCCTATTTGGAATAATCTGCTGAGAATATAACCAAAAGATTAAGATTCAAAACATTTGCAGATTAAATAGCCGTATTTCCACTTCAATGCTGTGAATTTCTATTTTATCCTTTGAGGAATGAACAAGGCTATTAGAAAATAAGCCTTGTATGATAATGCTCATTCTGTAATGTTTATAACTTATTTTTCCACTGAATGCTTGGATCTATTTTATTTTTGCCCACAAATAGCCCTTAAAGCTCTCTATTTCTATTGTGGGAGACAACCAATCAATGTGTTTCTCTTACACAGATGTTTCCTTTCTCTCTCTCCCCTTTTCTCCCTTGCATTCTACTCTCTCTCTAAATGGAAAAAATATCCTCAGGTGAAGACTGAATTTAAATAAACAAATTAATAAATTTAAGATACTGGTGATACAGTTTCTCACCAATCTTCCTAACATGCTTTCAAAGAAAACAAATGGCAAATAAAGTTGGGCATTCTGCAGCACTAAGACAATGACTGACTCAAGTTCATCTGTTTAGTGAAAGGACTAAACTAGTACCATCGGCCTCTTTAGCAAAGGCCAGGCATACCTAGAATAATGTACATTAATTCTGAATTTCTATTTAAAGTTACCAAAGAGCTTTGATCACACTAAATAGTTCATTATGGTTATTTTTAAATAGTTCCTAAAAATTCTTGGCTGTAGGCAGTTCAAAAAGTTTAACTAGCTTCATTTTTAAACTCTTACAGCATTAAAGACTAGCAATTTACTCTTATTCACTTATTATTAAAAATAAGATTCACTTATTTATATATATTTAAACACAGATTTCAAAGTTGATTTGCACTCAGAAATTTAAATATTTTGAAACTATGTTTTATAAAATATCCATTAAATCATACATTTCTTATAGATAGGGACTCTGTCTTAAACTATTTGTATTCTTCCCAAAGACTGACACATAACACTAAGTTCACAATTATTTGACTGGAGGAATGGAGGAAATAACACAAAAGGGTCAGCAGAAGCTGAACAATGAAAGTTGCCACAATGTACTCACTTGGAGGACTGGTTGATCAAATGTGTTACACATTTGTTCACACCATTCTGAGATTTATTTGGATGGTGATGGTCCCTAATAAAGTAAATTACTACTTGACCACCTTACCATCTTAATAGCTATTTTGGCCTAATAAAATTTGTGATAGTGGTATTCTTCATTTTGTCAAATAACATTCACTATGATCGTGTGACTATAATTATACATCTTCCAAAACCTTAAAGTAATCAGACAGCAATATAAACTATCTATTCTAATTAAATCCATATATTTAAAAGAATTCCCAGAACTCCCTGACCTTCCTTCACAGAAGCCCTAAAAAAAAAAAAAAGATGACAGATTTGCATATTCATAAATAATCCCCATGGGCCTGCACGTAGCTAGCCAAAACATGAAGAGGGCTCTATAATGACAATCACTCAGATGAATACATATCGTGAACTGTAATTTACTTATTCCTGCATACATATTCATTCTTATCCTAACAATGAATCTTTATATAGATTAAAAATTACTCATGTATCAAAATCTAAGGATGGTTACAAAGCCTTCTCCAAAAACATTTTGCAACTAAAAAAACCAACAAACCTGTCCCAATTATGTAATAAACAAAATCTCACAAAACAATCAATAGATGAATTTGAATACCAAATGTTTTCTTTCTAATTCTTCTAATAAGTATTGGAACCTAGTAGTTTCCTTTGTGTTTGATTATACTTTCCTTAAGAATCTGCAAAGATCAGATTTCATGTTTTAGATCATATAAATACGTAAGAGAGTTGCAGTTTTGAAATTTACAATGGTCAGTAATCATGCACACAAGAGAAAAAACTAAAGATCGTGCTCTTCAGTTTCAATATCATAGCTGCACCTATTTTCAAGGTAAGATTAGCTTCTCAGTAAAAGTAAGGAAAATGATGACTCATCAGCCATGCATGCTATAAGGAGACAGCCTCTACCCTTTGATAGCTCAGTTTTTTGAAACTTACTGTTTTCCTGCACCCTGGCCACGAAGCCTGTGAGAGGTATCTGTGGAGTCAACTGAGGCATAGGGGGAGGAGGTGGAGCAATAGAAACTGATAACAACAACACAGTATGGGGGAAGTAAAACAGGTAAAGGAAAGAAAAGGAAACAAAAAGCAGAAGTCAGTTACAAGGACCACAAACATAAGTATGCAAAGAACAGTTTGCAAATGAAACAAAACAAAAACAAAACAAAAACCTGCAGAACCTTCAAGTTCATTACAAAAGAGAAAATCTAAAGCTGAGTTGTGTTTAGCCAACTGTTTAATTTTATTGGGGAAAGAAAAAAACTTCTAACTTAATCCTAATCATATTGTTTGGGAGAGATTTAAATTTACCCTCACATTCACTTTCATGCAATGAAAACTTCAAATTCTAAGAAAAGACTTTAGCCCTAGCCCGTTTTTCTCAGTGGGTATAACTAAAGGGTCCCAGTAAGGGACATGCATGGGTTGCCAGCTCCATCCCCAATAGGGGGCGTGCAGGATGCAGCCATTCAATGATTCTCATCATTGTTTCTATCTCTCCCTCTCCTTTCCTCTCTGAAATCAATAAAAAATATTTTTTTAAACTAAAAAAAAACTGGCAAAAACAAAACAGTTAACAGTGAATACTGATAGCATTTTCTAGGATATTGTATCTTTGCCATATTTCTATAACCTACAGGCTGTTCTAGCTTTAGGGTAATATTGTTAATTAGAACCCAAGTGTGTTATGAAACAGATATTTATTCTACATATAAGTAACTATATCAATCACAGTTTTCTTTTAAAAAATTCTTATTTTATATATAAATTTATACATACCTAGCTCTCTAGGAAAAACCGTTGTTTGTAAAACAAGTTTATTATTACCCTTTGACATTTTTAAAGACATCACTCCTAAATTTACTATTATCCCACACTAATTTCTGCTGAATTTCAAAGAATAAGGTATCTCTCAAAAGTGACCTTCTTTCTTTTTATCACTGTTCTGATAAGGAAAACCTGGCCTAACAATACTTTAAAATAGGCAATTATTTGCACGTAAGTAATTTCTAACAAATCATTAGTAGCTGGGAAAATATTCTAACTTCTTTCTAAAGGACATAATTTACAAGAAATAAATACTAAGTGTTCATATGGGCAGCAAACATTGTAAAAATAATTAGCAAACTAAAAAAATTAAAATAAAAGGAAATATACATACATATGTTTACCATTTTGCCTCATAACAAGACAGTAATTGCCAAAGATTGCTCAAAAAAGTCAATAGGAATAGATAATAAAATTCAGTTTACTAGTAGTCACAACAAGTGACAATAAATTGACAGAGAAAAACAATTTATTGGTTCCCAAAGATCATTTAATTAATCCAAGTTTAAAATTGGTAAGTGTAAAAATTTGAGAGGTTAAGTGATTAAAGAAGCAATAATTTAAAGCAATTAACATTCATTGTGTGGCTAAAAATAGCATTTAATTCACTGACGTTGGTCCTTGTCCTTCTGATACTTTGTATATAGAAGGCACTTCAATGAATAAAATGTTACAGTTTATTATTTTTAAATACTCCCACATGTTTATTAGGTGATTTTTTTCTTCTTCTAGAAATGGCCATGCTGGTTAGTATGTAAAGAAAAAGAAAAGCTTTGCTGTGAAGATACTAATCATTACCATCACATTTAAAAAGAAGAGGAAATATGCACATCAAAACACTAAAAACATTTACATCTACTATTACAACACCAACAGTAATTCAGACTGAAGAATGATTAATTTGAAAACACATAATAATATTTTTAAAATTTAAAGCTAAACTTTACAATATCCTAAAGATAGACATTCAGCAATAAAATGTCTTGTCTGCAAATAAACAACCTTCCCCAGTACTGTTAAATAAAACTACACCATCATATATTATGTGAAGTAACCAAAAACCTTATTTGCAGAGTAAATTTAAATGTCCTACTGAGAAAAAGAAAAAGATAAACATAAAGACAGGTTCTAAAAGTGCAGTGTAAAATGAAAAATGTTTCTAAAACTAGTGAGGTTAACAATCAGATAATATATGGAATATTCAGACACTAGGTACCTTTCACTACCAAAGGAGACCAGGGAAAAGATGAGGTAAAATTCTAACTAATAAAGTATTTTCGTCTTTTAGATAAGAATGTCTAGAAAGAAAGAAGAAAAAAAAAAAAAACTAGACATTTTAGGGTTATCTATGAATTCTGACATTTTTGCAAAAGTGGTATTCAATTCATATGAGATTTTTTTTTTTTTGCTATAATACAATTAACCTTTAACTCTAAAATTCAAACGAACAAAAAAAATCCCAATAATGTAACTTTCCCCAGCTCTGCTTTAAAATACATATTCAGGTTGTAGCTGGTTGGCTCCATGGATAGAGTGTTGCCTGTGGATTGAAGGGTCCCAGGTTCAATTCCGGCAAGAGGCACATGCCTGGACTGCAGGCTTGATCCCCAGTAGGGGTGTGCAGGAGGCAGCTGATGAATGATTCTCTCTCATCATTGAGGTTTCTATCTCTCGCTCCCTCTCCTTCCTCTCTGAAATCAATAAAAAATACTTTAAAAAAAAAACATGTTCAGAAAATGCACTATAAATAAAAAGAACTTAAACTTCCTATGTTAACATGGAATATGAAGTGTTTTTTTAATTTTCTTTAATACTTCTTTATTCTTGTATTAGAGTTTACATACAATATTACATGAGTTTTAGGTTTACAATCACATGATTAGATATTTATATCACTTATGAAATGATCACCCCAATAAGTCTAGTACCCATCTGATACTATATATAGCTATTACAATACTAGAGGCCCAGTGCATGAAAATTCATACACTGGAAGGGGGGTCCCTTAGCCTGGCCTGCCCCTCTCACAGTCCCGGAGCCCTCAAGGGCGGAAGGTGACCAGATGACCAGTGGAAGGCGATGCCCCCATCACACTTCTGCTATTGCCACTGCCACTGCCGGCAGCACAAGCCTCGGTCGGCCCTTGTTACCTGAGCCTTAGGCGGTCCTGGGCGGCTGGGCAGCCACCATCCAAGGCTTGCTTGCACCTCAGCCATTGGCTGGGCAGCCAACATCTGAGGCTTGCCTGCACCTCGTGAGTCAGCAAGGCAGCCAACATTCGAGGCACAGGTAAGTCTTGGGCTGGCCCTGGGCCGCTGGGAAGCCACCATCTGAGGCTTGCTTGTGCCTCAGGCCAGCCCTGGACGTTGGGGGGGCTGAGGGTACTGGGGGACTACAGAGGCAGGCGCGTGTAGCAGGCCCAGCCATGCCGAGGGTCTGCCACCCCGGCGGGGCTGAGGGGACTAGGCACCACCATCTTGTGGCTATGGGCACCACCACCTTTGTGAGGGTGTGACGGACAATTAGCATATCCCCTCTTTATTAGATATGCTAAACCCCTATCTGCTTCACATCCCCCAAGACTATTCTGTAACTCCCAATTTTACTCAGTGTTTTCTAAGTCAACCTATAAAACATGCAGTTCTAGAAAGAAGCTACAAAAGCTTTATGGGGAAAGTGTGTTTCAGTCTAGTCCAGTGATCACCCTTCAAACCAATAACAAATACAGGATAATAGGCTCATTTCAGATCTGTTTTTCCTTTTTGGATTAAGCATGTTGATATGGAAAGTGAAATTAATAACCACAAGCAATTCAAACTCCCTGACATCATATGCCCAAACTGTATCCTAATCTTATCAGATTTTAAACACTGATTGCAGTTAGTATTGAGATGTGCAATTCAAGGTGAAGAAGAAAATTTTTTAAAATCCTCTCCACTGTTATAATTATTCAGAGACATAATAAGCAAATATCACTAACTTTTTTAATGACTTTTAATTCATTTCAATATAGTTTAGCAAGCTTAAAAGTGATAGCCAGCAATTTTTTATTTAAAAGAAAAATACTCACAATGTTTTAAATTCTCTTTTTATTGAACAGCCTCATATATGCCAATAAAAATAAATTCAATTTAGTTTTTCTTCTCTAGTTCTATTTATAACAAAAATATCATTTTAAAGCATCAGTTCAATTTTAGTATAAAGTACACTAAGCCTGAATTATTTGAGCAAAAGTGATAAGCAATTGTTTTTTAAATAGTATGATTCAAGAAACAACTAAATAAATATAAAGTGGCATGGTTTCAATTGTTGTCTATCACTGGCAAAATAACAATTTCAAATAAGTTCCCTCAAAAGGAGCTCAGTGGTGCTGTATGCCTGCAAAGCACAAGCTTACTTGAATTCTGAGAATAAAGTGGACCTCCATTAACATGAGGCTGAGCAGAAAATTGAGCAGTCACAGAGGGAGTTCGTCTGTATCCACCAGAAGATGTCGAGGAAGTAGTAGAGTTGTGTCGAGATATCTGCCTGGTCATTGTGCCATACTGGGAACCAGGAGCTGAGCCCGGGGCCACTGAAAAGCATTAGTCAAAGGCAACCAACAAAGAATTTGAGCATTGCATATCACCTCCAACAGCAGAACAAAGAGAGGAGGACTCACAGTAAGAAATATTTATTATTTTTAAAGCCCATAGCAAAAATAAAGAGAAAAGTAAAGATAAAATACAAATAGCTCCATCTCTGAAGAAGGAAAAACATAGTGTGGGAAGCTGCAAAAGTAAATAAAGTTACATTCTTAAGCCATTTAATTTAGCATAATCCCTAATATTTTGCTAAAACTATAATTTTTTCCTGTATTATTTTACAACATACAAATTTTGTATGTAAACTTGAGGCCTGGTGCATGAAAATTCATGCACTGGAGGGGTAATGGGTCCCTCAGCCCGGCCTGCGCCCTCTGACAGTCCGGGAGCCCTCAGGAGCAGGAGGTGACCCGGCGATCAGGGGAAGACAACGCCCCATCACACCTCTGCTGTTGCGGCTGCTGGCATCGCAAGCCTCAGCTGGCCCTGGTTACCTGAGCCTTGTGCGGCCCTGGGCGGCTGAGCAGGCACCATCCAAGGCTTGCCTGTGTCTCAGGTGGCCCTGGGGGGCTGGGGGGCTGAGAGGATTAGGGAACTCTGGAGGCGGCAGGCCGGGCCTTGACACATGCCTGCCGCCCCAGCAGAGTTGAGCAGACTGGGCACTGCCATCTTTGAGGGCAGGGCAGTCAATATTTCCTCCTTATTAGCTGTGGGCATTGCCATCTTTGAGGGTTGGGCAGGTAATTAATATATTCCCTCCTTATTGGCTATGGATGCTGCCATCTTTTGTGATAGCATGAGGGTCAATTAGCATATTCCCTCTTTATTGGATAGGATTTTGTCTCTAACAAAATATGTACCAAAGGACAGTCTGAAGTGGAAAGCGTCAGCTTTTAAATGTGAATATATTAATATTTGATTTACAAACTTCTTTCTTTCCAGCCAAATCCAGGTTAAATTATAAAATTTAAAGAATTATGTTTATTTTCCACATATTGTAATAAAATTTGAATGTTTATTGTATCAACAGTTATCAATACATATTATAGTAAGATCACTTTTAAGGAAAGTACAACTTCTAGTTTCAAAGCTCTTAAAGAAATCCATTCTCTTTCTCTATACTTGGAGGTTTTTTCCTCCATACTACACTCAAAGCAATCTTTTGTATAAAATTATCATTCATTTCTAAACTTACTGAAGTATTAATAATGCTTAATATTTTATTCAGTCATCTTGACCAACATTTCAAAAGTTTAATATTTAAAAGGTTAATAAAAAAGTTCAAAGCCTCTAAAGTTAACTATACTTTCCAAAGCTTACTTTGGGATAACAGTATCATTTTCTTGCCTGACCTAAACATCTAAACGTGACTATGTAAGAAGACAACATCCTAATTTATTTTCATTCAGTTGCCTAATTTAACCTCCCCTAGAGGTGATAAAAGTTATTAAATAAAACTGTATAGCAGAGGTTGTTCATTAAAAGTGCTAATATTTAACATTTTGGAACTCCCAAGACATAGGCAGTCACTAATTATTTGAATCATCCACATTGTCATTTTTGAAACAGAAACACATTTTTAAAATAATAGTAGATTCAAAAGCTTTTTATGAGTAATCCTGGACAACTAGATTTTCTAGAAAGCTAAGAAGCCTGAAGCTAATTTTAATAGAATCCTCACTAAAATGATTTATATATTTCTCTGCCTATATAAAAATGTATGAAATCCAAGTTGTTTTTCTTATTGATTTAAAACCCAAAACCAAATAAATAAATAAATAAAACCCAAAACCAATTTTTTCAGAAGTTTCAAACTATGCCTATTTTAGAATCTATTTTAATATTTTATTACAAAATAAACCATAACACCAAAGGGTATACGACTGATATACCAGTATGTATATATCTGTTATATAAATTATACATATACATACATATATGCAAATGGTATATGCTAATATGTTACATAATATTTGTAATGATTATATATAACTATTTATATAAATACACATATAATTTTTTAAATAAAATAAAATAAATACCCTGCTTCAAGAAATAGAATATTACTAGTATCACTGGAGTTTCCTGTATATCCCCTCTGGATCCACAATTCCAAAGGTATGTGTAAGCATTCTATTTCTTTACTGTATATAGCTTTAAAAAGAATCACAGATATAGAATCTTAAATAATATACAGAGATTTTGCAAATTTATAAATATTTATAATAAAATAATTATGTATTCTGCTGGCTTGCTCTTTTCCTTTGATATTTTAAAAAATTCAGCCATATTGATAAATATATCAATATATTATTAATTCTTATAGCTACATTCACATGTAAACATCCACAATTTATCCATTCCATTACTAGGCATTTTGGTTACATCCCAAGTTTTGCTAATCTTAATAATGCTACTATGAACCATAATAAATATGGTTCTTGAGTTTTTCTAGAACAATGGTTCTTAAACTTGAGTACTGATCAGAACTGTACCTTGAAAGCTTGTTATAATACAGATTGCTGGGCTCTAGTCCTCAGAGTTCTGACTAAGTAAGTCTACATGGGACCTGAAAATTCACATTTCTAACAAATTCCCCCAGTGATGACGCTGTTATGCTGGGTGTCACACTCCGAAAGCCACTGCTCTAAGACAGTGGTTTTAAACGTCATGGTCTTTGAGTTCACTCTTTAAAATTAAAGAACCTCAAAAAGCTTGGTTGAGATGGGTTATAATAAAAATAATATAAATTAAAACTGATATATCTCTAAAATACATGTATACATAAATACACATTCCATTAGCTGTCAAAGTAATGATTTTATCATATGTTATACAGCCTCTGGAAAAGTCCAGTACCAGAATGAGAATTTAAAAGGTAAATGCAATTTTATGAATATAGTTCTGACCTCAAAAACTCCATGAAAGAATCTTGGCAACCCTCCTAAGTCCCATAATCATATTTTGAGAACCAGTACTCTAGGGTAAATATGAAATAAAACTGATAAATCTAAGATAGAAACCCATTCAACTTGACTAGCTAACAAACTACTTTCCCCAGTGAGTGTATCAACTAATAAATTCTGACCAGTAATGTACTTTTTCTTATTACTGAACTTCCTCACCAACATTTGGTACTAGAGGACTTCTTAATTTTTAGCTACCTGGAAGATAAGAAACAGTATGTCACTGTGGTTTTCATTTTCATTTTCTTGATTATCAATCAGGTTGAGGGATTTTTTTTTTCCCACAGGAACTTTCTGTAAACAATTTCTACTGGGATCTTCATATTACCTCCTATTGCCCCTTTTCCTTTGAGTACAAGTGCAAATATTTTGAAAGATGCTATTAGATGGTTTTATTTCACAACATGAAATATAGCTCTCATTATCTGAAACACGTCATTAAACATTTCTATCCAGATTACTAATAAGGTGTATTTCTAGGCCTATTGGTTTTATATGGAGTCTGTATTTGAAATTCTTTATATGCTCTATCTAGTCATCCTCAACTTGGGAACAATTTAAATGTATTTTCCTGGAAGAAAAAAAAGATCCATGGCATCTTCAGATATCTTAAGTACTGGGCTATATCAGTATTTTTCAAATTGTGATTCACAGGAAAGTCTCAAGCACCCTATCCCACACATTTATTTCTTTTCTATTTTTCTTCCTCCTGTCCTCCAATACTTTGACTGTTGTATATACCAAGGAGTTCCAAATAAAGTTTCATTTTTTTAAAATTACATTATAAATTTAAAAATGTTTTTGAACCAACACTGCTATAATTTCCCTAGAAAATTATCTAAACAAAAAACAAATAAAAACCACATTAAATTGGATATAAGCTAAGCATAAAAACTTTTCTTATTATAGAGAGTTATTTTGTATTTGTTTGGTGTGTAACTTCAGAGGCCTTTCACCAGAAGAAATTAGTGTGAGTTAGATTTAATACTTTAACCTTTGCATTACCACTTACAACCTAGAAACTTTAAAGGCTAGTAGACTAACAGAGGAGTTTGTTATGAATTATGCCGAGTAAGTTAAATAGCTCCAATGGCTGTGCAGTCTCACCTAGCACAGTGCTCACTGGGAGAAGAGATGGGCTGGAGCTCCAGGAGGAGGAGGGACAGAAACATTTTCTAATAAGATAGTTTATAATGCAGGTCAGAGTACAAGAAAGAGAGCTAAACATTCTGAAACAGTAAGAAAGTACAATGATTGTGGATTGTGTAAGAAGAAAAAAGGAAGACACCACACACCCATAGTTCAAATAACTAAGAATTTTCCTACAAAGCATGTTCAAATAACTAAGAATTTCCCTACATAGTCTTCACTGTATTTACTAAAAAATCAAGGGACTAATATAATGCTTTGCAACAATTTCTTAAAAATGTATGTAATCTAAAAAGTAAAATAACTTTTCCTTTTTTAATCCCATTTGTTACTTATGGTATTGTACTGAAATAAATATATTGAATATCATACATAAATATATTAAAGTCACAAAATGAACTAACAAAGTTGAGATACTAGCCTAAAAAGCAATATCAAAATTTACTAATACATAATTCACAATACAGTCACTAATCCTTTGGTTGGAGATCAAGAATATTAACTTGTTCTTCATATAATAAACTTTCTTGACTATGCCCAAAACATTTCTTTCTAAGGCAGAATGGCCAAAAAGTTATTTAATAAAGCTGTTCTATATGCTTAATTTTAAGAAGAACTTGTAAAACAGAGAAAAAACACACTTAAAGACTGTGTAAAAACTAATCCAAAAATGTCCTTAAATTTGTTGTTAGTGTTTATGTCCTAGCAACAATCACACAAATAAATAATTTGATCTAATATATACTAAATTATTTCAGGCTTTCATAATCAAGCTCATAAGTACTACCACTTATTAAAATAGATTAATAAATAATATACCTGATCCAATAGTGGGTGGTGAAGGTGTAGGCACGGCAATGGGAATGCCAATACTGCTGCTTCCACTGTTTTCTCGACTTCCACTCCCCCCACTACTTCCACTGGAAAGAAAAGAAAAATTGTGGAAAAATAAATTCTAGTGATTTAACCCCCCAAAATAATAATCAACTCAAAGCCACTAACTACTTCCTTTTATGATATATTAGAGACCCGGTGCACAAATTTGTGCATGCCTGGGGTCCCTAGGCTTGACCAGCGATCAGAGCCAATCAGAGCCGCGCTGCTCAGAGCCTGCCGGCCAGGGGGAGAGCCCATGGGAGGCTGGCTGCTGGCCCCCAAGAGGAAGCCAGCCTTCGGCCCCCTGGGAAAGGGGTTGCACCCGCCACCCACCCACCCCCCCAGTTCCCCGTTAGAACCCAGGGCCCAAAGAGAGAGGAGATGACAGTTGGCCAGGCGATGCCGCCAACACTACCATCATTGGTGCCCCACCACCGCACAGTGCCCTGCCTGTCCTCCTTGGCATTGTGCCACCACCACGGCAGGCAGGCAGCCCCCAGGGAAGGGAGAGGACGGGAGTGAGACAAACCCTTTTGTCAAGGATTGACTTTCAATAGATTGCAGTGAGGGAGCTGCTCTGCTATATATGAAACCCCGACCCTGAAGCAGGTCTACAAATGGTTATGCACCAGGGGCTGATGGGGCCAGCCAGCCGGAAGGGAAGGTACTGTGGGAGGTTGGCTAGCTGGGGAGGGAGGGACCACAGATGGTTGCCTATGGGAGCGCACTGACCACCAGGGGGAAGCTTCTGTGTTAAGCATCTGCCCCCCCTGGTGATCAGTGCATGTCAGAGCTACTGGTTGTCTGGTCATTCTGGTCATTCAGTTGTAATGGTCACTTAGGCTTTTATCATATATATATATATTATAGATATGTTAAAAAAATTAGAAATTGTTCAATACAAAATTTTTTGTTGTTAATCCTCACCCAAGGATATTGTTTCCGCTAATTTTTATAAAGAGTGGAAGATAGAAGGAAAGGAAGAAAATGGAAAGAAAAAAAAGGGGAGAGGCAGGAGAGAGAGAGAGAAAGAGAGAGGGGGGGGTGAGAAATGTGAGAGAAATAATGATTGGTTGCCTCTCACACTTGCCTTAAACAGAGCCTAGGATTGAGCCTGCAACTCAGGTACATGCCCTTGACTGGAAATCGAACCCAAGACCCATCACTATGTGAACTGACATTCTAATCAATGTGATTCTTATGTTTCATTCTACTCAATCTATTGGAAACAAAAATAATCTTAATATAGTACTCAGAACTCTCAGAAGAGATCATCTTGTTGAGAAATTAAAATCTTAAATGCAATAAGTCAACAAGGGTTTATTTAAAACCTGCTATGAATAGTAGTAAATAAGGCAGACATGAACCATGGTATCATGGAGCTCACACCTAAGAATGGAATAATAGACATTAAAAAACAGTGTGAATGCCTGATTGATTTGGTTCAGTGGTTGAACATCAACCTATGAACCAGGAGCTCAAAGTCTGATTCCCAGTCAAGGCAAATGCCCAGGTTCTATCTCTCTCTTTCTCTCCCTGAAATCAATTTTGAAAATTAACAAACAGTGTGACAGATGCCACAAAAGAAAATGAACAAGATGCTGCTCTGACCAATACAGCTCAGTTGGCTGGATGTCATCCGTGCACCAAAGGGTTGCCAGTTAGAAACTGCGTCAGGGCACATGCCTGGGTTTCAGGCTCAATCCCCAGTAGGCGGTGTGCAGGAGGCAGCTGATTGATGTTTCACCTTCCACTCCCTTCCTCTCTTTCTAAAAAAGAAATCAATAAACTATTCTTTTTTTTAAATGTACGGATGCTATGAAAATTAAGTAAAAGATTAACCAACTTCAATCTGTAAATATAAAAACCTCCACTCATCTCAAAGAATGGTGCTAAAACATAATATGAGCAAATATGAGGAAAACGAGCAAAACAAAAAAAAAAAAGCAGCAATGAGGTTTCAATGTTGAGGCATTTTAGAATAGTCATTACTGTTCAACTTTAACCAATTCCCTCCTATACAAATTAATTCCCTACTATTCCAATTCCTATAGATTTACTATCTCTTTAGGTATAAGACCTCACATTATACAGTTGTTTTTAGTAAGCAATGTGTGTATGTACATGTATGCAAATGTACATGTGTGCATGTGTAGTCTTAGGCTCCATATTATACTTTAAAACCAACATCATTGGCCTAATAGGCCCCAAAAAACTTAAGAAAAAGACTTGTACTGCCTAGATAAAAAATATTTTTCTCCAATGTGATCATTTTATAATTACATCAGCACATGTTAATGAAATAAAAACAAAGAAAGCTGTTTCTATTACAAAAATAGCTTCAATGTGAAGAACTCCCTTAATTCCAAGCCAGGTACACTGCTTTGTAACACCAGTACATCGCAGACATGAATGTTTCCCCACTAATTATCCTATTCCACAATCACTGGATTTTTTCTAACATGGGGGTTGGCAAATTATAGCACATAAGCCAAAACTGACTCATAATCTGGTTTTTATGACCTGTGAGCTAAGAATGTTTTTTACATTTTTAAGTAGTTAAAAAAAATCAAAAGAGGAATATTTATAACACATTAACATTATACGAAAGGCAAATTTCACTGCCATAAATAAAATATTACTGGAATGCACGCTCACTCGGACATTTACATGTTATCTGTGCCTGCATTCACACTACAATGGGGAGCTGTGTAACTGTAATGAAGACAAATCCCAAAAGCATTGACAATCTTGCCCTTCATAAGTTTATCGATGCCTGTTTTAACCGAATTGTGCTTCTGAAAGAAAGAACTATATCATATTGGTATACCCCTAGCATCTAATGAAGTAACTCTTAATAACTGGTTGCTGAATATTACTAAATGATAAAAACAATGTTTTAATATAAATTCAATAACAAATATAAAAAAGAACACTTGTGGTACTCACTGAGCTTGACCTGATATAGTAACTGCAGATACCAATATAAGAGTTTATTTAGTAACAGCAGCAATAACAACATATGACAATTACATAGAACCTAAGTCAGAAACCCTCTTTAGTTAAAACTCAAAAAATGATTCTAAGTTTTTTTAAATTCTTATTATTGATTTCAGAAAGGAAGGGAGATAGAGAGGGAACTAGTGATGGGCTGCCTCTGACACACTCACAATGGGAATTGAAACCCCAACCCAGAGATGGGCCCCAAACAGGAATCAACCACAACCTCCTGGTTCATATGTCAACGATCAACCACTGAGCAATGCTGGCTGGGCAATTCTGCTAAGTTTTATCTCTAATACACCAACCCAACAGTCAGGGTAAGGAGAGATTCTTCCTCAAGTTAAGAGAGAGGTAAAATTAAGGAATAAAATAAAGATAGAGGTGATAGTTAGGAAAAGGCCTAAGGGGGACTTTTGGATTGCTGGTAATGTTCCATTTTCTTATTTGGGTGATGGTTACACCAATGTGTTCAAATAGTCTTAACTCATTAAGTTACATACTTAATAATACTTTTCTAAATTTATGTTATGTTCCAAATCCAAGTTTTTAAAAACCCACTGAGCAGTTGATTTCTAGAAATTTTATAAAACAATATGTACAATAACATATTCTAAAGCAGCGATCGCCAACCTGCTCCAAAGGTTTCCTTAAACCAGCAGTCACCAACCTTTCAGACTTCACGGACCACAGCGGTCTGCGGAACACTGGTTGGCAGCTGCTGCTCTAGAGTACACCAACTCTCTTAACTAATTCTTTCTCAGATCTAAGCTAGGTCTTCCTTTTTGCAACCTCTTAAAGCTTAAATCACACTGTATAATTCCTGACATTTAACCTAGTAACCCAAAATACAGAATGCTCTCAAAAAATGTACACACATTCTGAATATTAATTAACTCCAATAGGTTAAATATGAAAAGAAATAAACATCAATGGAGTTATAAGCTGTTAAGTTTGTATACATTTTCATTGTTTTGGGGCACTATATTTAAGAGTAGTTTAGTAACCTTAATCTTTTTTAAAAGTTTTTTAAAAAACATTCGTTAGCTTATGTCCAAATATATATCTGTACCTCTTCCTATATACAAAAGGAAGAAATAGTAGCAATCTGCTTATAGTATAAATATATACTTAAAAATCTAAAAAGAAAAAAAGGAAGTTATAACAATATTATTACCTCAACTTTTATACATTATGTTAACAGTATAGTACTTTACTCAGCAACTGTATAAAGTTTGTGACCAGTTAATAACCTCAACTTGCAAGTGGTCAAAGACTCAACCTGAAGGATTACCTGTGTGTCCTCGGTCTCTGGTTTAAAGAAGCTGTTCTGCCTGGGCTATGCTGACTTCCAAGCCTAGCAGGACTGGTCATGTAGTCATTAGGAACTGTTGGAGGTTTAACAGGTTCCAGGGTTTTGTAAGGAGTATTCCGTCTGAAGAAGTATCAAAGATAAGAATAATAAATAAAATAAAATGGCATTTTCCCCCAAATGTGATGTATCTTTGTAACCAAGTAGAACACTAGTGTGTGTCTTTTTTTTTAATTTATGATGAAAGGGGGAAAAAATCAACCTGTTATTTATGCATTCATTGGTTGCCTCTTATATATTCCCTGACAGGTCAAACCCATAACTTGGGCATATTGGGTCAACGCTCTAACCAACTGAGCTACTCAGCCAAAATTAGAAAACAAGTTTTAAAAATACTTTTAATAATAAAGGTTGTTTTTAACAATTCTTAATTGGAGTAAATAAATTTTGTTACTTTTCACAAAAACTAAAATGTGTTACTTTTTCTTAGGAAAAGCATAGGAAAGAGTAATTTAAAAGTTCTAATTCTATCCTATATAATAGAGGTAATACACAAATTGACCCACACACCCTCATGTCACAAGATGACCACCACCACATTGTCATAAGATAGTTGCCACAGGATGGCCACCCCAACATTGTCACAAGATGGCCTCAGGGGAGGACAGTTGGGAGGGACCAGGGCTGCATGGGAGTACAGTTGTGGGTGGTCAGCCCAGCAGGAGAGGGGAGTTGGGGGCGATCGAGCTGGCAAGGGAACAGTTAGGTGTCAATCATGCCAGCAGGGGAGCAGTCAGTGGGCTATCTGGCTGGCAGATAGAAGCAGTTAGTGGCAATTAGGCATCCAGGAAGGCAAGTGGTTAGGAGCCAGCAGTCCTGGATTGTGAGAGGGATGTCCGACTGCCGGTTTAGGCCCGATACCCAGCAGTTGGACATTTCCTGAGGGGTCCTGGATTGGAGAGGATGCAGGCTGGGCTGAGGAGACTCCCCACCCCTGTGTATAAATTTTATGCACTGGGCCTCTAGTTTCTAAATATAAGTTATAATTTTTGAAATGCTCAATAATATCACACTTTGAGATATACATTATTTTCAGTTCAATCACTCATAAGCCACTGTCCTTATACATTATGAAAACTAAATATCTCCTCTGCAATTTATTCCTACCTCATTATGGAAATTTATAGACAATAGACAAGTATAGCACATTCTGACTGTAGATGTAATACCATTAATTTTTCAATTAATTATTTTAACTTTTCTATTTAATAATTTCATGTGTTTTTTTGCAGGATTAAGTAGTTTACTAAGTGAAAATAAAAGTCAAGAGTCTATTTAAAAAGGCTGATTATTGATCCCTATTACTATGAAATAATTATTTCCTAGTCTTCCATTAAAATAAAAAAGCTCTAATATATTATTTTCTATGTTAAGGTGAACAATCTTTCAGAAGTGCCCTACCAAATAGTCACAAATTTTTTTGCACAAAGAACTGAGAAGGAAGACACCACCAACAGTTATCTTTTTTGCTCCCCAACTGGCTTCCTCACAAAGCTACTCAAGTATGCATAACCCATAGATACGGAAAATTGGGGGGCGGGGGGGGGGGGGGGGGGGGGGGGGGGGGGGGGGGGGGGGGGGGGAGGTTGAGGGCCTGGCAGGGGATGGGAGCGAGCTGGAAGAGGTTAATGGGGAAAGAAAAGGGGATCTATGTAATACTTTCAACAATAAAGATTAAAAAATAAATAAAATAAAAACTATGAAGGGCCCTAAGATTACCTAGCACAAGCACCGTCAGAAATATTCCAGGTAAAGAGCCTCTAAATCTTAGGTGGAAAGTAATAGAGGAAACAGAAAAGCTGCAGGTCACCAAGCCAAACTATACAAAACTTACTTAAAGTTCTGTAATGTAAATATTGTAAATAAATGTGAAAGCATCATATAGAATGAATACATTGGTCATTTCCTTTTAAATAAATTCAAATCAAATTTCTCTCTTTTCTAAGGAATTAAAAAGATAAATAAATAATGCTCATTTCTACATATACAAAATAACTTATCTAGTACAGACTTCCACAGAAGAGAGTATTATAAAACAAGTAGATTCATTTTGGATTCTGCTCATGGAAATAAGCACCAAATGAATTTGTAAAAGGTAGTGTTACACTGAAAGGGGTCCATAGCAAGAACCCATACATGTACTTAAATCACAGAATCATTTTTTCCTTTAGCATAGGAATTTTCTTGAAAAATGTACGTGGATTCTTACCCCAACGTTCCCCTGCCTGACATGGGAGGACTTGGTGGTTTCTGAGTAGGAGGATTTGTTCTCGACAGTGTGCCAGTTCTTGCAGGCTGGTTATTCCCATGCTGTAATACAGGAAAAAGAGCTTTTATTTTTATATCAAATTGTTCTCTTGGTGTTTTGATACGAAATTATTATTATTTTTAATATCAGAATGTGAAGTAAGGATTCCCAGACAGTTTTAACAATAGACTTTGGTTCTATAGTTTAAAAAAAATCAAGCAACCAACTGCACATGGCTTTTTCTATTATTCATACCGAACTATGGCAAAATACAGGTGAAATTATTGGATTTTATGTATTATTTTATTGTTAAACATGTTCACTGAGATCAAACTTATCTGCATTTAAGTATTAAGTTTCCTAAAATTTTTTAAAATGTGTGCCTGAATTTAAACTATAGATCTCAGTGTTAATTTGTTAAAATATTCATCTGAAAAAAATCATCTTTATCCTAAAAATTCAGGAACAAAGTCACATATGATGTCTGGGAAACCTACTATTTATGTCAATAAAAGCAAAGCAACTATCAAAAAATAAGCAAAGCAATTCATGTTAGCAAAATTAATGTTCCTATATAAATGCAGATGTCAATATATCGATGATATATTAACACATCCAAGCTAAATGTAGCTACTTGTACTGAGTTTGAATATATTTAATCTATAGAAATCCTATGGGGAAAAAGCAGGCAGATGAAGGAAGAGTTTTCAAATTTTAGTGGCTCTGCAGCCTCTATCAATATAGAGGTAAAACTGTGTATCGAATGATAAGTAGTATCTCTTACCTTGGCTTTTAGCCACTTTACGTTGGCAAAAAAAAGGGGGGGAGGAAAAGTAGAAATTAATTCTAAATGTTATACCTAATAGGACAGGTTTATGTTTACAGTTATTCAATTCATGTTAATAAGTTTTTACCCAGCCATTACTTCAAATATTTTGTAAAGAAAAAGATATCATAAGCAGCTGGGAAATATTCATGTGTATCACGTATTTTTCAAAAGAAGAATATATTCATAAGGAAACTACCACTTATTTATGCCAAACTCATACAGACCCAATAATTTCTTAGTTCTGTAGTTTATCCAAATGAATCACAGATGATAAACTTCAATTTGAAAACAAATACCATAACACCTGGTATGTAAGGTTACCTTAATATTATCAGTGTACAAGACCTAAGACTATACTGAATAATATATGCATAAATATGAATTTTCATTATTTGAAAAGTAGTATAGAATTTTTTAAAGTGGTAAACTGTAAATATTACAATTCAAAATAACAGGTTGCTTCAAATTCAGAAAAATGAACTAACACCTCCAAGTCTAAAAACAAAATCACTATGCAGAGTAATACCTTAGCCAGATTTTAACTACATAATAGAGTCTTGAAACCCTCTTGCTTGTAAATTGATGGATTCAAATTTGAGCAGTCCAACACATTCTGAACCAGTTAAGCCCAAATTCAAAACTGAAGAAAAGCTGCTTTGATCTATTTTTTAACTTTATTTTTTTAATATATTTTTATTTATTTCAGAGAGGGAGACATAGAAATATCAATAATAAGAGAATCATAGATCAGCTGCCTCCTCACAAAAGCCCACAACCCAGGCATGTGCCCTGACCAGGAATTAAACCAATCATTAATAGATCGATGCTCAACCACTAAGCTACACACGCTGTGCAAAGCTGTTTTGATATTAAAGGCTACTTCTATGAAACAATGAGTAGTCTATACCAATGAAAATGTAATATGCTAATTAGATGGGACATCCTTCTGGACAACCTTCCAGACGAAGCTGGGGCTGTGAGGGAAGCCTGGTGCCTGCGACGACCATTGGGAAGCCCGGGTCCTGGGTGCCAGAGGGAAGCCGGTGCCGGTAGTCAGGGGAAGGCTGGCCTACTCTTGCATGAATTTTGTGCATTGGCCATCTAGCCTATATATTAAATAATATATACACTTGTATTAATATGAACAAATGTACATATATGAATAATCTATAATAAAAGTGTGATATACTAATTTGAATAAAAGTGTGATATACTAATTAGACCAGACGGCTGAATGACCTTCCGGACAAAGCCAGGGAGATGAGGGCACAAATTTTGTGCATTGGGCCTCTAGTATGAAATAATGTGTACAGTCCTAAAGCATCACTGTAAGTGCAATGCCACTTAAGAACATTGTCATGTTGTAGAATCTACCTTTTTATAGATTTTAGGGGTTTCAAGTTCTTTCCATAATATGTGCTGTTCTAAATATGTATCTAAGATTTTTTAGGTGATCATAAAGACAATATTAAGGATATCATCCTAAAGAGGAAGGTACCCTGTCGTTAGAATGATATTGCTCATTTTTATCTGGAAACAATGTCTGGAATTCTACCTAGCCACTACATTTCACACCTGGATTTAGACATTAAACCTGAATAAAATTATTATCCTTGGAGATAAGATATATTAGAAATATTTAGTTAAGTAACAATCTTTTTTTTTCTTTCCTAATCCTCACCTGAGGATATTTTTCCCATTGATTTTTAGAGAGGAGAAGGGAAGGTTGGAGGGAGGGAAAGAGGGAAAGAGTAGGGGAGGGAGATAGTGAGAGACACACATTGATTGGTTGCCTCCTACATGCACCCTAACTGGAAGCCAGGGATTGAACATACAACCCAGCTATGTGCCCTTGACTGGGAATCAAACCTGAGACCTTCAGTCCACGGGCCGATGCTCTAACCACTAAGCAAAACTGGCCAGAGCACAATAATCTTTTTTAAAAAATCAGAAAAGTGGAGAAATAAAGAAGCAAAGAGACTATTAGTGAAAAAAGTAAATATTTGTATTTGTATAACACAACCACAAAATATGAACAAATATGCCACAAAAAAAGCTTCTAAGATACACTATTTTGATAGACCACTCATCCTCCTACCCCAGTTAAAAATAGAATTTAAGGCTTCCAGTCAAGATGGCAGAGTAGATAAATGTGGTATTTGAATTCTCCCAATCCACATCAAAATTACATCTAAACTACAGAACAATCATCATTCAGACCCACCTGAAGGGAAGTCCTATAATTAAGGGTATAAAGAAGAAACGACTTTCAAGACTAATAAGAAGGGTGAATACTCAGAATAGGCTGGTGTGGCTCAGTTGGTGGGCATTGGCCATGCACCAAAAAGTTGCTGGTTTAATCCCAGTCAGGGCACATAACCTGGTGGGGGTCTTGATCCCTGGTGGGGGGCATATATAAGGCAGCTTATTAATGTTCTGCTCTCATCAATGCCCCCTCCCCGTGTCTCTCCCTCTCCCTCTCCCCCTCCCCCTCCCCCTCCCTCTCCCCCTCCCCATCTCCATCTCCATCTCCATCTCCAACAAAAACCACTGAGGACTGTGGCTGAAATGGAAGGCTACTGGAGACCCAGATGTTCCTTTTAAAAAGGAACACACAGACTTACTTGGACTCTGAGTTCCAGCATCGGGACAGCAGTCTGAAATGCACCAGGGACATACAGAGAAGAACTAAACTGTGTGGCATCCGGGCGAGAGCTGGAGGGGCAGCTTTCTCCCAGACAGGAGTGCTGGCAGAGGCCACTGATGAGCCAACAGACAACATATCAGAGTCTCCATCAAACTGTCTGAAAGAGTGTGCCCTGCCCAAAGACCCTGCCCCACCCAAATTGCAGGGCCACCCACGCTGTTTCCCTGGCTTTTACAAACGAATAGCTAATCTTGGCTCATGTGTCAGACTTTCCAATAATCCCTCAAACAAGCAGCATCTGGCCTCTGCATGCCCTATACCTCGCACTAAGTAGTATCAGCAATAGTGGCAGCCAACCTTGGTTCATAGCTTGATTGCTCCTGGGCACCTCACCTTCAAGCCTACCATATATACCAGCTACCTGCAGATTGCTTTGTAGCTCATTTTGGGTGGCCCCAAACAGAACACAAATGTTGACTAACCTTGGCCTATACCTCTGGGCAGTCCTTAGAACCAATACACCACTGGACAGCTTCAGAAGCACCACCCAATCACCTCCACAAGCCACACACTCAAGGGATGGACTCAGTAGACACCAAAGACCTGATGAAGTCCTGTTCTGTGGGGTGAGACCCTGCACAGCTGATACTCCACAATGGTCATAGCCCGTCCTTGCAACTGATCAACCTAGGAATAAATCCCTCCCCTTGATGTGTCAATAGCAATTAAGACTCAACTACAACAGGAGGGTATACCATAGTCCACACAAGGGGCACACCTAGAGTGTCCAGCTCAGGTAAACAGGGAGGCTGTGCCATTGGACCTTACAGAATACCTGCTACATTAGATCACTCTATCAAGACAGGGAGACATAGAAACGCTCCTAATACATAGAAAAACACATAGTGAGGCTGCAAAAATTAAAAGACAAAGAAACATGTCCCATATGGAAGAACGAACAAAATTCCAGAAAAAGAACTAAACAAAATGGAGACAAGTAATCTACTAGATACCTAGATGCAAAGTTCAAAACACTGCTCATAAGGATGTTGAAGAAGCTAGGGGAAGAGTGGATAAACTTAGAGAAAACTTCACCAGCACAAAAATGTACATGGAAACCATTAAAAAAAAAATAAATAAATAAAAAAACAAAAACAAAAAAAAACAAACCCAGTCAAAAATGAAGGATACACTAATAAAAATGAAGAATAACTTACAGGAAATCAACAGTAGAGTAGATGAAGCCAAGAACCAAAACAGCAATTTGGAATATAAGGAAGCAAAACAACCCCAATCAGAAGAGAAAAAAAAATCCAAAAATATGAGGGTAGTGTAAGGAGCCTCTGGGATAACTTCAAGCATACCAACATTCACATCATGGAGGTGCTAAAAGGACAAGAGAAAGAACAAGGAATTGAAAATCAATTTGAAAAAATGACAGAAAATTTCCCTAACATGGTGAAGGAAATAGACATACAACTCCAGGAAGCATAGAGAATCCCAAACAAGATGAACCCAGAGAGACTTAACACCAAGACTCATCATAATTAAAATGCAAAAGGTTAAAACAGAGAATTTTAAAAGTATCAGAGCCCAGGACAGTGTGAGTCTAATTAGAGCCTTGCCCCCCACCCAGAAAGGTTGTGGTTTTGATTTCCAGTCAAGGACATGTATCTGGGTTGCAGGTTCAATCTCTGGCCCTGATTTGGGTGTGTGTGGGAGACAACCAATCAACATGTCTCTCTTACATCAATGTTTCCCTCTCCCCCTCCCTCTTAAAAAAAAATCAGTGAAAACTAGCCTCGGATGAGAGTTAACAAAAATAAAAAAATAAAAAGCAGCAAGAGAGCTCTAGCTGGTATGCTCAGTAGTTAGAGCCCCAGCCCATACAATGACCCATACCATCAATTCCCATTCAAAGGCCTGTACCGAGGTGGCAGTAATTAGATTTCAGGTTTGATCCCCAACCCAGGTTCGAACATGTGCAGGAAGCAACCAATCAATGAGACTCTCTCACATCAATGTTTTTCCTCTCACTCTTTCCCCCTCCCTCTCTTCCACTCTTTCTAAATAAAAACCAATGGAAAAAATATCCTATGGTGAGGATTAAAAACAACAAAAAGCAGCAAGAAAAAAGTAGTTAGTTACCAAAAAGGCAGCTCCCAAAAGACTGTCAGCTGATTTCCTAACAGAAACTACAGGCGAGAAAGTATTGGCAAAATATATTCAAAGTAATGAAAAACAAGGACCTACAACCAAAATTGCTCTACCCAGCAAAGTTATCAATTAGAATGGAAGGACAGATAATGAGCTGTCCAGACAAGACAAAGCTAAAGGGGTTCATCACCTCCAAATCAGAATTACATGAAATGTTAGAGGATCTTATTTAAGGAATGGGAAAAAAATATTTAAAATATGAACAATAAGATGACAATACATATCAATAATTTAATTTAAAAACTAAATTAAACAAACAAGCAGAACAGACTCAGAAAACATTTTGAGGATTACCAGATAGGAGGAGGGTTGGGGGATGGGTGAAAAAGGTGAAGGAATTAAGAAGTACAAATTGGTAGTAACAATTAGTCATGGGGATGTAAAGTAGAGCAAAGGAAATACAGTCATTAATTCTATACAATAAAGAGGTAATATGCAGATTGACCATCACTCCAACACACAAGATGGCCACCCCCATATGGATACAAGATGACCACCACAAGATGGCCAACAGGGGAGGGCAATTGTGGGAGATCAGGCCAGCAGAGGAGGGCAGTTGGGAAGAACCAGGCCTGCAAGGAAGAGCAGTTGGGGGCAATCAGGTCAGCAGAGGAGGACAGTTAGGGGCGACCAGGCTGGCAAGTGAGGGCAGTTAGGGATGACCAGGCTGACAGGGCAGCAGTTAGGTGTCGATCAGGCTGGCAGGGAAGTGGTTAGGAAGTGATCAGGCTAACAGGCAGAAGCAGTTAGGGGCAATCAGGCAAGCAGGCAGGCAAGCAGTTGGGACTGCCACTAGAATCAGGCCTAAATGGGCGTCGCACATCCCTTGAGGGGTCTCAGATTGGAGAGAGTGCAGGCTGAGCTAAGGGACACGTACGTACACGTACACACACACACACACACACACACACACACACACACACCTGTGCATGAATTTCATGCACCAGACCTCTAGTACCCTAATAACTATACATGGTGTCAGATGAGTATAACATTTATCTGGATGATCACTTAGTAAGTTATATAATCATTGAGATCTATACCTAAAACTTATATTGTTTGGTATGTCAACTGTAATTTAAAAAGAAAAAGCTACATTTACAAAAAGTCTGCATAACAATATAAATGTGCTTAATTCCATAGAACTGTACACTTCATGTGGTATTTTAACATAATTTTTTTTAAAGTTTTAAAAATTCCAAGTCTAAAACACCTTTATTACAAAAAAATAGCCAAAACTCACATCAGTATATTTTCAGTATGGATCATGCTGTATTTACACTACCCATTTATACATAGATGATGAAATAGTTGAATATTCTCACCCAGAACTTCTAAAGTATTATTTCATCTTATACGCTGTTAAGTACTGTGTATTAAACCATTATTATTAAAGGAACAATAGAAGGTATTAAATTCTAAGATAGTGCTAAAACTTTATTCATGAGTGTATATTTCATTGATAGGAAGAAAAATCAAGATTGGGCAAAAGCAGAACAAGTGAGAGTGTGTGTGTGTGTGTGTGTGTGTGTGCGCGCGCGCGCGCGCGCGCACATATACATGTGTAAGAAATATATAATTTTTATTCCAAAGATAAGTGAAATAATAATACAAAAAAGTTCTTTCAGCCTCTCAAAATCCAAATCCTATCGATCAATCTAGTCTAAAATATCTTTAAAATCTAGTCTAAAATGAATTTAAGCCAGGTGTGGGTCAATGGTTGAGCACTGATTCATGCATCAAAAGGTTACTGGTTAGATTCTTGGTCAGAGCACATGCCTGGGTTGTGGGCTCAATCTCTGATGAAGGACATGTAGGAGGTAACCAACTGAAGTTCTCTCTCACCAATGTTTCTATCTTTCTCTCCCTCTCCTTTATTCTCTGAAATCAGTAAAAATTTTTAAAAAAGAGAAATTAAGTACTAGCTGGTTTGGCTCAGTGGATAGAGCATCGACCTGTGCACTAAAAAGACCCAGGTTCAATGTCAGTCAAGGACACATGAAAAGATTGCATGCTCGATCTCTAATAGAGGGGTAAAGAAGGCAGCCAATCAATGATTCTCTCTCATCACTAATGTTTCTATCACTCTCTCTCTCCTTCCCCATCTCTTTTTTCCTCTCTAAAATCAATAAAAATACTTTTTTAACAAAAGAGTGAGAAAGCAAGATATGGCATTCAAAACACAAATCTATAATAAAAGGCTAATATGGAAATGGTTATCACACCCTCACGCCATAACATCTGGTCAGCAGAAGGCTGCGTACTGGCAGAGAATGTGACTGACACTGCGTCCCCACCCGGAGATGTGATACGCTGGTAGGGCTTGATGGGGATATGGCCAGCTAGGTCTGGGTCTCACCCAATTAGGGGGGAGACAGCTGGTTCTGGGTCTCACATGATTTTGAGGCACAGGTGGACAGGACTTGACTCTGGGTCCCACTGCGCACCCCAGACTCTAACAGGAGAGAGGAGGAAGTCAGATACCCACAACTAGGGCCCAAACAACAGGGCAGTAATGGTTAGAGGTGATCAGGCCATTAGGGAAGAGCAATTAGGGGCAATCAGGCTGGCAGTAGAGGGCAGTTAGGGATGATCAAGCCAGCAGGGGAGGGCAGTTAGGGCAATCAGGCCAGCAGGAGAGCAGTTAGAGGTGATCAGGCCAGCAGGCAGAGGTGGTTAGGGGCGATCAGTCAAGTAGACAGGCGAGTGGTTAGGAGCCAGCAATCCTGGATTGCGAGAGGGATGTCTAACTGCCATTTTTTTTTTACAACAAATTTGAATTTTTGTCAAACCGGCAGTTGGACATCAACCAAGGGATCCCAGATTGGAGAGGGTGCAGGCCGGGCTAAGGAACCAACCTCCCAACACTGTGCATAAATGTCATATACCAGACCTCTAGTTTATAATATTAGTCTAGGATTAAATAGCTCAATTAATGAATAGCCACTTCAAGTTTTAACAGCTTCTTCAATATAGCCTGCCGTATCCCAAAATTCTGCCCCAATTTGGTATAATACATAGCTAATATTAAATAAGTGTTTGATGAAAATTGTAATGAAAATTACTAGCTAAGAAAATCTATTAATTCTCCAAGAAAATCTTTATCAGCATTTTGCTATCCAAAATATTTACTGGATTAATAAGTTATTTTAAGTTAATGCAATAAAAATGCTTACCTTGACACCATGGCCCACATCATCCAGAACTGTATAGTCAATAGGTTTCCGAATATACCTTACAGGGCGCTCCATATTTGCAGGTGCTATTATTTTGTGAGTTCTTGATGTATTTTTATTTGTTGTCAAAATACCAATCTCTCTTCGAGCCACTTTCTCTTTATGAATGTCCACCGTCTGTATTTTAATATAAATAATGCAAGAGAATATTACTAGGCATAGTATAATAAATAATAAATGTGATGGTCATATATCTTGGATCATAAAGAGGTTGAACCATACAACTGTATCATATCTATTTTCCAGTGACTGCTATATCTTTCCCTTCAAAATTAAGCAAATTAATATCCTCAAGGCTCAAAACAGGGAATAGCTTTAAAGTATTGAGATAATTAAAAACATGATTTAATGGCTTTGATTCCAAAGCAAATTTCTTTCCTAAAGATTTGGTGTTTGTATGAAAAAACTCGAGTCATACTCAAAGTAGCTACCACTTTATGTAGTGAAGATGCAGGAAAAAAAAAGTACATCAATTAAAACAATGAGATAAGTGCAGTAGTGACACATGCAGTTTATTAGAAATTAAAGGTGTTCAACCCTGGCTGGTGTGGGTCCATGGTTAGAGTCTCAGCTAGCACAGCAAAGGGTAGCAGGATTGATTCCTAGTAAAGAGTATATACCCAAGTTGCAGGTTCATTCCCCACCCCCAGGTCCGGCACATGTGGGAGGCAACCAATAAATGTGTCTCTCTCACATCAATGTTTCTTTCACTTTCTCCCCTTCCCTCCCTCTCTCTGAAAAGCAATGGAAAAAATAATATCCTCAGGTGAGAATTAACAAAGAAAAAAATTAAAGGTGTTCAGAGCAAGGTACTAAACTAGGTTAAGATGGATTCACTTAAAGGCTTTATAGAGGAGTTAGGTTTTTCAGGATGAATAGGCAAATATGGAAATTATTTAAGGCAGAAAGAACTGTATGCTTTAGACAACAGTAAAAAAATAAATGTAAGAGCAGATGTCACAGATATTGATAACAGACAAAACAAGACTACTGACTAGTGAGACCAGTTCCAGGGGTCCTCAAACTTTTTAAAGTGGGGGCCAGATCACGGTCCCTCAGAGAGCTGGAGGGCCGAACTATATGAACTACTAATTCCTACTGTAATACCTCGGCTGCGCTCACTGCCCAAAAAACCTGGCGGGCCAGATCAGACTCCTCTGCGGGCCACATGTGGCCCGCGGGCCGTAGTTTGAAGACGCCTGTTTAGGCAATATTGGTAATCAAGGTGAGGAAAAGGCCGAAACCGGTTTGGCTCAATGGATAGGGCGTCGGCTTGGGGACTGAAGGGTCCTGGGTTCGATTCCGGTCAGGGGCATGTACCTTGGTTGCGGGCATATCCCCAGTAGGGGGTGTGCAAGAGGCAGCTGATTGATGACTCTCTCTCATCGATGTTTCTAACTCTCTATTTCTCTCCCTTCCTCTCTGTACAAAATCAATAAAATATATTTTTTAAAAAAAAGTGAGGAAAAGCAAGTACACAAACTTAACTGAAATGAAGGAGTGGGGGTATGTTTATGAAAAAACCCCACAAGTTTAATATTAATGTTAAGATTTCATTTCACCATAATTTTAAAGATGTATTTCTTTTATTTCCTTTTTAAAATTTATTTCAGAGAAAGGAGAGGGAAAGATAGAAACATCAATAAGAATCATTGATCAGCTGAAACCAGTTTGGCTCAATGGATAGAGCGTCGGCCTCCGAACTGAAAGGGTTCGATTCCAGTCAAGGACATGTACCTTGGTTGCGGGCACATCGCCAGTGGGCAGTGTGCAAGAGGCAGCTGATCGATGTTTCCCTCTCATCGATGTTTCTAACTCTCTATCACTCACTCTTCCTCTAAAAAAAAATCAATAAAATATATTAAAAAAGAATCATTGATCAGCTGCCTCTTGCACGCCACCTCACTGGGGACCAAGCCTGCAACCAAGGCACTGAACTGGAATTGAACCTGGGACTCTTCAGTCCACAGGCTTACACTCTATCCACTGAGCCAAACCAGCTATCCTGTTTCCCCAAAAATAAGACAGTGTCTTATATTAATTTTTGCTCCCAAAGATGCGCTAGGTCTTATTTTCAGGAGATGTCTTATTTTTCCATGAAGAAAAATACGTACGGTACACATTTATTTTAAAATGAAAATAAAGGAAATTTAATACCTGTATACGGGTAGTACAGTAGTTGTCAACACAAACCAGACAAACTGTGAATCCTACAGTATCAAGAATTTACTCATTTATTCAATGACAATCATGTCATCATCTTCTGAAACATCCTCATAACAATCCAATTCCTGAATTTCCTGGTGAATTTCTTGTGACTCCGTTTCTTTCAGAATCAGTGGACCAAATCTCTCATGTTTAGCAATAGCACTGTCTTTAAATGAATACTTCTTATCAAAGTAGCCTGCTCGTAGTGCATTTGCAATGCAACTGTCAATGATTTTCTCCCATGAATTCTTCACCTAAGTCACAACTTCTTGGTGTTTAGGTTTCCCAAAGTTTCCACACTGATTTCTCTCCATTCTATTTTCAATGTAGTCATTAATTTCCATGCAAAAATTGTCTTTGAATGGCTTGTTTATTTCAATATCAAGAGTCTGGAGATAGGCCATCATTCCTGCGGGAATCCTTATCTGATCTATTTTTCTTTCGTGAAGAAATGTCTTCATATCTTTAGCGCGGTGAGTGCTGGCTACATCCCAGACTAGCAGACCTCTCTGACTCCCTCACATAACAAGCGGCAGCATTAAATCAACCCACTTCCTTATAACTGCTTGTGTGGCCCAGGCTTTTTCAATTTCAAGAATAAAAATGCCCAAAACACGTTCAATCTTTTCCTTCTTGCCCTTAGAAATTATTAAAGGTGGGATTTTAGTGCCATCCAGACGAATTGCCAAAATACAGGAAACACGTGCACTTTTGTAAGCAGTGGAGGGAATGTGCACTAAGGAGGCACCCCGCTGTTCAACTGTTTGAGATGATTGGCCCCAAAACACTGCAATTTCATCCATAGCAATCATGTTGGAAAGATTGTATTTAGAGAAGTCAGCATCATCAATAAAGGACTTGAATGCAAGTGCTCGCTTAATAACTTCAGTATCGCCGGGACCGGTTTGGCTCAGTGGATAGAGCGTCAGCCTGCGGACTAAAAGGTCCCAGGTTCGATTCCAGTAAAGGGCATGTACCTTGGTTGCGGGCGCATCCCCAGTAGGGGGTGTGCAAGAGGCAGCTGATCGATGATTCTCTCTCATCGATGTTTCTAACTCTCTATCCCTCTCTCTTCCTCTCTGTGAAAAATCAATAAAATATATTTTTAAAAAAAGGAAAAAAAAAATGAGTATCTTCCAATCTAAACAATGTTGTAGATCTTCTTAAAGACAGTTCACTTTGCTGAAGGAAATTATTCAGCCAGTGTTTGATGCTTTGAAGTCTCCAGAGGCTATGTCAAACTGTGGTGCCATTGCAAGGACAAATTCTTGAATCTGAGCCCTATTCACAACCAAAGCCTTTGCTCTCCTGTCAACAACCCATTCACAGATCAGGTCTTCCAGCTTGGAAAATAATGGTTGGCGACCTGATCCACACTTGCGCTTTTTAGCATTTCCCTTGTCCACTTGTTCAATGAGGTTACCATATTCTGCTCGCCATTTTCGGACAAATTGGATACTCAACACCTTCTCTTTGCAGAAAGCAGTACGATTTTGGCCCCAAGAGTCTTCCATGATTCCTTTCTTGTACTCCATGGAGTAGCTTTTTCTTTTTGTGCTCATTTCTAGGGGTTAAAAAAAAGGAATTGGGGTATCAAGGTGGGGGGAGGGAGATCACTTAAAATGACACAGGAGGGATCAGAGGGGGGAATCAAAATGGCACAGGAGAATCAAAGGGGGGATTACCATTTTAGTAACCCCTTTTGATCCTCCTGTATCATTTTGATTGCCCCCTTTGATCCTCCTGTGTCATTTTAAGTGATCCCCCTCCCCCCATCCCTGTGCCACTGAACACCTTCACCAGACATCCCCCCTATCCCTTTATCAGACATTTACCCCCTGGGGCCTGCCTGGGGACTGTCACTGGGCTTGCTGGGGCCTGGATCTGGGCTGGAGGAGGGTCTGCCGACTGAGAACCTTCAGTCATCATGAGGGCGGCCGTGAGCATCAGGTAAGTGTCATCAGAGACAGACCAGAACTCAGCACCTTCGCCGCGTCCTGTCGCTCTAATCCTCCTGTTCTTCTACACACATCTGTGAAAGTCTCCTCCCCTCTCCCACCCCGTGCTCACAGCTCACTCCGACCTCCGCTCCGCCTCCACACAGCAGTGAGGTCAGGACTCTGGTTGCTAGGCGCCAGTCAGGGCGGCCCTAGCGACCAGTTTACGGTAAATTAATTTTCATTCTGAGACAGAGCCTGGGGGGGCCTTATTTTCGGGGGGATGCCTTATATTTCACTCAGAAGGAAACCTGTAAGTAGGTCTTATTTTTCAGAGGATGTTTTATTTTCGGGGAAACACGGTAGTGTGCTCCTCCAGCACAGCTAAGGGTTCCGCAAGTCTGAGGGAGGACTGGAGAAGGATGAAGTAAAGACAGAGAATAAGCTAGGTATAGGTGGATCTTCTGTGCATAGCTGAGAACACAGAAAAGATCCAGACTACAAGCTGATACTTTATTTTATAGTCAGAGGTAAGCAAGGTAATTTACAGTTTTTGTAAGTTTCACTTGTTTTGGCAGCACTTGCTGCACCTCCCACAGCCCATTCACTACCCAGGAAGGATCTAGGGAGCATCACAAGATGATAATTAATTATGCTGGGACTTGTTTTTGGCTTTGCAACAGGTCATTCCAAGGCTTTTCCCTATAACTGCTCCCTATAGGCTAGGGCTTCACCATAATTTTTAAAGCGGAATGGGAAAGAGCCTCTACCAAAAAACGTTTTCACAACTCCAAAATAAGGTGCACGGAGACAACACTCCTTGGGTGCCCTGCACTTTCGCACATCTTACAAGAAAAATCATTTGGTCCGCTTTGTTCTGGATATCCTATATAAGAAAGAGCTAATATGCAAATGTTCCTTTCACCACAGTGGCTCAGAAACTCAACACCATGGTCCCAGGTGCCAGCACTG